GACGTAATAAGGGTTCATAAGATATAAGAAAGGTTAAACATGACTGACTTTGCATTTCATATATTATCCCTTTTTAAACCAGTTATCAGTATCTAATTTGGTTGACTATAGTGAACAAATAGCCAAGCGCATGAACTAAAAAAAAAACATCCAAGTGCTAAATGTTGTGAGAAACAGCACAAAATGGCTCCTTTTCAAAGAGGCACTGTGTCACGAGCAGACATTTGCCAGGCTCAGCCAACAGATGGTGAGCTTGGCATCCTTTTAGACCAGCATTTGGCGAAAGGCAAAGTTCAGTAGCAACACAAGGCTGAGTACAGTGTATTATGGTGCTATGTATGTTTGTTGTGGAAACGTAACTGAGCGAGTGAATGTATGGTTTGTTGTTTTACCATTACCATTGCTAATATATATAGCAATATATTGTCATGTATTGCATTTTCATTTGAGAATGTTAAAATGAGTTTATTTAGTTTTAATGATTTAGTTTCATACAGCTTTGTGCTGCTCCTCAGAGCCCCTGACTTGTGTTAGATGGTGACCTTTACAGACTGGAGCATGCTCTGGTAAAGGATGGCTTTGATTAACTCCAGATGTGTCTCGTCCAGGTTAACCTATTGTGAGTCAAGGTCCTTCTTCAGATCCTGCAATGGGGACATTAGCTTTAGTTTCACAGACATCAATAATTGGTAACCTCTGCAGTTCCTCTTCTACTTCTTGTCAGACATTTATTGATCTCTTCATAGAGGTTTTTACTTTGGATTCAAATGGATACAAAGTTATGCATCTTCAGTGTATGAGCAATTTGTCCTCACAGTTGTATATGTAGACCTTCCAACTGTACAACAGTCCAGTAGCATGTTGCTCACATAGCACATGTAGGGTGCTGTATATTAAGCAGATGGTCAGAAGAACTCGCCTGGGAGCTCTAATACTATCATTGAATGGAATATATTGTGTAGCCATAAGGCTGCTATGAAATGAAATCCATCTCACAATAGAGCAGAGGTTATAGTACAGTCTGTCCCTGCCAGTCCAGTGCCCAGACCAGTTAAAGATGGCCCACATCACCTTAGGTGACATGATTACATAAGTCCCTTTCGACCCCCTGTCCACTTCTCCTTGGGCCTTATGTGTAATCTGCTGAGATTTAAACCTGCTGCTCCTGTTTAATAAATCCACAGCGATTAAAATAGGATTATGGCTCCGCTTTCGCCGTTTGTATGACATCACAGCATGAACAATTTTTCACCTTTTTTTCCTTCACCCTTTTTTGTTGCTGGCTGCCTCTTCCTCCTTTACACGCGATTTTCAGATTCAATCCACCAACTTCATATGAAGGACTATTGACATGAGGATTAACCTTATAATACAGCAACATCCTGTATCCACTGCACTTGTAAGGACTGATTTCCAGTTGTTTGTTTAACCATGTATAGCTTGTTTAAAAATGATTTCAGTGATCTGAATCAAAGTTAACTCTCAGATCAACCCTAAAGTGTCCATAAAAAAAAGAGAAGAAAGATTATATCAAATATTCAGTTGTTTTGCAGAGCAGGAAGGTTAGAAGGGCACATGCTGTACTCAATGTGAAATGAGGGATGAAGCGACAGATCAATATGAGCCCGTTGTCCTCTTTGTCCTTCCGTAACACTGTCCTGCAATGGTTAACTGGTGTAAGGTCACACCAAGGAAGATTGATTAGGCCTTCTCCAATCACTCAAAAGAGAAATGTATCAAGCCAGAACAGTGTAATACATGAGAAGGGTTCTAGGGGAGTCTTTGTTATTATTGAACATTGATAGCAAGATATATAAAGTTACATTTGTGATTAAAAATGCCTTTGTCGGTCTGTATAATACAGTGTCAATATCATAAGCAGCTCTATGTGTTGTCATTGAATATTATGTTGTAATGCAATTTAAATAAGAGAAATACATTACTCACTTTTAAAAGCCCCTTATTACACTATATTCTGATCTGTGTTATAGTGTGTTCAAAAACATACTCAAAGTTGTATTTCATTTTATTCACACATGTTTAACACACAAACCCTGCATGTTTAGTATATATTGAGTTTTTCTCTCAAATTTTTCTCTCAAACTCTAATACAGAAAGTGCTCCACTGTGTTTTTATAAAAGGTTACTAATGCTTGTGTGAATGAAACAAAACACAACTCCTGGTGTGTTTTTGATGAGGTAACGACATTATAGCATGGCTTAAATTTCAAAAGAGTCAATTTTGTGTAATATAGGACCTTTAAACACTATAACTATTAAAAGAATTTCTGTAAAATGTACCAAAAATATATTGTATACTTAGAATCTGGTTTGTTCCAATATACAAGTGTGAAAAGGATGTTGACAGACAGAGAAATATCATGTCTCTCCAAGTGTTTATTCACACCATGAGTAAAACAGGGCTTCATGTCCACACTTCTTCTCACAGATTTGATGACCAACATTCACCTCTTCTCCAGACCTACAATATTCTGTTTGAGCAGTTCAATATTCTCCCATTAAACACTCCATTCGATCTCATTTTACTTTGTAAATACAACCATGAATGTCTCAGAAAACTATGCAGGCTCTGTGCAAGTAACTGTTTACTCACCATCAGTCATTTCCTGACTCTTCATATAATCACATCTTTCCATTGGTGCCAATTTGGTTAGATTGCTACATTTTTGAACGGGCAGGTGGTCTGTCCCAAGCCTCTTTGTAACAGTGATGGAGGGGGTTAATCCATGCAAGTCATTTATCAAAAGCTTATCTTGAGGTTTTTCATTTTGATTACATTCTATATCAATATTTGTGACATTTTTTAACTTGCTCTAGCTAATAGCCTTTTCCTCTTCACAGGAAAAACTTGCTTGGTTATCATCACCCTGTCTCCCCCCACTACCCCTGCCCCATTGCTGACAAATCCATACAACTATGTGGGACACAAAGGCTTGGATTTAGCGTGCCTAGTGGGAGGGGGGGCAGGGCATGGAAATTTCTGTTGTTTTGTCCTAAGAGTGATTTCAGACAAATCAAAACAACACGCCACAGTGAGTCTTCCAAATCCCCCCTTTCCTGTAGCACATGGCCAGTGAATAGTCATCACTTTTATGCTGGAGAGTATATGGTTGTCACATAATTGGACAAAATTTGAACTATTCTGAATTGTTTTAGAGCAATCTTGAGTTATATCAGCAGTATAACACTACAAGGTGATTTTAAAGAAACTACTATTAGTTTGTGTTCAGAGTTATGTTGTGTTGAATAAAAAATATAGACATTTGCATCAAGCATTTAGATTAATATAAACATTTTCTAAGAAAAGTCTTGGAAAAATAACTGCAAAGGAAAATAGTTTTAGCCTAAACTGCTGGCCTGTACTGGGCACAAAACCTTTTTTTTTTTTTTTACGCCTATTCAATTATTACTGATTGCTTGACTTACACTGTCATGTCTCTCTCCCAGCAGCAAATTTTAAGTTGACTTTCTCACTGAATAACATAATAAGAGCCTTAGTTGATCCTTTGAGTTAACCCTGTGTTTTTGCTTCCTGGTAGGTAACAAGGACGGCTCTAGTTGGTGGAAGAGGACAGAGACGGGCCAATCAATGAGGCCAGTGAATCATAAGTTATTATACAGCACGGGGCTTTTAGTGTCACACAGAGTTTGTCACTGTGCACAGATTGCATGTCTGGCTCTGTCCTTTGCAGGGTGGTGGTCTGGGGTTATCCGAAGGAAGAGGCTACACTGTGACTAGCCCTTAATAAAAGCGCGTGACCTTTCGGTGTTTGTAGGTTTTGCTAAATGATCTGATAATAGCCTGTGCATCAGGTGTTTGGTGTGAACGAGTATAACCTTGAAATAACCCCAGATGTGCTCGTAAATCCGCAAATGAGCTGAACCTGCTCCCAGTTCGCCATCACCGAGGTGAAACTATGGAAATACAGCCGTTGCTGTGTAACCACGGCAACTCCTCCCTCAAAACGCAACATCACCAAAGCCCCCGCTGCGTGCGCCGTGCACAAGGGGCAGGCTGTCTGCAGCTTACCTGACTTTATTAATATAGCAGCCGCTCACGTGGTCAGCCCTGCCCAGCGCAACACAGTGCTGCTACATGAGCGAGGGCACTCTCAGTGGAGACAGGAGATGCTCCCACTGCCGCCGCGCGCGCTGCTGTGAGGAGGACAGAGGCGAGCACAGTTGGTGAAGCGCTTTTTTCCCCAGAACCTATCCTCTGTCGTCGGAGAGCTCAAGGAGAGCGAGACGCCCCTGATTTCCAAATCTCAACCTGCAACCTCAACCTGCGCTCAACCAGCTGCTGTTGTGCTGTTTCCTCGCCACAACCTAAAGGTAAAGCTCCGCGCACAGCAGTCCACGCGTCATGCCTCTGGATTGATCCCGTGTTCCGTGGTTATTCAGCGGTGTAGTGGTGTGTCAGATAGTCACAAGGAGGAGGCATCAGTGAAGGGCACGTAGTCAGAGTTATCAGATGTTGAGTCTAAAGGAAAGAGGCTGCAGCGGAAAAGTCAAACAGGTCAGTCTCATCTTCTCCTCCTGAGCAGCGGCGTCATATGTTTATGGCTTCGGCCTACGTCTATCGTGTTACATTTATTTCGGCGTTACTTTCCATCAAATATGATAATTTTTACTCTACAAATTTATCTCGAGTTAATCGTGCAAAATGGGAACAAGCACATGGTCTACAATCCAACGGTTTAACGGTTTAAAACGGTTTAAAAGTGGCTTTAGTTGAATGTTATTGTTGAATAGTCAGTTCCATCAGTTCGATGGAAATGATCTGGCATACAAGAAAACAAGCTCTTCTGTGATAGTGTGTGTTTGGTGAACTGTTTGATATGTATTTTAATGTGTTTATTTTGATTTGTTTCATGAATAGCTGTGTTTTACTGTAAATATTTTACTGTATGAAATTGCATAATTGCAAAAAATAACTGGAACTTTTTTTTCCCCAACAGATCCTATAATGTGCTGCAAACATGGATTCAGATAAACCCTGTGTAGAGATGTGTGAGCAGGGACCCCCGCTGGGCCCTGCCTGTAAGAGGCCGCTCAGCCGATGTGTGCGGAAAAAGCTGAGACCTTTACGAATCGTGGGCTTGCTCTTCAGCCTTCTGGCCCTAAGTGCTGTCTCCCTCAGTGCCTTGAGCTGGACTTCAGGTGGCCTCAATGATCCAGCACTGCCTCCACACAGTCTGAGTCAGACAGCCCCCCACAGGACTCTACTTTTCACCCAAAACCAGAGGGACCCCAATGTATCAGTGGACATGCCAATAGCCATGAAATCTACAGCCAATACCAATCATAGCCAAGGTGATTACCCACCGGACCTCTTCTCCATGGCCATGAGGCGTCAGGGCGCTGTGGTCCTTCACATGTTTGGCATGATCTACATGTTCATAGCCTTAGCCATAGTGTGTGATGAGTTTTTTGTCCCAGCACTGACAGTTATCACAGAGAAACTGGCCATCTCTGATGACGTAGCAGGAGCCACCTTCATGGCTGCAGGTGGCTCTGCCCCAGAGCTCTTCACCTCCATCATAGGAGTGTTCATCTCACACAGTAACGTCGGCATAGGGACCATCGTGGGCTCTGCTGTTTTCAACATTCTCTTTGTCATCGGGATGTGTGCCATTTTCTCCAAGGAGATCCTAAACCTGACCTGGTGGCCGCTCTTCAGAGATGTATCCTTCTACATCCTGGACCTTATAATGCTTATCATCTTTTTCTTGGATAACATCATCTCTGTGTGGGAGAGCATCTCACTGCTGTCCGCGTACGCTGCCTACGTCATCTTCATGAAGTGCAACACGAAAGTGGAGGGCTTTGTCAAAGACTGCATGAACAAGAACCAAGTGGTGGAGGTGGAAGTGCAGCCCAAGGTGAGATGGTTTCCTCAGCCATATTTGTAAACATGACATGAGATGAAAATGAAAATATTTGTTGTGCCATAAAGCATTTAATAAACCTGGATTTACTTTGAGTACATAAAGAATATTAGATTGTCACCTGAGTAACACTGAAAAATATTTTTGGTTGTAGTAAAATTAAAATGTGAGATCCACAAGCTGTTTGCCTTGGAACACTGAGGTGACCTTGAGCTGCAATGATTTGGAGCAGTTTGGCTGAGCTGTGTATTCAAAACGACTGCTTTGGAAGAAAACCTTTGAGTTTTTATATTCTGTTACTTAATATGTTTAATGAGACAAACAGGAAACATGTTGCTTTGATGAGAGTAGTTGAGAATAGCAGGTTTGTGTTTTATAGGTCTGATCTACAAGAGTAATAGCGATTAACATATTAATGAAATGTCTAAATGTCACCTAAACATGACTTTTTAATTAAGCATTGACACTTTGGGCATGTAGCAACAGAGATTAAACTGGCATACATTCTCATATGCGAGGGAGAGTACACAATAAGAAATACACACATTTACCAAGGGGTAGATATTAGTTTATTCTTCTTTTTGCTCCTATTATTCACACTGATTCATGTGACATTTATTTTTTATAGCCATCTTAATTGAATGAATCAAACAAAATAAAGAGCCTTCTTGATAGATGGGTATAAGTGTGTGATTTTAGTAAGATATTGCCTCTTTTAGTTGAATTAGTTCATTTTCTTGTTTACTTGAGATTTGTAGTACAGTGTAGGAGCAGTTGTTGGAATGACCGTACAGACTTAATCCAGTGATTAAAATGGGTTTCCCCTTGATTATTGAGTGCATTAGAGAAGTGGGATGTGCCAATAGTACATTAAAGGTCACCATGGATACAAGAGGGTGCTGGTATGATGACATAATGATATACATATGTTTGATTTAGCTCCAGCTATGGCATTAACATTTTTGCATAGCCAAACATAATATTAATACAAACCATCTTAAACACATATTCATTTCTGAGTTGTATATTTATTGATGACTAATATTTATCTAATATTTATAATACAATAATTTTGCTGCCCAGTGGTAATTTAGTCTAACTCCTGTTTTCATACACAGGATCACAGTATAAATGTGTTTTGGTGTGAGTGTAATCCCAACTATCAGGTCATTGTGTTGTCACGATTGTTTACCATTTCAGACACAAGCTACTGCTTTAAAAACCAAACTTGCATGATAGGTCAAAAATCTTTCAGCTAAGATTGCATCAACCAAGCTGAAGATCTGTAATTCTTGCCTTAATTATTACATTTTGATTGCTGATTATTTCTTGCTAAAACAATTGTTAAAGTCAAATTAAACAAGGATCAGCAAAGTATAACTACCAACAAATGATTAAAAGCTGTATCTTTAAACATCCTTAATAACATTTTTGCTATATATTACTCGAGTTAATATGATAAATGTGTGTAAATTGTATTATTATATGTGTAACCATGGAGATTGTAGGGTGTATGTGACGTTGTGAGCTTTGTTTTTTTTTCTTAATTGTATACAGCTAAGCCTCTTAGTCTAGTCGTACAGTTTGTGACCATGAGACGGACAAAGATCTGATTACAGAGCACTAGGTCACTACCCATTGCCAGTTCACAATATCTTTTTCTCCTTTTCACTTCTGCACAGCTCATTCCCACCAGCAGTGTGTAACTAGCTATATTTACACCTCCCAGGATGATAATTGAGTCACAAAATTCTCCCTTCTCTCCCTCAGTTTTAAGAAACTTGAATTAGACTCTACTTTTTATGTCTATGTGCAGAGAGGGGGCAATTCTAAACAAACATGTAAATAGAAACAAATACAATCATACAGAGTTTACAGAAGGTGATGTGTTGTATCTCAAAGCCTGTACATGTTGGAATGTGAGCTCACTCTCCCATCTCCACCTCAGTGCTCCGTATCAGACCTGATTTTATCTTATCCCTTGGCCCCCGCTAATTGTTTGTTTAATGGTCTGAACAACTTGAAATTACTATCTAAGGAATATTTGATTAGTCAGTGGGATACAAGAATATAATATGGCATTTTGGGCCAGGCCTAATGTTATATGCACTGTGAGTTTGAGAAACCTGTTGAAAGCATAACCATACTTCACAGTCAGTGTGTATCCCACTACATTATCAGCGGCTATAGAGTCAAGGCTGTGTAAGCCCATGTGTAGTAAGGCAGATGTTGGTTCTGCTGAGATGGAAGGTGCAACCTCTGATGCATTACTGATCTATAAATAGCGTGACGGAGACGAGATCTTCTGTCAGGATGCGCTTCAAAGATCAGTTACAAAGCGGCTTGTGTGCAGGGAGCAGAGTATTTGCGTTGCCTCCCCGCGGGTTTGGACAATGATGCACCAATGCTGACGCTGTCTAATATTCACACATCCTGTTTTCACAAGCTGCTTGTCATGCTGTATTTTATTTCTACTCCCCAATACCTCACACTTCTACCAGGATGCTTTCTGATTCTTGTTATTTTAGCCTTTCAGGCAGCATTTACTTACTTTGATAATCTTTCATTAATAAAGCAAAGTTCTATACCAACATATCGCGAGAAAGAACAAAACCACAATGTGTTTTTAGCTTGTTGTCAAGACAAAAGTAAACTGAATACAGATTTGTAGAAAGAACCAAGCCACAAAGGGTCAGAGGTCAATAACCTTTGTGTCTGCGAAGGTTAAATGGAGAAGCTGAAAAGAAAGACTTGCACATTAATGAGACACATGCTATTTCAATATTATGGTTCCAACTGACAATTCATAATGGCCTTGTGTAGGATTAGTTTTTTTGTTTTAGTTTTTTTTTTAGCATTTTTGTTGTTGTTGTTGTTTTTGTTCAGCTGCAGTCAGAAGCAGGTTAAGGATTTGACCAGTTTAAAAACCTGTTTCAGACTCCATCACAGTAACTGTGTTGTTGAGATGGCCAAACATGTGATTACAGCTCTAATGGTTTTTCACAACATGAACATTTTTTTACTCAAAGTACCTTCTAATTGCTAATATTTAGCCTCTTTGTTTTACAGGTTGTTATCTGCTTTTATGGAAGTCTTGGTGCTAATTTGTACCTGAAGTGCCAAGGAGTTAGCCCTTGATGATTTGTCTGTCTCAGAATAGGAAGTCTGAGTTTAATGGTTGCTATGTGAATCGTACTTGGTGTTGTGCATTTTACTTTAAAAGATCTGAAGATTTGTATTAGAAATCTTTGCTGTAAAAAGGACATTCCTAAGTATATAACAATACAATGAATGAAAACCTGTCTAAGAATACATTCAGGATTTATTTTAATGTTGGTTCTTATTCCAGTACCATGGACAGCACCCTAGTCTCCTCAGATAAACTTGTGTGTCTCTTTAGACTATTACAAGTGTTGCAGAAATTCATGGTTCAGTAATACCATGCCCTTGTAACAACTTGGGGCAGGGCACAGACAAAAGTTCACCTATTTTAGATAATTATAGTTTGTAATGAAATCATGCAGTAAAATCATGATCTACATTTGTGATATAAAAAATTCAATAAAAAGTGTTCTTCTTTCAAAATAATAATAAGAACACAATAGCAGTATGCACTAGAGCCACTGCCGCCCCATGTAGCACCTGGTATTCCCAGTGGTCTCCCATCCAAGTACTCACCAGACCCAGCTCTGCTTAGCTTACAAGATCAGACGAGATTGGCATTCTCAAGGGGCGCTGTCCGTAAAATGCAAATAAATCTGAAATTGAATTGGTCTGCCTCTCTCTCAGGAATGCTCACCTCCCTTGGGATGTGTGCTATTGATGAGAATAGATGATAGGATGTCCAGCTATCAATACCGTGTACATATAAGCAGCCGTGTATAACTTCAGGTCTGGATCCAGTTGTAACTGATCTGCTTTCAACTCTATTTGTCTGTTTTTATTTTCACACTGTATTGCTAATGTTAGTCTGGAAGGCGCCGTGTGTATTTGAATAATCAGACAACTTGTTACTGGAATCCTGCATTGACTTGTTGCACTCTTTCATAGCACATGTCATATCATGTGACCGTTACCATAGACAGAGATCCCTATCTGTCCACTGGACTCTGAAGCTAAAGATACATGGTCGCATATTACACATTTTCTTATTTAGTTTGATCTGCTAACATCTGTCTGCTAATCTTGAGCCTTTTAATATTACATTTCTGTTATACCCATCATTTATGAAATAGAGATTAATAATGCCTGTAAAGTGCTTCTATATAGATCACAGCTGCACACATAATCTGCGCAAAGAATTGAAACCAAATTTTGCCGAGTAAACTCTTAAAACGGAAGTGATTGCAATCAGAAAGTGTCTAATGAGCTAATTAGGAACAGTGCTGAGGCTGGGTGAATCTGCTGAAAGCCTCTGTTCTCATCAGAATGAATGCTCCTCATGTCTCTGAATGGATAGAAGCTGCCCATCCACCCAGCGTGGCCTGCCAAGGTGACCTCCACGGCCCCCATTAGAGTATTACCCAGTCAATATGTCCACATGCTGTACAGTCATGATGTTGGACACATGTGTAACCTTCCTGTACTGTCACCATGGAAACGCATTGTTCTGCTTTTGGTTTGTCCAAAGAATAGATTAAATATTAGTAAGAGTTATCGGTACAATGATGTGCAAAGTAACTACTAAAAATCCTTCTGTGTGTGCCTGCTTACTAATTAATATTTGGCTTCGATAATACAAACAATCCTCATTCTGTGCAATTTTTTTTTCTTTTATTGCTTCTACTTGTCATGGTAATTACTATATCAACTTATCATTCAATATATGAAAGTTGGAACAATATATTTTGGGGAACCATATTTTTTGCATGTAAAACTGGGGAGATTTGAGGTATTTTTCTTGTAATACAGGAAGATTTGCGCTGTATAGCACTAAATAACTAACTTTTATGACTAATTATTGCTTAATTCTGTTATTTATGTATGGCAGCTCAGGCCTTTTAATGGTATTGTCTATTTAAATTTTGTTTATTAGGATTATCGTGCTTTATTTTTATTGTCATAGTGACATTAAGTAGTTTCAATATTATCATTTATCGCAATACAGTATATCTCTGTAGCGATATGTTGTGTTTCAGAATTTGTTAAATTGACTAAGTCTCGTTGCTTAAATGCATTGTTCTGGCACAGCATGAGAAAAAAACAGAGGGAACTACATAGACCATGATCCTTTGCTTCGTTTCAGTGCAGCCTAAATGAAGAAGTAACTGTTATAAAGCACTTTGTCTTTTAGATTATAACAGTACCGAAGGTGTGTCAAGGCATTTTAAAGGAAAAAGTAACACATTCGCTTAAGAGTCCGCTATTGGTTTACTCCATGGAGATGTTATTGCTTTGCCTGAATGTTCCATGGTATGACATTAAACATATACTGTATGTCCAACATTTATTCATTATAGGTGTTTTTCTATTGCTCAAAAATACAATAATTCTTCCTGTGAATAGGGATGACTCTCCACAGATCTAACTTGTAATGTAGCGTAGTGCTGTAACCTACCCGTCTTGTTCATGATGGATAAGTTTAATCTATACTGTGGAACTTTCTAGACAAAGCAATAACACCTTTAAGTACTTAGCTTCCATCTGTAATGAGCCATAGTTTTTAATCTCAAATCATATAAATATAAAATCATATAAATAAATTCTGATTCTGATTCTGATTATTATTATTATTATTATTATTATTATTATTATTATTATTATTATTATTATTAATTAATAATAATAAAATATTTCCCAGCAGTGCAAAGAAAAATCCAAATCCACTTCATTTCTATAGCACATTTTATCAACAAAACAGGTTCTAAAGTGCTGCACATATAAAGATAACATTTAAAAAATTGGATAAATGCTTAATTTAATCTTGCCAGTCATAAAAAGCTAAAACCAGTAAAGCCAAAATGAAAGCAAAACCCATAAAGTAGCAATAAAAAATCAATAAAATAATATACAGACGATAAACATTGACCTCCAAAAATGATTGTTCTATCTGTCATATATTGAACGATAAGTCCATACAGTATATTAATTATGGTGACAGGCGTAGAGTTCAGTGGCTAAAGTGACACAGCACTTTTTGCCGTTAAAAGCGCGTGTGTGATTGTGGTTCACGGGGGTGGCTGTAAAGGGAGTAATTGCCTTGCGTTGTGGCAGCTACTGTAATTAGTTCTGCTTGTTAGAAAAATGAAGGAGTTACTAATTAACAAGTGGATTGGCTTCTTGACTTTGTTGTGCATCTTTTTTTTTTTTTTTCCCACCCATTTTCTTAGATCATCATTATCATCTGCAGGCAAAACTGGGCAAAGACGACAAGGCAGGGCTGAAGGGGGAGCTCTGACTGTAGATGCGTGATTCTCACAGGGTACGCCGGGAGACAGCGGGCTGCTACTGTACTCTGCGTTTGTGTGTATGTATGTGGAATAAAAGCCTGGAGATGAGCTGGGATTGGCCTCTTGCACATCCATAAATAGAAAGCATGATTTATTTGTCATGTCCAGTACATCTACAGTTACTCTTGGTCGGCAATGTCACCTCTATAATGCCACAGAATGCAATGAAAAACACATCTCTAGAGACCAGTGTTGTCACGAGGATAACGTTTCAAAATTGATTTCAAACTAAGGAATTCACAAATATGCAAAGGAACTGGCCAAAATTTTATCTTATTTATTTTAGTTTATTTTTTTATGTCTTGTAATGTTTCTTTTGGTATTAACGTGCTGGGGTATAGTCAAAACGATCAACATTATGAACAATAAAACCCCCAAAACAAAAGAATTCACTCAATATTTGTTACCGATTATGACTGATTGATTGATTTATGTATTTATTTTGGGCAAGTAAGTAAATGTACATTCTTTAATAATGGAACATATAACATTAATGAAATCATAGAATAACAACAACAACAAAAAAATAAAATATAAATAAAAATGGAGAGGGAAGAAGAAAATCTATTTAATCCCACTTTCCACTTCTAATCCAGCACAGTGAGTTTTCTTTCACATTTTTCAGACATTTTACATTAAACTGTAAGAAGTATTTACAAGTGCAGACAAAGAGTCACTGTTATAGTTCATTAACATAACTGTAATTGCAATAATACATAGGATACCAGCAATTGTGCGGAAACAACAAGCATAAAGCAGCACTACAGAAGAAAGTATTGTGATAATATTAAGCCCCACTCTCTATATACTGTGACCAGACCAAATGTTTATATAACAACTTGAATTTATGGATGTTTTGGCATTGCTTGAGATGTGTACCCAGACTGTTCCAGAGTTTTACACCACATATAGACACACAGAAACTTTTACGGGTAGTTTGAACTTTAGGCAATTTGATTTCCATGCCCTCTAAAAGTATGAGTTTTCTCTCTCATTTTGAACATCTTTGTAGAATACTTGGTAGTAAATTCTTGAATGCTCTAAATAAAATGACCAGTGTATAATATTTTACAAGGTCAGGAATCTTTAGGAGCTTGGATTGAATAAAAAGGGTGTGTTCTTAAAATCCAACTTGATGGAAAATTTGCAAAGCTTGTTTCGTTGATACCAAAATGAAGGTAAAAAAATATATAATAGTAATAAAAATAGAATAGTCAAAATAATAGTACTTTCTTTGTTATCATGAAATCTTATATTTGTTCTGATAAAGCTCAAAATGTGCGTGAATGTGAAATAACTGTGACTTTTGTAGTATCAATACCTGTGCAAATGAGTATCTAATTTGATCTAATATTAGTTTTAGCGTTCATTAGTGTCTGATTTTTACTCTGAAATGTTTTTGTTAAGATTTTACATATTGAAACATACAAAACATTAAATAACACCCAAAAACATTATACAAAAAGAAAAAAATTACATACATTAAGACCCTCCTCGCACCCTAAAACACAGTTCACTCAATTTGAATTATGATTTCTCAAGTTTTTCTTTTCCTCCTTTAGATATATAGCTCAACTTCTCCAGTGCCAAATTGCTGGGCATTAATTTAATCCACTGATTTACTTTGAGCCTTTCCATTTCCTTCCAGTTGAGAGCAATAACATGTTTGGCCTGCAATAAACAAAACATTACAAGCTTCTTTCTATTTAAATTAACACTCAAGCTGTTGGGGAAGATGTAGTATGCAGAGTTTACAATCCAGTGATATCTCACGTTCATAAATCTGAAATTACAGTAGTGACCTCTTTCCAAAATAGTTGGAGTTTTCCACACTACAACGAAACAGGGTCCCCTTTTATTATTATCTGACTTTTGAAACTTTTTTATACAACCCTAGAGACCAGAGGTGGGACCAAGTCTTTGTTTTGCAAGTCAAGTCTTTGACCTCAAGTCTGAGTCAAGTCCCAAGTCACATACAGACAAGTTCAAGTCGAGTCTGGAGTCACTGGCCCATAAGTCCAAGTCAAGTCCAAGTCATCTGCTTTGAGCTTCAAGTCATTTCAAGTCTTTAAACCAAAGTACCAAATATAGATAGATAGATTTTTGCAATTTATATGAATTTTAAGATAAATTGTACTTCAACCAGAGTATATTTATATGTCTATATGTATTTATAGAGTATTTAAGAGTTATAGAAATTAATTTAGTTAATTTTTCCCTTTTAAATATCTCAACAAGATCTTGTGAATCAGTGCGAATCATTACGGTTAGAATAGAAAGAATTCCGGTATAAAAGTGCTTCTCAAGTCACAGGCCTCAAGTCCGAGTCAAGTCCCAAGTCACTGATCTTCAGAGGCCAAATCGAGTCCCAAGTCTTAGTCCATTTTATCAAATCAAGTCTCAAGTCCTAAAAATAGTGACTCAAGTCCAAGTCACGACCTGCAAGTCCCCACCTCTTCTAGAGACACATTCAGATTGGAGAACTGTTGTAAAATATTTTGAGTAGTTTTATTCAAATAATACTACCAACGTATACCATATGAAAACTATTCACTATATTACTCACTATATAAATATGCCGTCCTCCCCCTCTCTTTTTGCCCTTCATTCAGCCTTGTGAAATATGACATAATCTTTACCCCATGTTAAAAAGTTAAAACCTTCTCACAAAATCTTCTTAAGCTTTTTGTATGAAAATCTGAAAAAGGGTTAAAATAGTTTAGCCTGATGTCACACTCTTATCGATAATTCCTGGGAGCTCCGTGCGCGCTCTCTCCGCTGATCCGCTTCCAAGAACCATCCTGATGTTAGCATTACATAAGCGCCGCCGGAAGAGACAGCGGCCCGGAGAACATACTAATCTGCCTATGTGATTATTAGTCATAATATTTAACAGTGGCTCAATGATCGCTCTGCACCCTAATCTTTATCTCGTACCTTCACCTGTTCACGCTCACCAAGCCTCTTTACTCACTTGCCTTTGAGGTGGGGGAAATAGAATAATTACTCCTCAAATACGTGTAAAATTATGTAAAAATATTGAGCTACTACAAGCCGTGTGCTAGTTTCTCCAGAGTGTAGTGCAGTGATGTTATTACTTGCCTGGAATGTTTCACAGTATGGCATTAAGCTTATCTATCTCCATGGAGAAAATAAAATCGCCTGTAAATGAATAAATGCAAAATTGATAACGTTAATGCCATACTTTGGAACATTCCAATGCAACACTATGCAATTCCTATGAAGCAGACCCTCCACCTGAAAGTTACACAGTGTGCCTTTAAGTTTAGCCTGAACTGGTTTCATTTTGTGTTTGACCTCGCAGCATTAGGATTTGTTCGCTCAACGGTAGGCGGGTACTTTTTTTATCTAACCAATTGCTGCTGTTTGGTCGTGACGTATGTAATGTGCCGCTGACAGGGCTAACTGGTATATTAAGCTTTTCCCAAATCCCGTAGGAAGAAGGACAATAACGTCTTTCCCCTTGATAAAATTCACCAAACATTCTCTTTGTTCCGGCTTTAAATCCTCGATCTCGGGAATCATTGACAACACAGAATGTATGGCTCTTCGCTGATTGGCTGGTGCTCGAACTCACACTTCTGGGGTTCTTGCAAACCGTCTAATGTATTCTGATTCCTGACCTAGTCGCTGGAGAGAAATGAAACTGAGCGGAGGCACTAGGTGACTGCTTTAATTTAGGCTTGTCAAGAATAAAATGCTAAAATATCACGATAAATGATAATATTAAAACTACTTCATGTCACTGACAAAGTAATATATAGCAGGATAATCTGAAAAAGACATTTCTAAATGTGAAATATTGTTAAGAGCATGAGCTGCAATAAATACATGGAAAAATGAAACCATGATTTTGTATCTATAATCATTCGTAGAAGTTACTTATTTGACCCTTATGATACTACCAAAATATAACCCAAAAAACTCTATCCCCACTATGGCACACACATGTACACACAATAAATAAAGCCCTCATATATTGAACAAAACATACCTAAGTATAGTCTGTGGAAAGATGCTTATTTCATAGTGTACAAACTAAAGATCACATGCTATAATGTTTACACTTATTATGAATATGACAGACCAACCAGGATCACTTTCAGTCCTCTTAGCTTCCTGTGGCATCTCGACACGCACCACTGCCTCCACACTTATTCACATTTTGTCTTTTGACTGTGTAGGCTCAGTAACAAAGGCCCGATATGCTAAGATCTGAACAAAACGCTTTGTGTTTTGTCTCTCTTTTGTAGTTGCAAACATAGGCTGTTATCCACATACACACATTTTTTGAGATAAAGTGAGCATGCTTCAGTGAGGAGGTTTGTGAAAAGCTTTTGTTTCAGAAATAGCATGCTACAGTACAGACGGAGAAAGCCAAATGGGCCCGCTGAGAGTGATGGTAGCAGAGTTAAGAGATGGTTCAAAAAGTGCACTTTACTTTGGCTTGGTTGCAAAGTTTTGTAGTTGTGTTTTGTAGTAAAATTACATAAAGGTGTAGAAAATTGTCTTCCGGCTACTTAGTAGTTGTAATTCTTATTTATTTATTTATTTTCAAAATGTAACTTGTTTGAGCTCGGCATCAGCAGTGTGGAGGAATGTGCCTTTCTTGTCCAGTCGCATCAGTCTATGTCCTGTATGTATGTGAGTGTACTGTGCGTCTGTTCATCTTGTTTTGTCTTATATGTTCACGTGTATGTCTGTTTTTTTCTCTTTTTTCTCTCCCGTTTTGTTCACTTTTCCCTTGTTGTTGGAGGAGAAGGCGAGTCCCGGGGCTCCTGAGGACGACACCAAGCTGTCGGTAGGTATTTGTCTTTGTGATGATTCTGTGTTTTGTTGTGTTAATGTTTCAGTGTTCTCTCTCCCTCCATCATTCTGTGAATCAAACATGTATCCTGTTATCTCCAGGCCTTCAAGTGTATGTGGGGGTGACACATCTCCATCTATTTCTGAAGATTTGTTTTTATCTTTGCTGCATTTTGTACACGGCATGGCTGAGCATGTGTTTGGGGGCAGGATCCGGAAAATCTTACAATGTAATTAACTGTAACTTTACTTTTCTAGACGGGTCTAACCTGGTTTGACATACCTAGATGATGCATGACACTTCTGCAAGTGTCTTATTATAATTCATCTTGTTTACATCCTGTTACTACTGTTACATCTCTGCTAAAGCATGAATTGCCGTCATGCACCTGCCTTCACTTGTGTACAAGCAAAGACTAGTGCTGTCCAACAGCCTCTTCTTTTCCATCCCTCCAATCTATTTGACCCAGTCTTTCCCAGAGCAGTAAGTATCCATGGAACAATGTGAGGGACTCTTCAGACTCCAGATCTTAAAAACAATGGAGCTGGGCTATTAGTTTGTATATGCATTTTCCTCACCAATGTTGTGTTTTGACAAAACTCCCTACATGCGTCACCTGTGGCACACCTGTGGACCTCAACACCATTTTGCTTTGGTGCTTTTTGGAAAATGAAACATTAAATGCATGGCTTTTCCTGATAGGCTCATGAATGTGGAAGCTCTTTTTGAGCAAAATCATTTTTTTTCCATCCAGAGGTGTTAAAGATGCGTGTTTCACGCTAAAAGTTTTGAAGTGGTTTAAGTCATAACCATCACATGCTGTGTTTTCTAATAGCGTGACTCGGGTGCTTATAATTGCACTGCTTCATGCTATGCTTCACAGTGGATGGACATCACCTATTCTTTCCACAATCTCCCTGTATGTAAAGTAAAGTGTGTAATAGTGTTGTATGCTCCCACAGGCACGACCTCGACTCCAGAGAGGAGGGAGCTCAGCCTCTTTACACAACAGTCTGATGAGAAACAGCATCTTCCAGCTCATGATCCACACACTGGACCCTTTAAGTGAAGGTATGGCTCTCACTGCTACAGGACTACTTTTAGTGCTATTTAGATTTTACTTAAATGACAGTAAAATGATGAGGGCTGAGTGATATGGAAATAAAAATCACATCATGATCTCATCCATGTGATAATGTGCAGTTTTGGTCATATTTCCTGATTGTGATTCTGTCTAATGCAGCTTTATACTCAAACATAAGACACTTTTTCCTCCCACTTCTCCTATTGGCTAGCCCTAACACTCTGAGTGAGTGATAGGTTGAAATAACCAATCATAGTGAAGTATAAACTCCAACTGAATGAATGAATGAATTGTGTTAAGTCAAAATCGTAATATTCATTGTTGACATATCGCTCAAGCCTACTGCAAATCTATACATTTAAAAAAGAGAGAATTCAGTTAAATGGTTAGATTCAAGCATATATAAATAGTTATTTATCTTTATTCTCAGTTGCGTATGTTCTGTCTCTTTGCTTCCTCTATTGCAACACAATTTCCCCAATTTTTTACAGATAAAAAAATTAAATAAAATCAGCTGTCAAAAAATAAATAAAGATTTTAACTTGAAAATGTATCTGAAATGTCACAACATGTAATTAAAACTTTCCTTAATCTTGAATTTCATTGGAGTATATGTATTCCAATCCAAACCCTACATCATTTACATAGAAATATTATTTTTAAAACGTTTTTTTTAAGTTGTGTCAGTGCTATTGTTGGTCTGCAGCTCCTTGCTTGCAGTTCTCTCTCCATCATTCTTTCAGTTACAACATACAGTCTTTCTTCTGCTGCTGATTGGCTGTGCACAAACTTATATCTGTCTTTTCCGATGCGATTAGCTTTAGTTTAGAGAATGTGAAGTGGCAATGACTCACAGGGGGAAAAACATGCTAATACCCAAAGAGAGGAGTGGTGTCATCCTTATCTTTGCACTGACTTCGGATCGGATCCAAGATGGTGAATATTAATGAGCTGCAAACAAGAACTGACAGATAGAAGGAGGAAATTCATACTTTGCTTTAGGGAAATGTCCAGATATATTACAGAACTAGTGTCTGAAATCCTCCATAGAATAAGATATACTGTAGAACGTTTGGTTGGATTTTGATGCCCGGACTGTATTTTTGAAGATTTCCCAGAAGTTATTAATTATGAATGGGACAAGATTTCCCCCTAATGTGTTTACATTTGGCATAGATAAAAAAGGTAGTTAGTAACGTCTCTTGAGAAGCCACAGTTCTAAAAATGTAATGTTCCAGTGACATCAAAAATATAAATAAAATAAATCGTAAGGTAAAAATTGTGTTTAAAAATTATGTTAAAATTGTGACTTGTTCTTGTGAAGCTAATGTGTCTTATCCGATTCCTAAAAGCTGTAGTTGATTTAAAGGTGCACTGTGTAACTTTTCTAGTTGAGGGTCTGCCACCTGCTTGTCTCCATGGAGATATTACTGTTTTTTTGTCTTATAGTATGAGATAAATTTGGTCAAATCTATAGAGAAGTAAGCCTGCACGGGGTAAGAATTCATGTTTTTTAATTTGTTCTTGAGCTGTAAAACACCTGTAATTGAATAAAAGCAAGGCAGATATGTTTAATGCCCTACTGTGGAACATTCCATACAAAAAAAAAAAATCATATCCATGGAGACAAGCAAATAGTGAACCCTCGACCTTACAAGTTACATAATGCACCTTTAATATTACAATAACAGTAAATAATCATGTAAAGGAACATTGTGTAACTTTTCTGGTAAAGAGCAAATGCTTTTCTCCATGGAGATGTTATTGCTTTGTCTGTAAAGCTTCAGAGTGTGGTATTAAATAAAACCACTTGTATTTGAATAAACGGACGGTGTTTAATGTCACACTGTGGAACATTCAGGGCAGTGACATATCCAGAGAAACAAGCCAAACAAAAAGTTACATAGTGCACCTTTAACCAGAGATTTATATTTTCAGTTTTTGTTTAATGTGCAGCTCAGCCTAAAAAAATGTTACAGAAACAAAATTTAATGTAAAACTGACGCTTCATTCTTAAAGGTGCACGTTTTAACTTTTAAGGTTCTGCTACTTGCTCGTCTCCAGGAAGATGTTATTTCTTTGCCTGGAATGTTCCACAGTAGGGCATTAGAGTCCGTGTGTCATCTCGTTCATTTGTTTTTCAACATAAAACCCAAAATAAGAAAATGAAAAAACAGCTATTTTCTTCATGATTTGTTTCCAAATCCCCCCAAAAAAATGTATAACGATTTGTTTTTTTCATTTTTTGATTTTGTGTTTAAATGAAGAATGGAAAAAACGGATAACAGCTGTTTCCTGTTTTCGTGACTTAAACTGCGATGCTGGACTGAACCAGGACTGAACCAGAACTAAAACAGATCTAAAACAGGACTGAACAGGTCTAAACTATCTCTAAACCAGAAGTGAACCAGGACTAAACCAGGTTTCAGTCCTGGTCTCAGTTTCAGTCTCGGTCCCAGTCTGGGTCCAGTCTGGTCCCGGTTTCCTGATCACCTGACAGTCTACGCGGGCGCACATCCGGACCAGTCCCGAAACTCCTTCGTTAGTGGTTTAATCTTGGTTCAGTTCTGGTTTAGTCCTGGTTTAGGACTGAGGACCAGGACTGGGACTGAGACTAGGACTGGGACCAGTTTAGACCTGGTTTAGTCCTGTTTTAGTCCTGGTTCAGTCCTGGTTCAGTCTGGCATCATTTTTTCATTTTCTTAATTTTGGTTTTATGTTGAAAAACGAATGAACAAATGACACACGGATTAATTAGACATATCTCCCATGCATTTTTTCAATTACGGGAGTCTCAAAAATACCTTCAAAAACATGAATTCTGACCAATAACCTACTGTATTGACACTGTGATTTCCAAGTTTATTTCCATACTGTGGAATAATCAAGGCAAAACCATAATATCTCCATAGAGACAAGCAGGAGACGGACCCTCCACCACAAAAGTTACACAGTGCATCTTTAAGTGCAGAAATGAGTGTCTTGTACAATGTAGCAGATTATATTGATGAGTCTTTTGGCAAACGACTGCCTGGAAATGAATGCAGAGGCGCCGTGTGACATGACTGAGGATTGAATTAATTAGTCGCAAGAACAAAAGCAACACTTCGGGCTTGATTTGAATACATAATGGAGTGATTTCCATTTGGCACATTGGAACTTTTGACTAAGAAGAAGAAGAACAGTACACTCAAATCATTCCTGCTGTTAAAAATATCCACTGAATAAAGCGTGTACAGTCATACTACTGTCGTTTAGTGTAAGAAGAAGATCACCAAGTGCACTCATCCAAACTCATTATTATTATTATTAGCCTATGCGTGCTCTTTCAGTAAACCTAGTGATCTGCTGGGAGGCGGCACAGTTCTGGTCTGGACATTATTTTTTCATAAAGACGTCTGAAAATAAATCCAAGGATAAATTGAGGACATCAGCTCCTGTGTACATGTACAATGGCATGATTTTATTTTATGTATTGTTTGTGTTTGTGGTTCAGACCTGTACAAAAAAATTAAATATTACAAGACAACGCGCATTTATGTATTCTAGCTCTGGTTGTAACAGTTAAAGGTGTACTCTGCAACTTTTCTGATGGGGAATCTGGCATCTGTTTGTCTCATTTAAGAGCTTACTGTTTTGGAATGTTCCGCAGCAGAGCATTAAGCATGTCTATCTTACTTTTTTTCCAAGAGTACATATTTGTATTATTTAAGAATACCTCAAAAACATGTAAGTGGAGTTGCCTCTTCACAGATCTGACGTCACCTGATTGTCTCCATGGAGATAGACATGTTTAATGCATGGAGTGTATATATATATAAATGGACTCTGCTGCAGTGAGCCTCGCCATTTTGGTCTTAAAATGTTCGTATTAACCCGCTCTACATCATCCTAGTGTTTTTACTTCATGTTTTTGTCCGTTAATAAATTTCTCTTCCTAATATCAGACATGTCAAACTCAGGCGCAGGGACCAAATTTGGCCCACGATATAATTATATTTGGCCCGTGAGATCATATCAAACATGTATTAGAGCTGGTCCACCGACTACAGAACCTCATGAGCTTAATTTGACTGGAGACGAATGCTATGGGTGACATCGCTCTCTCTTAGTCCACTTCTTTATACAGTCTATGGTTTAATGCTATAGTGTGGAACATTCAAGTCAAAGCAATCATTTCTCCATGGAGACAAAAGTGTGACAGACTCCCCCACAAGGAAAGTTACACGGCGCAACTTTAAAAACACCTAAATCTGACGCTGTTGATTCTACCGTCTCTATTGTGAGTTGTTATGTGTTTGATGTTGTGGCATGAGCACCTTTCAATTACTAATTTCTCTGACACTGTAAACACTATCACTGGATTTATCTCTTCTGTTTTTGTCCACTGTCCCTTCAGAATTTGCTGACTCTGGTGAGTGATCCCTTCTGATACTTCCCCCTTTCTATCCTCCAAAATCTTCAGTGTCTTTTGTGTGTATTCCTGCATCTCTCTTTCGCTGTTATCCTGAACATTTTCCCAGACGCATTGATGTCTCCGATCTTCCTTCATTTCTGTAGCTTTGTGGACCCTCCTCCATGTGTCCTGTAGTTCTCCTCACTTGTCCTCAACCCAGTCCTCTGTCTCCTCTTGTAGTTGTCCTCTCTCTCCTGAATGCTTTTCTTGTGTTTCATGGGAATAATCAATAAAAGAGCTACAGAGCAATTAATGGTGGTTGGGCTGAATTTTCGCTTTTTACAATTAGCTATTCTCACCAAATGATTATTGATTCGCACTCTCTGGAGACCTAAAGAAAACTGCGTGTAAAAGTAATTAGGTTTAATAATATACTTTAATTGTTAAAGGACAAGAATTTCCCTTCATCAGCAGCAATATTGTTTGTGAATAGCGGATATTGAACTGCGAGTAGACACGGAGGAGGCAGAGTGGCCCTTACGCCTACATCTGTGTTCCCAGTGGAGCGTTAAGATCTAAAACAGTAACACAGGAGACTACGGTTAGGCCTGCCACGGTAGTTACTTTATCGACTTACAAGAATTGTTTTGGTCAGTATTTATCATGTACGCATTTTCTTACTCTCTCTACTGGAAACCTTTAGTTATTTTTTGGTTCTGTGATAAGATTTGAGCCATAAAAGGTTGAATTAATGACTAGTAAGACTCATTATGGATGCAAGTGTTTAATTCTGGTAATTATTTCTGCTATTTATTTATTTATTTATTTATTTATTGCAGCTCTTGGTTCTTTAACAATACTGTACATTTAAAATATGTTTTGTGGCTTAAATCTGTTCTAAGGTTATCTAGTGTTAATTCTTTTCAATATTATCTTTTATCTTCTGTTATTTCTTATATATATATCATGTCCTTCTGTAGTCTAGAGTCCCATCATTACCCATCATACTTTGTGCTATTGTATGGTGTTATGGTTAAAAGGACAAGGCCACTTAAAAGGGCACTCTATAGCCACATTTGTCTGTGTGGGAGGTCAGGCACCCGCTTTGTGACATTAGATGACACTGATACTTTGCAGTGACATCATTCTGGGGGTGTTCTGGTTGTATCTCTATTTGTGGAATGTTCAGCAGTTACTACGGTGACACCATATAGGTCCAACCGAGGCAGCTATATTCTGGTGAGATTTTGTTAAAACAAAGCTCAGATTAAGTCTAACTTGAGTAACAGAGTTTCAGACGGAGTAGTGCTTCAGTTAGTATCAAATCCCCAGGGAATATTTATGATATCACCTGCGAAGTATCAATTGCTTTGCCTGAAATGTTTCACAATATGGCATTAAACGTTTTATTCAGCACTGTGGATATTCATACTGTGGATCATTCCAGGCAAAGTAGTGACGTCTCGGAAACAAACAGGTGGCTATTGCTCCACCAGAAGAGCTACTTAGAGCACCTTTATTTAATGTAGACCGTAAGCAATATTTATACATTTATACAAATTCATTTAATTATTTAATGAGAAGAAACTGTACCCCATAGTCCCGCTGAAATCAGTGCTCAGTGATACAGTCTATTCTATATGCATGAGGCGGAAAAATATTCATTTTCTTGTATTGGACAAAATTCTATGCATTCAAGTCCAAATCCAGCTTTTTACAAACTGGTTCCTATTATTTCATTAACATATTCAATACAGTATTTTACCATGTAGATAAGTTGAGAACACAAAACATATTCTCATTTACATTTTCAGAAATTCTTTTTTGAACAATATCAAAGTGCAGTGATACTTGGAGATACAGCACATTTAAAACTATGCCAAACCTGATCAATCCCATTAGCTTAATAAAGAGAAAATGGTAAGTCCATCCACCAAAAATGTCTTTAGGTAGCATAAAATAAATCATAATGCACAGGCATAATTGTCCAATATCTTTTTCAATAGAGGTTTCTATTTAACGCTTCGCTTCGGCTGATGATTGATTGTTTGCATTACAGTACCTCTATGTGAGGTTATAGAAGAGTGCTATGGCCATCCTTCCACCCTCCGATCATTATCTCACTGTGATAAAGTGGAAAGGATCGCTGAGAAAGCCCAAACAGCCTTGAACATCTTTGACGAGGCCATTTGTTATGAGGCAGACGTAGTACAGTGCTCCATGACAAGAGAAGGTCATTTGGGTGGAACAGCGTTCTGCATACAGCACTTATTCGTTTATTAAAATATCTGTAATACACATTTCAGTAAGCTTAGCAGATTAGCTTTCAAACTCTCATTTGGGAGAAAAATGTACCTGTCACGATGTGTTGGTGCAGATTTTAGTTTTAAAGCATGTTAGAGAGTGCAGTAATAGGTGGCAGCAGCACAGGTGCTGTTGCAGTTAGTACAGTAATAGTGCAAACTTTTTACTTAGTGTTTTCAACTTCAACTGATCTTTTTACTCAGAAACCACTTTAACCTCAATTTCCTGTTTTCTACTGGTGTCTAGTTTGCGCTCAGCTGTGCTTTCTGTGGTCCAATTGATCACATAGTTCAATAATCCACTCTCTGGGTGAGTGGGACCAGCCACCCACCCTGTGGTCAACGGAAATGTATTTTCCATTAATGCACATGTAATATATTGGCATTTGGAGTTTTTTGAGTAGCACTCTTATGTGTTAATGTGCATGTTAACAGAATTACACTTTGACAGTTACATGTGTTTGTGTATAATCAGTAAAATAAGTAATGGTCTGAACGAACTAAGACAGTATGTTCTTTGCACCAGTCCAAAGCACAGCTAAATGCTCAAGGTTTCTTCAGAACAGGGTTTTGATATAAAAGTAAGTTAAAGATAAGCAAAAATAAGCAAACAAAAGAAAATACTGGGAGGATTCTTGCCCACACCCACTCAAATTAAATATGACAGCAAGTTATGTATTATTATATTGTCGGCTATTTATACCCGTTCTAAAAATGGATGTCCGAGCACTCCTCACCGTGCCCTCTGAGCCACCCTTTTCCGGGTCGGTAAAAAAATCAATGTTAAAAGCCTTTTTGCCTCTGCACTGACTGAGTTTCCCTGACACCCCAGCCCCGCGCTATGGCCCGAGGTTTAGAGGTCAGGACACAAGGACAAGAGGTGGATGGGTAAACAACAACAGACTCCGCCCCCAACAAGTAGACGCCCATGTGAGCCAGTGTTTATGCTGCGGTCCGACTGCCCTGCCAGTGTAAACCTCCAGCTCTAGTACGTTAAGTACAACGGGAGGAAAGTGAAGGAGATGAGCAAATGCAATCTGAGATGACGATATCGTTTTATCTCATTAGACTGGTGTGAGGAATTGCCACGCCACTCGTTTGGTGTGAGGAGAGACACATAATATCACTAATATCACAAGTGAACTAAGATGGACTAGATAAGAAGTAATTAGAAGTATTTGGATACTTCCTATTAAACTGGTATTGTGGATTTCTGATTTGGAGAAAAATATGTAATTTTTTTGTATAAGATTGCGATTAAATTTACAGTTTCTGTTTTAAAGGTGTACTGTGTAACATTTCTAATGGAAATTCCGTCACCTGCTTATCTCCATGGTAATGTTCTTGCATGTCTAGAGCAGGGGTCTCCAACCTGTAGCTCGGGAGCAACCAGTAGCTCTCCGCCAAGGGATTTCGGCAGAATACCATTCTGCTGAAAAACAAAAATGTGGTTAATTACATGCTTATTACCATTAGGGCTGGGTATCAGTCAGAAATTGCTGATACGATACATACCTCGATACATAGGCCACGATAAGATACACTTCTCAATACAGTGCACTTTTGATTCGATACAACATATTTCAAATCTATTCAATGCAGTTCAATAAAAATAAAGGCTAAATCATGTCTGTGATACTAAAAGTCTTTGTTAAACCACTTCTTGTGCAAAGTGAATATGAAACACAAACATTTCAACCCTCAAAAACAGTGAAAATGTCAAACGTGTCGCATAATTGAGTTTCCTTCCTCTAAACAAGTAACAAAACTGAAGCTCTGTAACTAATAATTTTGTCAAATATACCAAAAAATACTCTTGCCGATGTATTGATACAGCAGCACACGATATCAATACTGTATCATCATTAAACAATATAATATATATCGATATTTCAATATTTTGGACACCCCTAATTACCATTGTTCATGTATCATTTTGAATCCCAGCTTTGTGCACTAATAAATGGACAGTGGTTTATTTATGTTTTAAAGGCATCTAACTGTACTCCAAGACTTGAGCTCTTTGTAGCTCATCGGAGAAAAAAGGCTGGAGACCCCTGATCTAGAATGTTCCAGAGCACAGATTAAACCTATCTATAACGAGGGGGACCTGCAGGTTACAGCACTATACTACATTACATTTCAGATCTGTGGAGAGGCATCACTTTTCACAGAAGGAATTAATGTATTTTTAAGGAACAGAAACACCCGCAATGAATAAACACTAGATGGATATGTTTAATACCATGGAACATTCCAGACAAAGCAACAACCTCTCCATGGAGACAAGTAGCTATAGCGGACCCTTCACCAGAAAAATTGCACAGTGCAGCTTTAATAATAGAATTCTGTTCAAAGTTCACGTTTGAAAAAAAGACTGAAATATGAACTGACGAACTAATACAAATATCACATTTCAGAGCATGCTTGTGCAGATCTAAACTACACGATTGGCAGTTTTATGCAGAATAAGACATGATATTTAGTAGTTTGTGGATGAAATTATTATGTCAGCCTTTGTGATTTGCTCATTGCGGCCATTCAAATTGTGATTTTGATTCGATTGAGATAAATCCAGCATTAGTTCAGTGTTATTAACTCCATTTTTATATTCCTATGAGGTTTTTGTTGAGCCACACTAAAATAAAACTATAGATAGACAACAGACTTTTTTTTTTCTTTTTAAAATGTTTTTGTCTCAAAGGTAATGCTATTGTAAAAGATGCATTGTGTAACTTTTTGGCTGGGGGCATCACCTGTTTGTTTCTATAAAAATGTCATTGCTCAGCCTGGAATGTCCCACAGTATGACATTAAACAGGTCTACATTATATTTATTCAATTACAGGTGGTTTTATAGCTCAAAAATACATAGAAAAACAGGCATTCTGACTGTGAGTGGGGTCGCCTCTCCACAGATCTGGCCAGTAACTTGGTCTGGTTTGGTCTCCATGAAGATAAAAGGTTTAATACCACACTGTGAAACATTCCAGACAAAACAATAACAGCACATAATTATACAATGCTCTTTTAATGCTGTTGTTAATTAGTGACGAGAACTAGTAGTGCTGATGTGAATAAATATACACACAGCTCCTTTTAGAACCTCATAAACATAACAAGATTTTGTGGTAATACTTCATAATAACTTCACTTGAATTTAATAAAGAAATAAAAGAATAAACTTAATTTGTATTCCTCACCCCAACCTCTTATGTAAGTAGTTAAAATTCTTATTATCTAATATAAACGATCTAATCTATTATATTTAATTATATCAGCTCATTTTGAAATACGTTTTTGTTCATGTTTGATGATTCAGAAGCTGTAGTTTATTCATTTATTTATTTACTGGAGCTCCATTAGTAAAAACTATTCTTCCTGGGGTCCAAGTTATCATCTAATCTAGTTACGAGTTTTGTAAAAGTAAAGCATATAATTTCTTCTTGATGTGTTGTTTTGTTTTCCTGCATAACATAGCAAGGCTTAAACAAGAATTTAGCAGTTTTGCATGGCCCAAATCAGCAGATATGTGCTGTAGGCGGTCAGCTATCCCTCACACAGGGCATGATGGGAATTGTAGTCTGCAGATTGTTGAAGTCCCAGCTGCTGCAGGTTTGATTCTGTGGTCCTATTCATCACAAAGACATGCTGACCTGTGTCTATTTACTGTACCGGGAAGGACTGCTTCAGCGCAGAGAATCAAATGAATGGTCTGCCTTTCATTGCCCAGAATAAAATGCTGAGTCATTCAAACGTGTGGCAGGGCAGAGGAGGAGGAGGAGGAGGAGGAGGAGGACATGTGTTTTGTTGCATGTTTAGTCCAGGAAATCTCTTCTTGTCCTGTCCTGAGTCATTGTACTACATCCATTTTTATTATGTTATAACTATATTTACATCCCCTTTCACCCTCTGTGTAACTGTGCTTTGGGTGTGAGTGTTGTTGTGTACCTTTGTGATGTGAAATTGTCCCAAATGGTCTTGTATTGTGTCTCTTTTCCTATTTATGTGTGTCTGCTGCCTTACCCTTGTCTTTTGCTGTGATGTTGTAGAGCTTGGGACTTATGGGAAACTAAAATATTATCACTCAATGACTGAAGAAGGTAAGCTTTAACGTTTTTCTTTCGACGCCATCCATCTCGTCTTTCCAGATTTTAAGTTTTGCCTGCTCAGATGTGACTCTTGGAGATTTCACTAACACCAGTGTAAATCGTGACTCACTCAAAAATCACAACCCATTTTGCATTATGATTTTCCAGCTTTATTTTGAACTTTCTCTCTGTACAGATCAGACGTAACATTATGACCACAGTTTTAGTCTTTGCCATGTGTCACCTATACTGTTTCTGTTACTGTTCCTTTCTTTGGCCTTTTTTGAGCACTACAGACACCTCACAAGACATGCTTTTACCTAGAAAGAACAAAGTATAATCTTGCTTGTTTACACGAGTGGTCATAAAGTTGTGCCTTATCCATATGTTGTAGTTGTATACAGTGGCTAAAATGGTATTGGAAGCATCACATTTTTTATATATTTTTTTCCAATTTAAAGTATTTCTAATTGTGCTACTGATGTGAAATTTTCATCTGATGTTGGTAACAGCTTTAGTACTCCACACATACAAATAATTCATATAATAGATCTCCATATTATTTAAAGGTCCTATGTTACATTAAATTATCTCTTGTGATCTTTAAGCCATGTTACGTCATCAAAAACGTACTTGGAGTTGTGTTTTGTTTGAGTAATCCTTTATTATTAAAGTTCATAATGCTCTGTTCCACCTTGTGATGTCATTTAATAGTAATTTTCAGGCTTAACAGCTACCTTTTACGTTTTTTCAATAGAAATTGGCAATTCCAGGGCTGAAATTATCCAAATGATCCTAGTGAAGGTTAGTCACGCTGGTGTCACCTAGTGCCTCCACTCAATTTCATTTATCTCCAGCGACTAGGTCAGGAATCAGAATACACTAGATGGTTCGCAAAAACCCCGGAAGTGCGAGTCCGGGCACCAGCCAATCAGCGAAGAGCCATATATTCTGTGTTGGCAAAGATTCCCGAGATTAAGGATTTAAAGCTGGAACAAAGAGAATGTTTTGTGAATTTTATGAAGGGGAAAGACGTTATTGCCCTTCTTCCTACGGGATTTGGAAAAAGCTTAATATCCAGTTAACTCTGTTAGTGGTGCATTACATACGTCACAACCAAATAGCAGCGATTGGTTAAATTAAAAACGTACCACCTACCGTCGAGCGAATGAATCCTAATGCTGTGAGGACAGACGGTTTCTACGAAGTGAAACCGGCTGATGAATCAGGCTAAGTGGAGGTGTATGTCGTTTAAAAACGTTAGAGCATTTTTTGTATTACTACATGGCATCATATGGTGGAACAGGGTGTTTTCTGTTTGAGAGAAGAACTCAACCTAAATGTGCAGAGTTTTGGATTAAACATGTGTCAGTGAAACAAAACACAACTCCAGATATGTTTGTGATAAGAGAACATTATAACATAGCTCAGAACAAGCACAGTAGGCCCTGTAATGTGCAAAAATATAACACAGGGGGTTAAAAGGGCGTGCCAAACTAAAAGCATAGAAAGCTTGTACACTTCTGAAAGGAAATCTAAACTCAAAGGAATAGTCCAGTGAGCACTGTTGAAAGTATTTGTATATTTAGTATATTTGTGACCAGAAATGCTGTGACATAATAATCAGGTTAAATGAGTTTGATTTTAGAGGATGAAAAGATTCTACAGTGGCCCTAACAATCAAAACTTGACCTTAAAGTGGGACTAAACACCTACACTATACGCCCACAGCCACATATCAAACAGAGCTGCTAAACTGGGCAGTACCTGGAGGACTAAAGAAGAGAGCACAAAGAGAGGAGGGAAATCGCAGTGGTCACTGTAGGCAGCACACACTGAGATGTTCGATTTTTGACCAAAGCTGCAAATGTACCAGGTTTGCACTAAAGTTGCCAAAAATACAATAGGAACAGTAGATAGTGCTATTAAAAACACCATATATACAGTTTAGTAGCAAAACAAAATAGATTTGGTGTTTTGTTCCACTGAGAAAAGAAGATGTACACAAAAACCTTCTCACCAAAATAATGAGACATCCAGTTCCTCAATACAGCGTGGGCCTTGGAGCTGTCATAATTAACAAAAGTACAAAATATTATCATAAGAATATCTTTCTGAAACATGATTTAGGCGCATTTAGATTGAGTTCTTGTGTGGATTACTTAAAGATCCTGTATTACACATAAATGATTCTTGTGAGCTTTAAGCCATGTTAGAATGCTGTTACCTCTTTAATTTCATTCATACATGTTGGATACATGTTTGATTAATCCTTTATTATTAGTCTGTCTACATCTTCGAAGCTCAAAATGCTCTGTCCCACCTTGTGATGTCATGTAGTCAAATTAACAGCTGCTTTTTACCTTTAGTTCAGTAGAGATCCAGGTCTGAAATGTTCCCAATGAGTCTAGTGACGGTGTATGGAGTTTAAAAACACAGTGGAGCACCTTCTGTATTACTAGATGACATCACAAAGTGGAAAAAGACCTAAATATGCAGGGTTTGTGTGTTAAACATGTGTGAATGAAACAAAACACAACTCCAGATATATTTGTGATGAAGAAGCAACATTAAAATATCATAAATTTTAAAAAAAAGTGTAATCTGGGCTCTTTAAGTTGTTGCCATTTGATCATGTTAATAGCACCACTAGAATTATAAACATATTTATATTCTTCCAGTAGCAATTTAAGCCACTGTATGTGTTTATTATTTCTCAGTCATTTGCATCTTTGTGGGACTTATATACAGAAAAACACTTTGAACAGCTGGAGGAACACAACAGCCTGTACAGAAATATGGCACTAAAACGTCTCCATTGCCCAAGATTTACCCCCATTGATTCCTTTTGTCTTTCGCCCCTGCAGAAATACTCCAGCCTCTTTACCCATCTCTTTCACTGACTAATACATCATTCTCGCCTCACCACTCACCCGGGGCCTTTTACTTGTACTCGCATGTTAGATGTGTGGTGCTGAATTGGGCAAACTGGCGTGAGTCATCCTTCCAGAGCCAGTGGTTGCATAACAGGCAAGAGCTGACAGAGAAAATTGAGGGAGAGTGTGGGGTTGTCAAGGGAGTGGGGTCGTTTTTGTATAGTAATATTCAAATCTTAAGTCCTTTTGAATGAACAAACAGGACGATGCACGTTTGCACATAGACACATGTTAAAGGTGCACTGCGCAACTTTTCTGGTTGAGGTTACACTACTGCATGTTAGATAGATAGAAAAAATACTTTAATTATACCAGAGGAAATTCATTTTTCAGCAGCAACAACGATACATAATAATAATAATGATAGAGCAGTAATTAAATTTATAGATGTATGTATTTATAAATATAGATAAAATGATGTAATTTATAATATATAATAATATATAGTTAAATAAGATAACATAGATGTAATTTATAGATTCATATGTTATCACCAGAGGCAGTGCTACCATTAAGCAAAAGTAAGCGACTGCCTAGGGCCCTCAAACCTAGCCTGATTCATCAGCCGGTTTCACTTCATAGAAACCATCGGACCTCGCACCATTAGGATTCGTTCGTTCGACAATAGGTGGGTACTTGTTATCATTTAACCAATCGCTGCTACTTGGTCGTGATGTATGTAATGTGCCATTAATGGGGCTAACTGGTGTATTAAGCTTTTCCCAAATCCCATAGGAAGCAGGGCAATAATGTCTTTCCCCTTGATAAAATTCACCAAACATTCTCTTTGTTCCGGCTTTAAATCCTCGATCTCGGGAATCGTTGTCAACACAGAATGTATGGATCTTCGCGGATTGGCTGATGCCCGAACTCTCATTTCCGGGGTCCCAGCAAACCGTCTAGTGTATTCTGATTCCTGACCTATTTGCTGGAGTGAAATGAAATTGAGTGGAGACACTAGGTGGCACCAGCCTGGCTACCCCAAACCTGGAGGGGCCCCCAATTGCCCTCAGTGCCACAAATGGCCGAGGCCTCAGAGCAATTAGATTTTCTCTCAATATGACATTAAATGAGAGTAGTTTACTTTTGAACAATAATTACAAGAAAAATAATAATAATCATATGTAATGGATGTAAACAAAAATTTAATTGTACCAACAAAAAAAACAAAACAAAAAAACTATATTTTTTTAGCTCTTTAGGGACTTAACTTATGAGACAAGTTTCCAATCCACCATAATTCAAATAAATGAGATGTGTGTATCTCAAGAACAATGGGAAAAACAGACAATAAATATATATATATATAAAAAAAAAAATGAAAAAAAAAAAAAAATGGTGCGTTATATAAACTCAAGTTCACCTGGGGCCCCCAAATTTCTAACTCAGCCACTGGTTATCCCTGTGCCAGGGTTAAGGTGCCAGGAATGTTCCACTCTATGACACTAAACTTATCTATCAAATATTTATTCAATTTTATGATGTGTTTTTATTGCTCAAAAATACACTGAAAAGGGCGGGCTTGCCTCTTCACAGATCTGACCCATAACCTAGTCTGGTGGCCTTCTTGTCTCCATGGAGATAGAAAAGTTGAATGCTGTGAAACATTCAGGCAAAGCGATAAAATACTTATTATAAAGACCAGCAGGTGGCTAATCCTCTAGAAACGTTACACAATGCACCTTTAATAATTGATTTTGTTCATGTTGTAGATTTTAATGACGTCATAAGTTCAGGCAGAGGGCAGGGGCCTATGTAAGCGAAATACAGTTTTTGAAAGAAATAACCACAATAAAATTAAAATGCACAAATGTTGAAGCTTATCATTATTTGTTTAAGATTTGCTCTGAAAACTTGACAGATTAATCTTGAGGTTTAAAGTTGTTTCCACTGACAGCAATCACGCCTTTGGATTTGAATAATTACACTGCTTTCTGAGCCTATTGTGAAAGAATGATGTCACTTACGCATGCTAACGGAGAAGATACTGAACTCTGTGCCAGTTTCAGTTTCATGTGGGTAAGCCCAGTAATTACAGATATATGAACCATAAACTAGGTCAACAGATCTGTAATCAATGAAATGGCGAATTCCACTACAGAATTCTGACTTGTCCTTCAGCTTAATTTGAATCTTTTCTTGGATTTCAGGCAAGTGACTCCTGACTCATTTGAAGCAGCTTTCCCCATTCAAAAGATGTAATATTTTGCTAACTAAGGGAACCCTGTTTCCTTTTACACATAACCTAAGAGCAATGATGGAAGTACTCAATTTTGTTAAGTAAATAAAATTAACCAGAGCAAAGAAATATTAAATAAATAATTTAAGTAAAAGTATTAAAGTACTTATTTAAAAAATTACTTCAAGAATAAAAAGTAAAAGTAGTTTGCACATATTTCGAGAGCTAATAAAGCTTCTTGATTTGTGAATTTTGTTCTATAGAAACAATCAAATCGATTTTTTTCTAACTGCTTTTATGAATATATTTGTTTTGTTAAAAATAAACCACAGATCTCAAACAATCATAAAAATACTTAATTCAGTTCTGCTGAAAAATGTAATGAAGTAGAGAATACAGATACCCTCTCTCAGATGTAGTGAAGGGAAAATAAAAGGTATCTACTTGAAAATTTTCTTAAGTAAAATTGTATTTAAGTACGGTACTTTACTTATACTTTGTTAGGTTCCACCACTGCCTAAGAGCCGTGTTGATACCATCGCTGTGGTGTTATAAAACTCTCACTTTCATTGAATGTTTGAGAGTGTGTTTGTGGCTACATGTGTGAATGAGTGGAAAATTTAGAGAGTTTTTTCAGCTTGGAGACTGTTAATGATTTTATCATGAGGTCAGAGACTAACGGGGGCAGTGACTAGACAGTGTACCCATCATGCCTGGTACGACATGGAAATAGATTCACATGTGGAGTGGACATACCGGTATTCAATACTTTCTCATTTCACATTGATTTAACTTATACCAAAACTTTTATAGTTAACTAAAATGAACCTAAATCATGTCTGCAATCACGTGAAGTCTTAGCTACTTAAGTTTAAAGGTCCTATGTTATGCAAAATTCACTTGTGAGCTTTTAGTCATACCTGGAAATGTGTTTTGTTTCATTTATATTTGTTTGAGTAACCCTTTATTTGTACTCTTTCTACATCTCCAAAGCTTAAAATGCTCTGTAGCACCTATGATGTCATATACTGGTAGTGTTTAAGTTAACAGCTACCTTTTACTTTTTGTTCAGTTGAGATTGTCAATTCCAGGTCAGAAATCATCCAAATGAATCTAGTGAAGGTATATGGAGTTTAAAAACATAGTGGAGCACTTCCTGAATTACCCCATGACATCACAAGGTGCAACAGAGGTTTTTTTTTTCTGTTTGAGAGAAGCCCTCAGCCTAAATATACAGGGTTTGTGTGTTAAATATGTGAAAAAACACAACTCCAGGTATGTTTTTGATGAGGATAGAGCAATATAACTGATCAGAAAACGACGTGTTATGGGCCCTTTAAAATAATTGATTTTTCACTTTACTGTAGCTGCGTGTGTCATTGTCAGACTAGCTAGAAATTCCTGGAAAACCATTGTACCACAACAGCTAGTCACCACTCCATTAGGACACAAAAGAAATCCCCTCTGCCTTTGTTTGTCGGTGTGAAGAGGGCACACTGCTTATGTGAAAATCAAGGACTTGGTTGATTGCTGGTGGGGCCTCTGACATATTCTGGGATATAGAAATTCAGGCTGGACTCATGGCTTTTGTAATCTACCCAAATATTGTACAACTGTATATTAGTTTCACTTTCAAATATGGAAAATCATTTTTTATGTCTGCTCATAATAATCAGGGTAGTTCCACGGTTATAAAAAGGCCAGTGGCATCCATATATTGTTCGATTAAGCAGAATGAGCTTAATATTGATTGGCATAAAAGTCCTTCTGAAAACCCTAGAACTACCCTGCTAATGTATTCATAATTTTCTATTTATTTTTTATTTCAATTTGATTCACTTCATATTGTAGGTCTTCTGACATCTCTGTAAACAATGCCCTTATCCCTTAACAAGTGATTCTTCCTTCTCAAGGCCTGGGACATTGCAGTATCATCAGTATATGATATGCTATGACACAGGGTTGTCTGGGCAGCAGTTTTGTGTAAAGTAACTGTGACGTGCTTTTGAAACGTGACTTATCCGGGGTCAAAGGTGACAGTGGGGTAGAGAAAATTATGCTCAGAATTTTAACTCTCCTGGCATTTGTTTGTTTTTTTACAGGTAAATTCAGAGAGAAGGCGTCCATTCTGCATAAGATTGCTAAAAAGAAATGCCAAGTGGAGGACAGTGAGAAGGCCAATGGGGTTGCGAGTCGTGCAGGTAAACAAATACCCATAAGAACACATTGCAGAGAGGTTTCATCAAACAGAATGTGTTTAAAATAGCCCACGTTAAATATCGCAGTGTTTTTGTGTTTGTAGATTTCTCTCTTATAGGTGAACTATGTCACTTTATCATTTGGATGGTCTGCTAATTGCTGCTGTCTAGACATCCACATTACGGCATTAACGGTGCTTTTACTGTTCAAAATTCATTCAGAAAACATGCATGTAAGTGTCAACAGTGGTGCCACTCCTCTCCACAGATCTGGCCTGTCAGTTGCTTAGTGGTGTGAAAGTCTGGGCATCATTTAGATAGCTAGGTTTAATGAAATATTGTGGAGCATTATTAATCCGTGTGTCATTCGTTCATTCGCTTTTCAAAATAAAACCAAAAAGAAGAAAACGAAAAAAAAAAAAAACTATTTTCTTCATTATTTGTCTTGGCCGTTTCCTGTGACTTAAACTGTGATGCCAGACTGAACCAGGACTGAACCAGGACTAAAACAGGACTGAGTGTTGGGACGGGCCCAGAGGTGCGCGCATGTAAACTGAGACCAGGACCAGATTGGGACCAGACTGGGACTGAGGCCAAGACTGAGACCAAGACTGAGACCGGGACCAGACTGGGACCAGACTGGTGACTGAGGCGGGGATGTGACCAGGACTGAGGCCAGGACCAGACCAGGACCAGACTGGGACTAAACCAGGAGGAGGAGTATCGAGACAGGCCTGGAGGTGCGCCGGCGTAGACTGTCGGGTGTTCAGAATTGAGACCAGGACCAGACCGGAACCAGAACAGGACAGAAACCAGGAACAAGATTGAGACCAAGACTGAGACCGGGACCAGACCAGGTCCAGACCAGGACTGAGACCAGGACCAGACTGGGACTGAGGCCAAGACTGAGACCAAGACTGAGACCGGGACCAGATCAGGACCAGACCAGGACAGAAACCAGGACCAAGATTGAGACCAAGACTGAGACCGGGACCAGACCAGGTCCAGACCAGGACTGAGACCAGGACCAGACTGGGACTGAGACCAAGACTGAGACCAAGACTGAGACCGGGACCAGACCAGGACCAGACCAGGACAGAAACCAGGACCAAGATTGAGACCAAGACTGAGACCGGGACCAGACCAGGTCCAGACCAGGACTGAGACCAGGACCAGACTGGGACTGAGACCAAGACTGAGACCAAGACTGAGACCGGGACCAGACCAGGACAGAAACCAGGACCAAGATTGAGACCAAGACTGAGACTGGGACCAGACCAGGTCCAGAGCAGGACTGAGACCAGAACCAGACTGGGATTGAGGCCAAGACTGAGACCAAGACTGAGACCGGGACCAGACCAGGTCCAGACCAGGACAGAAACCAGGACCAACACTGAGATCAAGACTGAGACCAAGACTGAGACCAGGACCGGGACCAGACCAGGACCAGACCAGGACTTAGACCTGGATCAGACAAGAACTGAGACCAGGACTGACACCAGGACTGGTCTCAGAATCGGTATCCATTATCTGTTTTTTCATTTTGGTTTTGGAGACAAATACTGAAGAAAATTGTTGTTTTTTCATTTTCTTATTTTTGGTTTTATTTTGAAAAACGAATGAACAAATGATACATGGATTATTCTTATTCTTACCTTTTATATTTTTGTTCTTTGTTATTACTATTATTGTTATTTTTTATTGTGATGTGTGAGCTTCTGTGTCCAAATAAATTCCTCTGTGGATCAATAATGTTTGTCCAAGTCTAAAAAAGCATCTCCATGGAGACAAAACAAGTAGTGCTCTCTCCTCCAGAAAAGTTTCACAATACACAAAATGATGACGTGTTTATACTATAGACTTGACCTGAGCTGACACTGCCAACACATCATTAATACACTACTACTCCATACACCAGCTAATTCCTCTATTGAAATAATAACTGACTATCACAGTGATGTTAAACAAGCATGACATTATCAAGAATAGTCAGATTGATTGAGAGTGTTGTCTTCAAGCAGTATGTTAATCCCATCACAGACTGTACCGATTGTAATTTATGCATTTGTCACATCAAAGAACATTGAACTAAAGCATTAGCACCAGGCCAGAGGAAACGCATTTATGGTCACAGGAGCACAATGAAAGACTCTTAGATGTCTGTCAAAATTATGCTAAACGCAAAGTCTTTAACATCTTAGCATCTCAATCAGAAAACACTGGTTACTTTATTGATTAACTGTCATTGTTTTTTTAATAATTTGGGCGACAGTAGCTCAGTTTGTTTTTGTCCACTGACCTGAGGGTTGGCGATTCAAATACAGCTCTAGACATAAACATCATTGGTTGAATGGTCAGATTCAGTAACCCACAGAACCGATAAATGCTGTTGTTGTGTCTTTGGGCATGACACTTAGCCCACCGTGCCCCTGGTGGATGAATGTGTGTGTGAATGTGTGAGTGGTTCCTTGATGTAAAGCGTGAGTATTTAAAGTTGGAAAAAAGCGCCATATAAAAATGTGACCATAAACTGATTGTGACGTGTGGTCCCGTCTTTATCTGTTTTTCTACATAGTTATAGGCTGTTTAATACTAACTTTATAGTAATTTCAGTATACTGATGTGATTTGACAATATTTTGGTCTAAATAAATGTATTTTTGTGTGCAGAAAATAACCTTCCGAACAGCTCCAGCGTCGAAGTGGAGGTCACCCCACCCATGAATGGAACAGCTGGCCAAGAAGGAGAAACGGTTTGTCTCAATATGACAGATATTTATGAGCCAACTCCAAACTGTGCTGAACTGAAGCCTAGGAGCTGTGGTGGATGAAACAGAAAGAAAGAGGGGGGAGAGAGAGGAAGCGAGATGGAGGGAAAGGGAGAGAGGGAGAAGAGAAAGGGAGAGAGAGAGAGACTGATATCAAAGTTTCCCTGACATCTATGAATAATTGATGCCTCTCATCTGCCCCTGTGTTTCACCTTGAGTCTGATTGATGCCAAGTTAGCAGTGACTGTAGCACAGGTCACTACTGCTGATAATTTCCCAGCATGCTCTTGGGCGCGTCCCTGTGTTCAGCTGGAACTGCCAGAGACACGCCTCTTCCCACTGAGCCGTGTAATCACAATCTTCACTGGCCTCTGTTGCCTGCACGCCCTGTAGCACATACACACACAGAAAAATGCACAGTAACACCCAAAGTCTAGTCTCTCCTGAAGTTTTGCACTTGTAAATGAAATGCAACCCTTTTCTGTGTCAGAACGCAGTCTGACACAAAACTGTCCTTTGTGCAGTCATCATCTGTATTGACTATCTAAACATTTAATTTGCACACCCAAAAACATAAATATAACCATCTTAGTCACAATGTAACACATAAACACAGTAACGCAAAGTGACAAACCCAAACTCAAAACTTTTGTGGATAGCCTATGGTACTGCTCATCTCCAGACTGCAGCTTGACACTGACAGAATCGTCAGCAAATATAAGTATGTGTCAAGCTGTGACACTGATTTGTGTACGGGATGTACAGCAGCGAAGAGGGACAGCTACCCTGCGGCGGAGGCTCAAACATGGTGCAACTGGTCATAACACAAGCCCTAGTTCCAGCCATTAATCCCTTTTTGCTGCTCTGAGCTGTTACAAATAGTCTTTCTCTTTTGGGGTAAAAAGTGTCTTTACCAGTAAAAGATAAATTATAATGAAAAATGTTTTTCAAACAATAGTTTTGGCTCCCACAGCTGTATATTTGCAGTGGCAGAGCTTGAGCCAGGTGGGACAGAGCCACCTTATGCAGGTGGTCATGCACACACATTGGAATAGCTTATTGGCATCATGTCTAATTCCCACTTGGTGCTATTTTTAGAGCCTGTCCCACGGCGCACCTGTCTCTGTCAGCTGGAGGCACGTCATTCTAATTGTTGAGCTCCTCGTGGACTTCTCAAACCAAGTTTGGGGAATAAGAGAATGGATAAGGTCGCTGTAGGAGCAGCCTGCAGCAGATACAGAGTAAAGAGTCCCAGTTTGATCCCCTAGGAACACTGAGCTCTCAGTCACCCATCACTTCCCGAAACAAATACACAAGGCTGGTGTTTTAAACATTCAAGAATATTCTGTATTCATACTTTGAATATTTGTAAATAGTCATTGTGTCTTGACTCAGAGACCTAACACCTTCATAAATAGTTGGTTAACTGATATAATCCGTTCATATTGATTGATCATTCTAATCTGATGGAGTGACAGGTATTCAAGGTTTGAGAGACCAGTGGATAGTGAACTGCCAACCTTCTTATACCCAGCATGTTGACCGTTTAGTCTCAGCTTTGACCTGTGCACGCTGTCATTGTGCTTGAGCCTAGTATGTGTTTCAGTGAGTGACGAGTGACTATGAGTGTCAAAAGTACTACTACTAGACCAATGCTGTCAGCAAAACAGTTACACAACTCCATTATTATATAACTTTGTGTAACTTTAGACTCTTGGAAGATTTGTTGTCCTCATATGACGTAAAGAGCATCTTTCCCTCTGGGATAATAAAAAAAAGAAAAAACAGCAAATGCCAGGCCTCCTCTGTGGGGCCTGGTAAAAGTCAGGTGCCTTTAAGCTTGAGGTTGGTAGTGCTGCCAGCTGAGGCACCACAGGGCAGGAAGCACGCAGGAGCTGGCATTTAGAGACTGACCCACAGGGGGCGCTGCGTCTGAGGACTCCTTTGAAGGGACTCAATGAAGTAAAGTTAAGTCATGTGGTGGAAGAGAACTTTTTGAAGCGCCTCACCTGCTCAGTGTTCATGTGAGGACTCCCTCTGACAGTGTTACGTCGCAAGGAAAACACTGTAAACACACATGATCTATTCTATACACAAGTCCTTGGCCACAGCGGAGAGCACTGGCTCAGGTATGAGCCCTGGGACTGGGGCTGGGCCCTTTAACAGAACAATTGAGCCATCTGGATGTGGAGTGGGGTAAATCAGAATACTGAGCATAAGTGATGCAGCTCTGCCTTTTGTTTGGCTGCTCTCATTACCAAGGTTACCAGGCAGTTCTGCAAAAAAAACTACATATGATTAATGAACCACACAGCCATATTTAATACTCTCATTTTCTCCATGAACATTCACATTTCACTTTTTATATGGTGCTGCCAAATTATAAAAGTTAGTTCCTTTTTACCCTGCTTTAATCCTTTGCTTCCCTCTTAAGGAGGTAAAGGACACTCACACAGCAGTGTGTTGGCTCATACGTACATGTGAGAACCTGTCCGAGTCCCAGTGGTACTTGGGGCAGTGTTTAATAGCATACAGAGGGACCCAGCTCTTGTTTCCAGTCTCAGAAGGCATTGTTATTGTACATTACTGTTTAACTGTGAATCAGCATTTCCATTAGTAAGCAGAAATGGCTAATGCATAAAAGAGAAGTCAATGAAAAGGATTGCATTGGTGTCCAGAAATGGCCATGGTCAACAGTTCACTTTGCAAGATCTTAATCCGGAGATGTCAGTCTTGGACACGCAGCTGTCAGACTCCTGGGTCTCAGCAGTGGTGGAAGTATTCAATTTTGTTTCTTAAGTAAAAGTACAGATACTGGAGCAATACCAAACTAACTAACTAACTAACTAACTAAATAAATAAATAAATAAATAAATAAATAAAAGTATCCATGAAAATATCTACTTAAGTAAAGGTATTAAGGTATTTGTTTAAAAATGTACTTAAAGGATAAAAAATAAAGTATTTTACTCAGAGAATTTGTTCAACAGAAACAATTAAATTAGTTTTTATTGTTCGTTCAAAAACAATAAAAGTTGATTGATTGATTGATTACAAAATAAACTCTCAGACTTCTCAGCTGGTCTCATACAATAATAATAAAAATTCTTTCAGTACAGTTAAAAAATGTAATGGAGTAGAAAGTACAGATAACTGCTGTCAAATGTTCTGAAAAGTTTAAGCTTATTAGGCCTACACTCTGTCTTAGCATAATTTATAGTCATGAATATAGCAAAAAGATACAAACAATACAGTACAGTACAGAAAAGTATGGCAAAGTACTATAGAACTAAAGTACTATAGAACTAACTAAGTATCATAATTAATATGTCTGCCCAGAGCGTTTTTTTTATGGGAGAGACTGTTACACAATTTAAATTCTTGTGTACAATTATCCCAGTCATTATAATAATTCCTTTGGTTTTCCTATTTTGGGACAAGGTGTGAAAGTGTGTTTGACTGTGCACGCAGGCAGAGGAGGAGGAGGAGGAAGACCAGCCCCTGAGCCTGTCCTGGCCCGAGTCCAACCGCAAGCGCTTCACCTACCTCTTCATCATGCCCATTGTCCTCCCGCTGTGGCTCACGCTGCCAGACGTCAGGAAACCGGTACCACAAGCTTATTATGGCCATAAAGGATAACCTCTCTTACGTCTGGGAAAGATTGACTTATTTATTTTTCTTCTTCTTTCTTTTCAGACTTCAAAGAAATTCTTCCCCGTCACTTTTCTGGGTTCCATCTGCTGGATCGCAGGATTCTCCTACCTGATGGTGTGGTGGGCACACCAGGTACATAAAACTGTATACATTTGGAACATTTCTAACATGATTTTTTATTTGTGTACTTAAAAGTGTTTTGTGTCTACATTTCCAAAGCTCAAAATGTGAAGAAGAGGTAGTTTTCTAGTTAACAGCTACCTTTTACCTTTAATTCAATAAAGAAATTGCAGAAATTCCAGGTCTGAAATGATCCAAATAATTTTAATGACATCATAAGGTGAGGTTTGAGAGAAGAACTAAACATGTGAATGAAACAAAACACAACTCCAGGTATGTTTTTGAGAAAACAACATTATAACATAGATCAGAAAATAGCGTTATATAGCAGTTTCTCATTATTTTAATGCCTATATGATAAAATATAAACATTAAGATTCTGTGAAAATATTCAAATACACATTTTCTCATCAATCCAGTCATAAATAAAACAGTTTTCTAGGGTTGAGTTTTGCCACTGCCGATGCCAGCTGCCAACGTCCATGAGAAAATTAAAAATAGCTGGAACATAAGATTAGGTTTTTATTTACCCCAAAGCTTAGGTTGCATATATTTTTTCTTTCTGCAGGTTGGAGAGACGATTGGGATTACCGAGGAGATTATGGGTCTGACTATATTAGCAGCTGGAACCTCTATCCCTGACCTCATCACTAGTGTTATTGTTGCACGCAAAGGCCTCGGTGACATGGCTGTATCCAGTTCTGTAGGCTCCAATATCTTTGACATCACCGTTGGGTAAAGCACAAAACTTGACTGGTTATTTTTGTGTTTTTGTTGATGCTATTAGACAGTTATAACATGAACGGTCCATAGGAAAGGTTTCACAAAGTGGTTTCCTGGACTTGCTTTTGAGTTGACGTTCACATCTCTTTGTCAATCTATGTTAAACTTCAGAATTGACAAAGCTTCAAATGTCTTCAGTTCAAAAATATAGTCCACTTGACAACCTTTTGAAACCTTTAATTAGCTCATTTATTTAGTTTACCTCAAAATAATTTTAACTACAATATCTATCAGAGAGAGATAGTACTACTCAGTTACATTTAATTGAGTAACTTAAAGAAGAAAAAAAAAGTGTACTTCTCACATTTAAGTTTAAAGGCACTATACTTTTACCCCTACTTGAGTAACGATTTTGTTTACTCTTCCCAATGTGAGCAAGTCTACCAGAGAAAAAAGCTTTATGTTGATAATATTTGTATTTCTTGCACTACTACTTCAGATATGACTTTTTTTTAAATTTTGTTGTCCATCCTTTGAAAATGTTTGTCTTTACAATTAAATTCATTTCAAATTATAAGATGCAGTGCCCAGATACTACAATTACTCTTGACCACCATTTTGTACCTCTACTTGATGTAAATTATTTTACACGTACGTACAATTTTTGCATCTGCCCTCCCACCTGTGAAATGTGAAATAATCTTATGACATGATGCTTGTATTTAATCCATAATTTGGTGATACTGATCATTTCATGTGTGTATTTCAGACTCCCATTCCCGTGGTTACTGTGGTCCTCTGTCAATGGTTTCATTCCAGTCCAGGTCAGCTCCAAAGGTCTCTTCTGCGCCATCGTGCTGCTCTTCCTCATGCTGCTCTTCGTCATCATCTCCATCGCCGCGTGCAAGTGGCGCATGAGCAAACTGTTGGGCTTCATTATGTTCATGCTGTACTTTGTCTTCCTGGTGGTCAGTGTCATGCTGGAGGATAAGATCATCCCCTGCCCCGTGTCCATTTAAATGACCCCCACCCACACTGCTGCAAGCCCTGCCCACAATCCTCTCACTTTGGACCTAAAAAAAGACCACGAGCAAAATGCTTCTTTGTGTTACGGCGCGTGGACGAAGGCCTCAGAGACATTTGTTCAACTGTGTGTTATTTGTAATTTTTTTTATTTCAAATTTTTGGGGCAGGAATTACTGAAACAATATGCATGCCATTAGTGTTGCTATTTTAGCTAAAGGGGAGAGTGGGATTTCCGGTGAACTGTTTTCAGTTGAATGATTGTGAATATAATTTTGAACTGTAACAAAAATTTTAAATTACCCCGAGAAGAGCGGCCGAGACAGTACGCTGCAGATGCTAATGGGGATTAAAATTAACAATAAACTGTTGCCAATGCGGATTGAGCAAATTGCGGACTGCGTGGATGAACATGTAGCTTCAAATACGTGCGTAATGGACTCTTCGACTGCAGGGTGCAATTCAACTGAAGATATTTTTTGTCATCCACCCAGGACGGAGCAGGTCCCCTCTTCCTCGTCACTCTCTCACCGCTGAAAAATAGTAGAAGTAGCAGTCGATGTATAGTAGCAGTATTGTCTTGCCAATCTGCATTTGTTTTCTCATTGTTTCCCATTTGTTTTAAATGTACACCGCCTCACAAAACAACAAACTAAACAAGATCTTTGCATTCAAAAAAGCTTCAAAAAAGACACACATGCGCTTCTACTAACACTCACATGAGGAATAATAAGGACAACTTTAGAGTATTTGACAATAGCAGTTTAGAATAGTCAATGTGTAGTGCTTTGTAGAACTTGCCTGCATGTAAAAAGTGAAGCTGAACACTACCAGTCAGCAGTGAAAAAGATACACAAGATAAGGCAATCCCATGTGTGTAGAAAGTACCACTATTAACAAACTTGTGCAATTTTTCTTTACCAATCCAAGGTGCTTTTGTACGCATGTCTGCAATCAGCATCCAACGTCATCGCACATTCACGATACAGGAAACACTAGCAGTATTTTACAGCAAAAAATATATTATACGCCACTCTGTGTGTTTTGATACTGGACCTATAGAAGCATAATCTCTTTAAGAAAACTAGAATGTGGAAACACAAATGAAACAGCAATACTTTATACCACGTGTGTGTCAGTGTTGAAACCCCATGTGTCTGTAATCCAAATAGGCCACAGCCCTATTCAAATACATCTATTACCATTAACTTTTCCTTTAATTCTTCCTTTACCTCAACAAATTAAAGTGTAACATAGTAGTAAAATATGTGAGACTGAAGGAAAATGCATGCAAAGATTATTGGGCTGGCTACCCTACAAGTGATGCTGCTAGGGCTGTGTTATGCATCCACTCACACAAGATCAACTTTGTAAATATGTCCTTTTGCAAACGCTATAGCTGGAACTTCTTTTTGTGCTCATAGTGGGTACAAGTGGAGAGACATGTTGGACTGGTTTAGTCAATGAAATGTTTGCACTGGATACATTTTAGGTAAGACACTGATAGACTGGAACATTTGGTGCTTTCTATTAAAGAAATATCTGAACCAAGAAGAGGGTTTTGAAGTTAGTATTTAAGAAATATGTACAAAGAAGTTGACAAAATATATTGCAATTACATAATATAAATTGTAGATATTATCTTTGACAATATAATCTATATGTGTAAAAGAAAATTGTCTCTTTATGTAAAAACACAAAGTATATTATAAAATGAATAAAGATCATTCAAATATGCAACAGCTGCTTGACTGGGTGACATCTTTCAAAATACTTTGGCATTTTAACTTCCAAGGAGTGTTCAATTTCTCTTTCTTATCTTATTCATCTGTCATTTTTGTGGAAAAGTGCACCATCTAGTGGGCACAGTTAAGTACTTTGTTGCAGGTGTGTCGTTGTGTAATCCGTTTCCTGTGTAATCAGTCATTTTTTTCTTGAGAAAAACTGAGCTTTTTGCCAAGAAAAAATATGACAGCAGATTTAACTGTCCTAAAATACCAAGTGGTTTACTTTTCTATCAAGATGAAATGGTGGATTCTATTTTACACATATCTAAAATATTGTAATTATTTTAACGACATAACAGGCCTAAGAATTAACTTGACTGTATTGTATTGGGGTAAAAGGTTATTGGGGTCTTAACATTAATCTTCAAAAGCTACATTCTTGCTTATATAGTCATAATATTTCAACCACTAAGCTTGCAATAAAATGGTTGAATATAGACAATTAACAGACTTACAAGATTAAAGTGTGTTCATTCAGCAAATCATTAGCTTGGTTGTCCACTCCCACTCACTGCTTGCTACAACACGTTGATGGTGGCACTAGTTTGGTGGGAAACTGGTTGGTTACCGCACCGTGGCAACCTAAAAGTGGAAAAGAAAAACACAAATAGTTAAAATACAAATTAAAAAGAAGTATGCACTGAATCGAATAAAAGTACACAGAACTACTAGGGTTGGGGTTTATTACCACTGGTACTACTACTGACTTTCTTACTTAATTACTTTATGGTTCTTATGATCACCACCACTAATAAATTGCGGCATTTTCTGATTTGTGTTATGATGTTTCCTCATCACAAACACATCTGAAGTTGTGTTTTCTTTCATTCACACATGTTTAACACACAAATCCTGAATATTTAGGCGCCCTCTTCACTAAATCCAAAAAACCCCACTCTGTTCCACCTTGTGATGTCATGTGGTAATATACGAAATTCTCCACTGTGTTTTTAAACTCATTACACCTTCACTAGAATCATTTGGATGATTTCAGCCCAAGAATTGCCAATCTCTACTAAACTAAAGGCTAAAAGGCTGTTGTTAACTTGAAAACTGCCGCTCACAAGGTAGAACAGAGAATTTTGGGCTTTGGAAATGTAGACAGACTTTGTGATGGACATGTGTGTAATGTATGGAACAAAACACAACTGAAAGTATGTTTGTGAGGAGGTAACAACAGTATAACATGGCTTAAAGCTCACGAGAGTCAAATTTGTGTAATACAGGACCTTTAATACAGATGTTGCTGTGACTATCATTGTAAATAGTTAAATAAATAAAAACTAGGCTATACACTTATTTTTACATTGTATTTTGTGATTCCTTTCAAAACTGTGGGTCTCATTTCAGATTGTCTTTCATGTGACACTGGTCATGGTTTACAAAATGAATACATGTGTTTCCTAGATTTAAGTGGGAAAAAGAAACTATGAACTGTCTGCACTAACAGATTGTTTTTGTAGCTTATGCAGAGTGGTGTCATCACAGAAAGTGCAGTGTTAGTTCTATTTTAAAGCCTGTGATGACTGGGGTCTCAGAGGCTGAATCATGACTGAACTCAGACTAAAGTAATGTAGTGGATGTTTCATTTGGATTGAGCAAAGAGAAAATACTGTGTGACCAGTAGTTGACCACTGCAACTGGCTTCTGTCCAGAAACTACTCCTTTGGGCCTCAAAAGCTAAAATCCATAATCCACAACAGGGACAAAGATAATGTTTACAATAACAGTTACACGTCAAACTAAGTGGTTCCCCAAATGTTTTGTTTCGAGTACCCCCTAAGCTTTGTCCACACTCTAAGTACCTCAAAACTTATATAAAGGTGTTTTGTAAATATAAATATATAATAACTTGTATGTTTTCTTGTTCAAATGATGAAACATTATTAAGGATGTAAATTGACCCAGTGCAGTATATTCAAATCCTATTCAATTTCACCTTTTAAAATCTGAAATACTTTCATGTATCCAGAGAAAAGTCCGTTCCCTATGACCCAAAACATTGTTGTAAATGATTAAATTTGATATTTGTAGATTTTATTTTGAGATATTTCTATTAAAATACAATATAATCAGATAGAAGTATGACCTCATCATCTGGAAGAATCTGGAAATGTCCATTTGACTGTATTATAAATGAAGTGACTTAACAGCGTAATACAATTAAAAACTATTTTTCAACAAAGGTTTGCAGAAACATTTGGCATATACAAAAGTAATAGTAACAACAGTTATGGAGAAAATCAATAAAATATATATTTTTTACTTAAACTCCAAATGACCATAAAGGCTCATAATATACCTTTATTACTATTTGAATTATTAATCTATTAGGCGTAAATTTCCTTTACTGTACTTTTATGGTCTGGCTTCATTTTTCCACCATATCTTACCTAACAGAGATTATGTCAAAATTGCGCAAACTTCGAACGCCAATGGTTCAGTTACATCACTTGCCTTATTTGCTCAAAGGTGACGTTGAACTCATTTCTTATTTCCCTGGCATGCAGCTTGACAATCCTCACCGCATTACTTCAGAACGGTTTTTAATTCACCTATTTGGCGCAAAGACAAAACGCACATTTAGTCTGCTCGGTTACCATAATAAACAAGTGTAAAGACGTAATGGAAAGGTTAACCCCGCGTGCGTGCTCAGATTGTCTTTGTACGCACAGGTATTTGCTGAGTGGGAGGGGCAGGTGTGTCTGAGGAAGTGAGTCAACTGCAAACCAAGGCGCCAAAGTCAACTACTACTACAACTATACTAGTACTTCGCTGATAAAACACAAATAGATTATCATTATACAAAGTAGAAAGATATCTTTAAGGATATTCTATGTAACTGTTCTGGAGGGGTCTGCAACCTGTTTGTCTCCATGAAGATGATATTGTTTTGCCTGGAATGTTCCACAAAATCACACAAAACTAATCTCTCTTATTTGCAATTACTCAATCACAGATGTTTTTCTAATATATAAAAGAGATTAGATTTTGAGAGGTTCGCCTCTCCACAGATCAAATCTGTATCCCCTCCCCCCTTCAGAAAAGTTACGTTATGCACCTTTAATCATTCACACTGATGTAGGGTTCAGTGGCAGATCTCAAACCCATATGCACAACTATTTGCCCCCTTCAGCTTTACCAGCTGTTTGCCACATGTTTCTCTCACGTATACGCTGTTGTTTTTATGCACTTACATTGCTTCCTATAGCCCCATATTTTAATCACCACATTTAAATTATAAATAATTAAATGAACTAGGTCAGGATATTGACTCACATATGACCAACTCAAAAATCAACTTGAAAATAACTTGAAAATAAGCACTGCATTTCCTGTGCTTAAAAGAAGCCCAAACTGCAAATGTCTAGACATTTGAGTCACACGTGATTCATGAATGAACCAAATTAACTGTGTATTCTTCTGTTAAGCCAGGTTTTACTAATGTATAGGTTATGAACAATAGCTTACAGCCCAAAAAGACTCAGCCTTAATATAGCCTTAACATACCCAGACAGAGAATATTATACGCTTTTATTTGTTTTGAATAATATGCATTCCTCTAAATATGTTTATGAAAGGTAAAAGGTTATTCAGCTTGTGGATGAATAAAACTAAACTTTGGACAACTTGGAGTATTAGACCAATAGACGACTATGTAATTACACATTTTGAAGCTTTTAACATCAACAGTTAAAACATAAATTTCACACCATAACTGATCGTCAAAGCTAAACACTCGCTAGCCTATTGTATGGGCTTATTTTAGTTGCAATTAAGGGCGGGTTCCCTCGATTACCCGATGATGCAAGTGAGTATACTGTAGATAACACACCTTCAGCTAGTAGTAGGTCATTCATTACGCTCATGGGCAGTGCAGTCGGAAAAGTAGGCGGGTTTCTCCTTCCTACCATTTCTTTATAACCAAGAACACGTGAAGAAGACGCACAGACCTCTGGGAAATATAGTTCAATGGATTCAAACCATTTAAACTTGATCATACTTTTGAGGATATAGCGCACATTTTCTTGGGTCTTTCAAGATGTAAGTATATCTTTTGTATTTTTATTACAGTCAAATTTACTTGAAAGTAGTCTGCCAAAGATTTGACTTTGAACGAAGCATTTAGTCTTAACAATGGCTACATGTAATAAGTTCAACCAAGGACTTTGCCAAGACTAAAACTGGTTTAAACCAGGAATAAATAGGACTACACTAGTACTAACCCAGGACTACTCTTGGACATGGAATCAAGAGACAAGAAGTAATCTATGCTTAACTTATAACTCACACTTTGAGAGTAACTCCATAACTTCATAAAAGAATAACTCCACATGTGAATAATAATGTAATTCAGTTAATGACATTTTTATGGATTCAGAGATGAAATGAATGGGTACAGGAAGGGAAGGCAAGATGTTGGCATAGCTGTTGAGTTGAATACCCTGCTATGCCATCAACCTGCCATCTTTCTCTGCACTTTAATACTGCGCTGCTGATTTCTAATGTAACTGCTCAAGAAAACTAATGTTCAGAGTATTATTCATGCCTTAACCATGACCTTCTTATTGTTACGGCTTTATGCAGAATTAATTTTTTTGTTTTTTCTTGTTTCATTCTTAAATTCATCTATTTACTCATCTATTTACCTTTGCTCATCTATGTTTAAAGTATAGGCCGACGTTACAATTACACTGCATTAAAAGTTTACGTTACTTTGAGGTCAGACCTAGAGAGTTATTGCGTGGCACTGCAATACTTTACTGCCATTCATATCATTCCCCTATATGAAATATACAAAGAACTGGAGGGATGGAGGAGAGTCGCCAGATATTACTGTGGTTTTATCAGGTTTAAGTGCAGGACTGCTCCGATTTAATTTTGTCATTTACCTAGGGTGACCAGATGTCCCTATTTACCTGGGATAGTCCCAGTTTTGAGCCCCGTGTCCCCTGTCCCGGCAGATTTATACAAAACCAGTGATTTGTCCCAGTTATACAAGAAATGTCCCAGGAGTCCCAATTTGATCTAAACCAGGTCTAAACCAGGACAATCACAATTTTTGTCTAATCTGATCCCTGCCAACAGCAAAGAGGAGCATAAATTCTCATTTGTTTAGCCAAAATACAGAAATCCATGTTTGCGACTGACCATAAAGCAATAAAAATGGAGCATCAGATTATGACTGACATGACAATGCAAAATGTTACATGCTCTTTTCACTATTTTATTTATACAACCATCCCAACTCAGGTGTGTCCCAGCTTAGAATTTTGAAAATCTGGTTACCCTAATTTTACCACTTGTTGATATATTTATACTTAAACAACCTTGTATTTTTGTGTCAATTGTAACTGTCCAGAATGAAATAAAATGTTTGACAAATCTGCTATAACCCATGGCTTGTGTGTGATCTTTAATATAACCCTCTGCAGTGATCCATTTGCAGTTAGTTCCAGTTAAAAGCAGCCAGTTCTTAATAACTTGGAGAATGAAAACAGCTTTTTCACAAGAACTTATTTAGTTGACGAAGAAAGTCGTTACCAAAGTTTCCTGGGAATAACCCTCGGGTGGTCGCAGTTGCTGGAGCTGTTCTACAACTTTGAACCGTGACATATTAAAGCAGGTCATGGAAAAAGCCTTACCTCTTTCTCTTGCATATAGAAATGATTTCTTAAGAGGAGTCAGGTCCATTTCTTAAGAGGAGTCAGGTCCTCGGTGGAGACAGAGCAAATGTGTTATGATGACGTAAATGTCTGCGCGTGACGCCTGTTTTAGTCACGTGACCCAAGCACACGTGGGTGCACGCACAGACTTCTTCCGGGTTTAGGTTTACTCTCTGCATAGTGTTTACGCTGCGATCTTCAGGTGCGTTTATTTATTTCATTTGACACTAATTGGTGTATCTACAGATATAATAACAAAACACACACACGGTTAAGCACTAAATCCTTACGTTTGTCTCATATGTCAAAGTTAGCTTAGCCTAAACGATAACATTCGGGGCCAAAGTCCATAAAACTTGGCAAGTAGCTTAGAATGAATGAAAGTCTTTATGTAAACAACAATGAGGCCAATAAAACGTGTGCTATGATATCTTTTAAGCAAAATAATGACATGAACAATAAGAAATGAACATTTTTTATAATGGTATTCCCACTCAAATTGGCTGTTTTCTGAGATGTAGTATTTCCTTTTCCTTTTAAAATAAGCGAACAAAGTAGTGGATTAGTGGTAATGTAATGTGAATTATTTTTATCCATATTATCCACACATTTTCTCCATGTGCAATGATTTTAAAAGACATGAACAGCGAAAATGTCAACTTATGTGAGAAGATTGTGTCGCCCTCCTACATCAGACAGGGCTCAGAGGCGAGACGCAGCCATGAGCAACTTATCAGACAACTGCTGGAACAGGTACGAATAAGTATAATAATAATAATAAGTACAGTTAAAAGTGATAGCTGTCTGTGGCTAAACTTTTATTTTGTTTTGGGGTGTCAGGGGAAGTGTCCCGAGCAAGGCTGGAGTGAGAGTACCATTGAACTTTTCCTCAGTGAACTGGCTTTGATGGACAGCAATAACTTCCTCTCAAACTGTGGAGTTGGGGAGAGGGAAGGCAGAGTCGCTTCCAGTCTCGTGGCCAGACGACATTACAGGCATGGCGTTTTACATAACTTTATAGTGTTGACATGATACTAAAATCAAACGCAGTGTCAGTACTAAGGAATAGACTCACTCAGTATTTATAAAACACCACAATGATAATAAAAAACACTCTATACAGACAGTAGAATGTGATTTTCAACATTAAATAATAGTACTTTCTTATATAACCATGTGGTTTAATCTTTCAGTCCTCCAGGCATGTTCCATAGTGGTTCATGTGGGTATACTAATCTAAGGGATCTTATGTACTTGTTCTGGTACAACTCAAGATTAATTTCTGTATTGTAAATGTGACTTTTTTAGCATTTGGACTTGCTCAAGTGAACATCTAGTTTTATTACTATTTTTAGTATTGATTAGTATCTGATTTTCGAAGATTTTGACAACCCTACTATGTAACATTTACAGTATGAGAAAACAAACATAATGATAAAGTGGGATATGATTGGTGTGGCCTAATATCATAACTATAAGTTGCTGTAGTGTGTAATGTATAACAAAAAAGCTTTAATAAATCAGGGCTTAAAACAATGTGGATGTTTTAAATGGATCTCAGCATTCTCGCCCACTTCGAAGTTCGCTCTGGTTTCGGAAGTAAAATGTCCATTTGTTTTTCAAATAGACTCTTGATATAGAAATTCCAGTGTGAAAACTTTAAAGGCATTACGGTGGCTAACCAGTGATGTGATAACTGATATCCATAAAGCAGTTTTTTTTAAGTCCAAAAAGCACATTTAAAACACAAGATTTGATGAAATGTTTAAATAAAAGAGGTTTGTAATGGTTTAGTAAGAGACTGAACAGAAACAGTGGCCATTAGTCCCCACATTGCTGATTAGCACTGAGCTTTCAGACTCCATTAGCTCTAAATAATTGTTATTTAGATGTTACCAGACTGTATATGTAATGGAAGATCATTTGTGCTTTTATCATATTCATTTCTCGATTCTTGTTGTTGTTTAAAAAGAATATGAACTTTATTCTAACTCTTAACTCCTTCTTCATAGGTTAATCCATGGCATTGGTAGGTCAGGTGACATTGCTGCGATTCAACCAAAAGCTGCTGGATCCAGTCTGCTCAACAAACTGACAAACTCTGTAGTTTTGGACATTTTAAGACTCACAGGTTTGTTCAAAAACTTTAGTTAATCCTCGACAGTTCTAAAATATAAGTGAGACCCAGTTGTATAGCCTAATTAAGTTTATTTTCCAGGAGTCCGTAGCGTCTCGAGTTGTTTTGTCGTTCCCATGGCGACAGGGATGAGTTTGACGTTGTGCTTTTTGGCCCTTCGTCATCGTAGACCTAAAGCTCGGTACATAATCTGGCCACGCATCGACCAGAAATCCTGTTTTAAATCCATGATCACCGCTGGTAAGAACAAGACCAAAAGAAAGATTAAACCAGGTCTTACTTCAGGAAAACTAACTCATTCTCAAGTTTTAGCAAATAGAATATTCTGATAATGTCTCTGAAGGTTCACTATTTCACTTTTCTGGTGAAGGTTCAGCCAGCAGTTTCTCACCTTGGAGATTTTACACAGTTTGGCACAGTATGGCCTTAATCTTATCTTTCAAGCCATTAGGCCAAGTTCTAGATCAAATCTGTGGAGATGCGAGCTGGCTCCAAGTAAGAATTTATCTTTATTACTCTTTATTATTCACAATAAAACATCAATAATTGAATCCTTTTAAGACTCACTTAATGACATACTGTGGAAAATTCCAGGAAAAGTAATAATGGAAACAAGTAAGTAGCACCATCCCCCACACCACAGCAGAAAAGTGAAATAGTGCACCTTCAGACCTTTAGGGGAATTGTACTTTATACTTTTATTTTCAGTGCATGTACTAGCTGACATTGTGTAAAAATGCATTATGCTTTACCTACTCTTAACTGTGCATTCTGAACACATTTCTCATTCCAGTATCAAAAAACCCTCATTATTTTAACTCGATAAACTGTTGCTTTTCCTCAGGGTATGAACCAGTCGTGGTGGAGAACGTTCTTGAGGGCGATGAGTTGCGCACAGACCTGGAGGCTGTAGAGGCAAAGATAGAGGAGCTAGGAGCCGAAAACATCCTGTGTATTCACTCAACAACGTCATGCTTTGCTCCTCGCGTTCCTGACAGGTAGGCTTTAGTTTAGTTTAGTTTAATGGTCTTATTTGAATGGGCTTGTATGTAAAATTTGAGTTTATTGACCCAAAGAGGGGATTACTAGGGGATAAAAAGTAGTTTATAAATACAATCTAATACAACAATGCTTCCTAATAAAGATCTAACAGATATACGTAGCTATATAATAATATAAATTCAAATGATGTGTATGAAAATGTGTAAAATAAGTTTAGGTTAGGTTAGTTTAGTTGTTTAGTTTAGTAGTCTTATGTGAATGGACTTGTATATAAAATTAGACTAACTTTATTGACGCAAGAAGGGGATTACTACTTATAAACTAGTTTATAAATGCAATCTGAAACAACAATGCTCCAAATACAACAGCTAACTAATATATAATAATATTAATCTAAATGATATGTATGAAAATGTGTGAAATAAGTAAAAATTCTTAGAAAAAGTTAAAAAATAAAATGGAGTTGGTCAAATCAAATGGCAATAGTCCACAATTCCCTCTCTTTTATCTGTTCAACAATCACAATAATTGACATAACTTGCATTATTTGTTTTAGAATGTTAATTAAAATAATCCACAACACTACAGATCTTTATGGTGCACTGTGTAACTTTTCTGCAGATGTTGTTGGTTTGTCTGAAATGTCCTGGTATGGTATTAAACGTGTCCATGTGGCATTCACTCAATAACATTTTTATTGATTTAAAAACTTGCATTCTTACTGTGAGTGGGCTCGCTTCTCCACAGATCTGACATATAACTTAGCCCTATGGCGTTGCCTGCTGTGTCCATACAGATAGATAAGTGTAATGACATACTGTGGAACATTCCAGGCAACATTTCCAAGCTGGCTTACGCTGGATGACGGGCCGTCCACTAGAAAAGTTACACAGTGCACTTTTAAGTTTTTTTTATAGATTTTTGATGGTCCGTATATTTGTGATTTTGACTTGCCTTTTGATGTTATTGTCAGACTTGAAGAGCTTGCATCTTTGTGCTCCAAACATGATATACCCCACGTTGTCAATAACGCTTATGGAGTACAGTCATCAAAGTGCATGCATCTTATTCAACAGGTATTTTTACTTGTACTACTGGCAAACACTGAAATTATATATCCTAATTTAAAGGTGTGTTGTGGAACTTTTCTTGTGGAGGGTCTGTCAAATGTTTTTCTTCATGGTAGGGATGTAATAATAACCAAAATATTGTGATATCGTAAGATCTCTCAATAATATTGTGGACCATCACAATATATCGAATTACAAGTCTCTTTTAAGGTGCAGAAATAGCTAAAAAAAAAAGACAGAGGGAACTACATAGACCAAGATCCTTTGCTCCATTTCAGTGTAGACTACAAAGAGAAATAACAGTTCTAAGCAATTTTAAGTCTTAGTTCTTTTGATTTAGTCTTGTCAAGGCATTTTAAGAGAAAAAAGTAGCATAGTTTTCTTAGCCTCCACAAAATATTGCAATAAATATCGTACGGTGAGATTCATACCATGTCGATATCATATCATGAAACTTGGATATCGTTACACCCCTACTTCATGGAGTTGTTATTGTTTTGTCTGGAATGTTTCACAGTATGATATTAAGCCTTTCAGTCAGAATGCTGTTTTTCTTGGTGTTTTTGAGCACTAAAACCAATAGTAATTGAATAAATCCAAGGTAGAGCAGTTTAATGTCATACTGCAGAACATGTCCATAGAAAAGAAGGTGACGGACCCCAACAGTGCACCTTTAAACTCTGGTGGGTAATAATGTTTTTGTCAACAGGGTTCACGAGTTGGAAGAATAGATGCTTTTGTACAGAGCTTGGACAAGAACTTCATGGTTCCAGTAGGTGGCGCCATAATTGCAGGCTTTGACGAGGCTTTTATTCAGGAGATAAGCAAAATGTATCCAGGTGAATACTGATATTCAGATAGAAATTCATTATTTAAATAGTGTTTAAATATTTGTTTACAAGAGTTCTCTCTCCACTGCCTTAATTGAAAGCAATACAGATAATTATAATGTGATCTCTAGTTAACAACAAATATTGCTACCTGCCCTACTTTTTGACCTTTACTGAGCAAGTGAATTTAATCATAATCAACCACTTATCTTTTTTGTTACACTAAAGAAGAGACTTAATACTTTACAATGTATTATTTATTGTTATCATCAGGTTTAAAGGTTCTATATTACACAAAATCTACTCTAGTGAGCTTTAAGCCATATAAGAATGGTATTACCTCCTCAGAAACATACCTGGAGTTGTGTTTTGTTTCATTCACACTTGTTTCAGTAATCCTGCATTTCTAGTTTGTCTACATCTCCAAAGCTTAGACTGCTCTGTTCCACCTTGTGAGTTACCTTTTACCTTTTCCTACCTACGTTTCTTAGAGATTGGCAATTCCAGGGCTGATATGATCCAAATGATTTTAGTGAAGGTGTATACAGTTTAAAAACACAGGGAAGCACTTTGTGTATTACCGCATGACATCACAAGGTGGAAAAGAGTGTTTTGTGTGTGAGAAGATCTCAGCCTAAATATGGAGAGTGTGTGTGTTAAACATGTATGAATGAAACAAAACTCAACTCCATGTATGTTTAATGAGGAAACAGCATCATAACAGATCAGAAAGTAGCATAATATGGGCCTTTTAACTACATTTTAATTTTCCTTTCCTCTTTTTCCTTGATAAAACACAATCAGAGACTTAAGCCTGGGATACAACAGTTATGAATTTACTCTTTGTTCATGCTTTATTAAGGCTAATACTGCAGTTATTATAAAGTGTTATCTATATCTCTTTATCTCTGTTCCCTTTTTAAATATACTCCTCAAAGTCATGGTCTTGTTGTAGGTCGTGCATCTGCCTCTCCTTCTCTGGACGTCCTCATTACCCTTCTCACTTTAGGAGCCAGCGGCTACAAGAAACTGCTCTCGGAGAGGAAGGTACACACTACACGAACTGCATCTACTTCTGCCTTTTATAATGAATATATTACACTCTGCACCAGTCCTCCTACTGGTCAGCCTCTGTCATATCACCTACCCCCATTAAAATCAATAGAAATAATAGAATAATAAGGCTTGCTTTTTAAGTTTTAATTTAAAAATGTGATATGATTTTGACCAAAATCAAGTAGCTAACAGGAGGACTACTTGTTTCTATTACAACATTGCCTATCTGGGTTGCTCCCACTATCCTGACTGTACCACTACTACGAATACTACTGAATATATTACATACTGCGTCAATCCAGGTCAATGGTTAAAGCATGAAGCACTAAAATAGGATTACTGCTAAAACAGAGCAATGTCTGACATTCTGGTTTGTCTATTGAGCTGGTCAAGATTATACCAGATAAAAATTACATAATAATTGAGTAAGGGAGATTATGTTGATGATTAAAGATGCACTTTATAACGTCTAAGGTGGAGCGTCTGCTACTTGCTTGTTTGGAGATGTTATTTCTTTGCCTTAAATGTTACAGTAGGGCATTAAACATATCTCCTTTATATTTGTTAATTTACAGGTGTTATTATAGCTCAAAAATCCTTTAAACATTTTTTTTCAGATTATTTTGACAATTAACCTGTCTCCATTGAGGTTACCAAGTTTATTTCCATACTATAGAACAAACAGTAATATTTCCATAGAGACAAGCAGGTGGCAGACCCAAACAGTTACACAGTGCACCTTTAAGTTGCTGGAACATTGTCTTTTGGCTCAGAGCTGCTCACTTGTATGCACCAACCTCCTCCTCTCAATGTAGACACTGCAGCATCCTCACTCCTCTCAAATTCACTACCATAAATTAAGAACTTTAGAGAGGAAGCCAACCAGGATTTAGTAATAAACATTTAACTTTTCCATAAATGACGTACCCTGTTAGTAAGATTGGATTTACGGAAATAGTGAAATTTTATAAGGCCAATGTCATCAACTGATATGGTTTACTCATCTCCTAAAATGGGATGGTATAGTATGAATGTAAAATCGGGTTTGTAGCCAGGAGACTGTATTTCTAGGAAGCCTCTCACATGACCCAATGCCATCAAGAGTTATTGATTTTTTTTTTTTTTTTTTTTTGCCTTGGTCCACATTATAAATATTTAATGCACTGGAATTTTCTATAGTGTCCGCACAAAGGGATACTGAAACATAAAAAGGTACATTTAGCTGGATTCAGCAAGACAAGTAGGGTGAGTGCATCAATGGCTCCTTTAAGTGTAGAATCAGGTGCTTCTCCAGGATGAGCAAATAACATTAAAATACAAAATCAGCCTCTTACTGTCGTAGCACAATGTATGTCACACAGGGCTTGAATAAAAGACACACTGTTTACAAAAGTGCTTTATTCTTAAAATTGTTTCAACCTATGAGGTCTTCATTGGGGCTTAAAAGAGTTAGAGACAACAGGTGTTCTTATACATGGGCATGTGAGAAGGTCACGTGATCCTAGAACATAATACAACTTGGTATAAAAATACACATAGAAGAGAGAATATATGAGGTGGACACTGGACAAAATCCATGTCAAAATTACACTCAGTTATTAATATAAAATCATTTTCACGTTGATTGAACCACAACATATATTACATGTCACAATTAATCACTGGTGATTATTTACAAACTAGTAGAACAAGTGATACAATGTCAAACAGACAATAAAAACAGTTCACATAGTACAGATTGTTATAGATAAACCACAACATCATCATCATCATTCAGTCCTGGATATTGTGCAGCTTTTAAAGTTTCTATCCAAATGTTTCTCTTTGGGCCCATTTTCTTACACGATCACCACCCTGTAATAAAAAGATTTATTTTGAATTGTTGGTGCCTTTGGTTAGACTGACAGAGCATGCACAGAACTCTTACATACATCTTCAGACATGGAATGTGTTGCCCAAGGACACAATAATAGTGTGCATAAACTGGCCAGAGCACTCTTTTTGAGAAAAAAATAACTTTTGTTGTTCTTCTGTGAATATTAGTGTGCTGCTGTAATGTAAAATATTGTCCTCCTTCAGCCACAGGTGCTACCCCCCACTACCATCACTCATATTTATTCCTGTCAAACTCTCGCAAATCTTCAATCTTAGTTCAATTATTTGTACCACCATGGACACAATCACTTTATTGTAACATCACACATTGTCATGCCAGGTTAAAGGTGCATTGTGTCACTTTTCTGGTGGAGGGTCCATCACCTGCTTGATTCTATGCATATGTCACTGCTCTGCCTGGAATGTTACAGAGTAAATGTAAGGTAGAACTGTTTAATATGACATTACACAGCTCTATCTTACATTTCTCAATTACAGGTGGTTTTATAGCTCAAAAATACCTAGAAAAACAGGCATTCTGACTGTGAGGGGGTTGTCTCCACAGCTCTGATCTGTAACGTGGTCTGGTTTGAAATGTTTAATACTATACTGTGAAACATTCCAGACAAAGCAATGAGAAAATCATTTGATGGACCCTTCAGCAGAAAAATTATACAATGCACCTTTTAAAATATGTAACACTTTTTCTTCAGTCCCTAATTGCTAAAAGGACGTTGTTGTGTTCGTTGCCTTCATGTGGGATATTTGCTCGATTAGCACAAACCCAAAGCTGCTGCTCTTGCTGCTACTAAAAAAAGGCCACGACACTAACTGAAGGTGTTGCTATTTTTAGACCTTGTTGTGCACCTTACCCTCCTTTACCCTGTGTGCAGGAGATGTATTCAGTTCTGGCCCAGGAGCTCAAAAATCTGGCCTCTGCCCACGGAGAGAGGCTCCTACACACCCCACACAACCCCATTTCACTGGGTAAGCTTTACCTGCTGCAAGGAAATGTACCCTCTATTTAAAGTAATTCTGTATATAGTGAAATTTCAGTTGTACATGTAATGCCTAAAATGTACTACGGGGAATGTTGATTTAAAAGTGCATTGTGTAACTTTTCTGGTGGGGGAGTCCTTTGCCTAAACTGACTATAAAAACTGACTAAACCCCTTTTAAGCAATACTAAATTTTGGACCATTGGTTTAAAATATAATAAAACACTTCATTCATTTTAATAAGTGAGGTAATAAAGTTTTGAATGTGTCTTTTTATTAGCAATGTCTCTGAGTGGACTCCAAGGAGACGATGACAAAGCAGTGACACAGCTCGGATCCATGTTGTTCACGCGCCAAGTGTCTGGAGCAAGGTAGGAGGGATTTAAAATTCTGCTCATTTTTGTCTGTCAAGCAACAAAGACTAAGGGACGTAGAAACAAAGTAATTTTTAAACTTAAGAAGACTTTTCATATTTTGTATTTGACTGAATTAAATTAGGTGATACCAAATTTCTGCAATTGAATATAGAATAAATTAAGTTTGAACTGGTATTACACCACCAGACTAAACATTAGGACTAATCCAGGTCTAATACATGTTTTAAAGGAGACAAAATATACCCTGTCAACTTTTAGGAGTTTTTAACCATGTTATAATGGTTGTATTTTGATTGATTTATGCATGTTTTAATGATCCTGTATTGTCCTGCACCTGGAGCTTGAGTGCTGAATGCTTCCATACCCTGCCCATTTCCTTATACTAAATAGTAGTAATGTAATGATATCCAAATCTCTCTGTATGATATTATCACGATATGCATCTCACGGCACAGTGTTTATTGCGATATTTTGGAGAGGCTGATATAATTGTAGATAGGACACTTTTTAAATTTAAAAATATCTTGACAAGATTTTGGTGTGAAATATTTCCAAGAATTCAAGTAGAAATCATATTTCTTCATGTTGTTTGCACTGAACTGAATCATGGGATATGTAGTTCCCAATGTTCACAAGCTGTTACTACTATAAAACCATGCATTTAAGCAAAGGAACTTGTAATTCGATATATTGTGACAGCCCACGATATTATTGTGAGACTTTTGACGAGACGGTATCGCAATATTTCGGTTATTGTTACATCCCTACTAAATAGCGATAATTAAAAACAAAAACAAAACAATTGACATGGCATTATGCATATGATTCAAACAAATAGACTTCTGACTTTTTTTGAGGGAGTTTCTAAGTTTTTGTTATAGATGATATACTTGCATATCTCAAAAAAATCTATTGTCATATTCCACCTCTAAATCCTAATAAAAATAACTCCATACAACTGAATTTGAACTTTAGATTGACTCCTGAGCACCAGCAGAAGCCTGTGTATCCCTGATAGCGTACCACATTTTGAAAACCACTGATATATGGGCTTGTCTGGATCATCAAAACAAAGGTGGAAAAAAAGCTGGATAGGGCAAATGAGCAATCAGCCAGATGGAGGAGAGTGGGGCGGGACGTACTTTAGATGATTAGATATTCTGTCCCATCACATCAGGGCCTGGTCCGAATTCAAATGGATGTTTCCATTACTGTCTGCTGGGTGTGTCTGTCTCTGGGGCAGACGCACAGGGCAGCGCTGGTCTCTCTGTTTTCATTAGGTATCCACTGTTGTCCACTTAAAGCTGTTAGCAGTAATCTATAAGTGAAATGGTCAGATAAGAGCTGAGCAATCTGAGAATAAAAAAGTAATTTAGATCAGATTCCTGTGAAGATTTGATATTTTGGTGATGTATTCATTTTGTGGTTCATTGTTTTTCTGTTTAATGCGGCTCTACGCTTAAACTCAGACATGTTTCCCCGCCCCTTTCTCCTATTGGTCCGTTTCTGTCATGTGGGACTGTGAGGGACAGGTGATTTAACAGCGAGGTGTGGACTAGAAGAAGCAGATAATTGCAGTGACCTCTTAAAGACAACCCAATCCACCTTATTTATATTGCACATTTTATAAACATAAACCATTTTCAAAGTGCTGCACAGACAAATTAAGACAGTAAAAGATCTTAAATCATAAATTAAAACAATAAATAAAAAGACATTGATCAAGGCTTTTGAAAATAGGTAAGTAGTTTATTTATTATAATTGTTTTAGATCAAAATTATTCTATTAACAAACACAACACCAGTTTAATTTAACGTTATCTTTATTATCTCTTTGTCTGTCAGTTTCATACACACAAACATTATAGTTATTTCAACATCTTTTAAAGGAAATACACATGTTGTTTTCATCATATCTCCAGTGTATTTATATGTTTTACAGTAATGCAAATACTGAACAGGACCTTTTGTTCCTAGGGTCATACCTCTGGGAAAGGAGCAGACCATATCAGGGCACACTTTCCGCGGCTTCATGTCCCACTCTGAGGCGTACCCCTGCCCCTACCTCAACGCAGCCTCCGCCGTGGGCATCACCCGGGACGACGTAACTCTGTGCATCAAGAGACTGGACAAGTGCCTCAAGACCCTGAAGAAAGACGTGGCTAGAAGTGGTCCCCCCGAGCCAAAACTGGACCAGGGGGACTGTGCAACGAAAGAGTAACAAAAACCCATTCAAAATTCACAGATCAAGCAAGATATTTTAGCAACTGATAGATGAATCATAAACATAAGTGTCAGTGTTTGGAACTAGAATACAGGATTAAGTTATCGCCATAGAACCAGCTAAAATGTGCAGTTTTTAGGTAGAGATATAAAATGTTTTAGACGCCTAAATTACAGAGTTAGCATGTTTGTTTGGAAAGACAATCAATAGCTATTAGCAGAGGAAACTTTACTTCTTAAATAATTCCGGCCTTTGGGATTTGCTAATTGTTATCATTTAAGATTAATAACTTGATTTGTAGCCAAAATGTCAGTAGAAAAGAAAGTAAAAACAAAGAGTTGTGCCTTGATGACCATGTGAACTCTACAAAACAAAATTTTTATGGTCATATTATGTTTTGCAGTTATGAGGGTATAGATTGGTTTTCCCATCGAACAGTTTACCTGATGTAGCGCACAAAACAATACACGCACACTGTACATTACATTCTTTTGTGTATTAAATAGGTAATGTTATCTAATTGCTGCAAATTGCTTGTAAAAGGTTTTCCATTTGTGTACATAAATAATTTAAACTGTATAACTGTTCTTTAAGTGTGCAATGTGCCATGTGCAAGTGCATTTCCAGGAATAATTTGATTGGACTTTTCATTTATTAAAAATGAAAAGTAATGGTTTAAAATGCTGTGTTCTGCTGCATATTGTAACACGATCTAAATGTTATACACATTAAATCCAATCTAAGCAGCGTGTACTGAGCAGCCATTTATTTCAGGGCTCTGTAACAGATACCAAGTAACACACAATCAATACTGTGGACTAAATATAGAACTGCCCTTGGTTTTGTGAGGTTTTGGTCACAGCTGTAATGTTCATGAGGTGAAAATAACCACATACATTTTATACATACGTAGGCCTACATTCAGTCTTTATTTTTAAGGATAAAATAATGAATCATGATCTTCCTCTACCTCATAAATGTATTTTTATTTTTAAACAAAATAAATCTAGTTTTCATTGTTTATTTACATCACATTAACTTAAAAGCAGACTAGGGGTGGATGATATTGACAATTATTACCTTTTTATTAGACGATATTTCAATTATATATCAAGAATGTGCTGAAATGTGCCTGAAAATTGCTCGGTTGAGGTTCAAGTATCACACAAAATGTAAATAGATCGTACAATTAACCATAAAAGAGCAGAAATATCAACTTACAGTCTTTCTAGAGTAAATGCATCCTACAGCAAACTGAAATACAATCCTTATTTCTAAAGCAAAAAAATCACCTTATAACACCCGCCTGAGACTTTTGCTCTGTTATATCATGACGTCTGCTTTGTAAAGGAACAGATGTGTGTAAAAATGTGTTAGGATTTTGCAGGCCAGGTGAGGTTGTTTACGTCAGCGCAGAAAATGTGAAAGACTTCAGCAGCGTTACAATGGCTCTGTGGATGTGATGAGAGTCTGCTTCATCAGCACACTTTTACTGTTCCCAAGCTCCAGTCAAACAGTGGAAAAACACTGTGCAAAGAGGCAGCACTGGCTCAATGCAGCACAGAGAAACTCACATTAGCAGCGTTAACCCCAGTAGGTGAAAAGAGGGCCAATAGTTTTATGTCAGCCATGTTAACTAACACAGGAATTTTGTATTGGTAAGTTTTTATGCAGAACTAAAAAGAGCAATTTATAATCTCCCTCAAGCCATTTTATCTCTTATTTGAAATGGCTTCCTCTACTGTGTATTTATTCATTTTTACGTGTGTATTTCATTGAATTCTTGCCTTTTTTTTGATGCATTTATTTCATCCAAACATAGATGAGGTGATAAAATTAACCTGTTCAAAATGAGACTACCTCTTTCAGTTAAGCTATAACTATTGATTATTGTCTGTTCCATGTGGTGCAGCATGTAAATCAAATGAAAAATATTGAAAGGTTGAGTGCGATCGATTCAGTTGTGGAAGTCGCCCAATACTTACAATAAGGAAAGGCTGCTCAGAACTGCAGACCAGCATTTTACTGGTGTTTAATCGCAGCATAGTTTACTTAAAAGAATATAATTTTACTGTAGCGCTGCATTGTCTTACAGATACTTTGTCTGAAATTCAACAAAACAATCATGGGTTCATCTATATACACAGTCTGTAGTCCATTAACCAAACTTTAACAACAAAAACGACCAAACCAGGACTATTTCAGAACTACAACTACAGGCTATGCTGATTTTCCCAGAATATTTACAGACATTGACGTTTACTGTAATCGTAGCGAATCGTAAACCCCCAAAATGTAACACAACGAAGTAAAGTTTGATTCCTAAACCTCCTGGACCTAACCCACCTAACGGAAGACCCCTGTAGGAGCTGTCCGCGGTGCTGAAATGGGCGTGACCCATGCCACCCCACGGGAACATTTACTTAGGCCAATATTGTTCAAAGTAAAAATACATGTGGGATTTTTTTTTTGCTATAATGTAACTTCATATCCCTCTATTAAATACTTATTCTTTGTAATTCTCCTAAATATTTTCTGACTGCGCGGTCTCACGGTTATTTAGCAGAGTGAACCCCTCTAAATAAATAATGAAAGCGCACAGTGGCGGGGAGCTGCGGCTGATTTGCTGATGTCAGGTGGTGGTGGGCAGAAGCCAGTGCAGCATTTCCTCGCCGTGTTGCAGGGGTTGAAAACGTCGCTACGTCCTCCTCCTCTACTTCCTTCCATCTGATTCTGCTTTATTATTAAGGGGGGAAAGACATCGGACCCACTTAACACATGCGAGCCCGGCTGGAAAGATGCCTAACGCGTGGATCCTGCTCCTGGTCGTGTCGCTGAGTTGCCTGTCTCAGCCGGGGCATCTGAAAAAGCCCCCGAAATGTCCTTATAGGTGCAGCTGTTCCAAGGAGTCCATCATCTGCGTGGGGTCAAACAGCGTCCCGAGAATCAACCCCAACGACATCCATTCACTGTGAGGATCTTTACGCGTTTTGTGCATTGCTTTAGTTAGCACGAGGCTAGCGCAGATTGCCATTGCAGTAACTATAAGTACGTATTTTATGTATTTTTGCGTTGTAGGAGCATCGTGAATGGGACCTTTTCTGAAATTAAAGAGGGTATGTTCACCCACATGCCATCTCTCCAGCTTCTGTAAGTGCACACATGCTACACCAACTGTTATGGTTAATTGTTATAAAATCTAAAATTTCCCCTTACTGTTTGAAGTCTAGCGAGATTATTAAATGCACTTTTGGGGCAAGAGAAACAGAAAATGGATATTTCTGGGAGTCCATTAGGAGATACAGTAATGCACTTTTCACATGAGTTTGCTTTGGCTATTAGCAGGAAAAGCTTTTAAAAGAGACAAGTGGGGAAAAAAAGGACTTGTACAAGCTACTTAGACCAGCAAATCAATGTTCCTCATGTTGTGTCTTCTCTGTTGATGTTGACATCTTAGAGCAGACATGTCAAACTCAGGACCGGGGACCAAATCTGGCCCGTGATACAATTATATTTGGCCCGTGAGATCATATCAAATATGTTTTAGAGCGGGCCCGCTGGGTACAGATAGACTATAGAGACATTATTTATTGAATTTTTTGTTATTATTTTATATTTTGCTTGTTCTGGATTCAGTCTTTAAGCAAACTATTATTAAACATTTATTTTAATAAGAAAAGGTTTAAATTACATATCTCGAAATAAGAGAAAACATGCAGATTTTGTTAACATTTTTCAACAAATATTTATTTTGGCCCACGACTTAGTCACATTTTTAAATTTTGCCCTCTGTGAATTTGAGTTTGACACTCCTGTCTTAGAGGGAAGTGGGCAAGGGGGTCAGGTTAAAAGATGTCCACATCATTTTCTAATTGTAATATTGGTAAATACATATATTATTTTAACATTACTGATGTAACGATATCCAAATCTCTTGGTACAATATTATCACGATATGCATCTCACGGTACGATTTTTATTGCAATATTTTGGAGGATAATATAATTGTAGATAAGACGCGATTTTGCTTTTAAAATACCTTGACAAGATTTTGGTGTGAATTATTTCTGTCATAATCCCAAGAATTCAAGTAAAAAAATCTCTTCATGTTGTTTGCACTGAAATGAATCGTGGGATCTGTAGTTCCCAATGTTCACAAGCTGTTGCTACTATAAAACCATGCATTTAAGCAAAGCAACTTGTAATTCAATATATTGTGACAGCCCACGATATTATTGTGAGAATTTTGATGTTATGATATGACAATATTTCGGTTGTTGTTACATCCCTAATTAACATGTAGCTATTTTAAAGCAGTGAAAGGCTTAGGGTGCATCCATACACACAGTACAATAAACATCTAAACTGGCCTAGGCCTAAGGCTGCATTCACATTTACACAAAAAATTGGCACTAAACTGGGACCATATTTGGAACTAATCCAAGAGTAGAACAGGGCCAAACCAAGTCTACCACTGCACTAAACTCAGCAGGACAAGTCTGAATGCACCCTTAACTTGGACTAGAGCAGGACTGAAACTAGACTAGAACAGGACTAAATCAAGTCTACTAAATGGGACTAAAGGTTCGGGTTGAAACCAGGACAAAACCGGAGGAAAGTGTGAGTGTTAGTTAGGTCTATAAACTGTGTCTGTATCTAATGTGTGCCAGTTTGGGATGCACTGATCCAGCTTTTTCAGTTCCAATACTGATTTTCATACTGTAGCATTAAATATCTGCCAATACCCGATATCATCTGTATTTATAGTATTTATTTCCCATCAGTAGCTACAGAACTTTGTATAAATAAAAATTCAAGTTCATTGTGAGACTTTATGGGCCAACTGCAACCAGTAAATATTCTTATGACATTGATTTAAATATCCAACCAGGATATCGACTGAACTGATATTCCAAAATCGATATCGGACCCAGCAAATTGTTCAGTATCTGCGTTCATACCGGTATTGGATCAGTGTATTCCTAACGACAGTAGTGGAATGTAGTTTCATACCAGTCATAGTGTGGTGCAAACAAATTTGTGTTATTTTAGATCACTGAATGGAAATCAGTTCTTTTTACTTCTTCCATTTTATACTTCTTCCAAATCAATTACAATGTCTTCACCAACATTCTTGTGTGCATTTTCTTCCAGGCTTCTGAACTCCAATTCTCTCACAAATATAAGGGATGATGCATTCTCAGGACTTTCACACCTGGAGTACCTGTAAGATGAATCACTGTTCATGCATATGCACACACAATTCTTCTGAAAGTAGCACAGTAAACAAGTCTTTCAATTGCCACCTTTGCAGATTTAAAACTGTTCACATTATACATCATTTCATTGAATTAGTTAAAGTTATTGGTGAATGTCTTTTGCAGGTTCATTGAAAGTAACAAGATCGAAACAGCATCCAAATATGCCTTCAGAGGACTACGGGACTTGACTCACTTGTATGTTTCTGTTTGTATTATTACACAATATACAATTGTTTCTATGGAGATGTTACTGCTTTGCCTGGAATGCGCCACAATTTGGTATTAGACTTGGTTATTTCAATAAAAACAAGAACGCCACCAAGCTGTTACCTGTCAGATTTATATGGCAAGATGACCCCAATCACAGTAACAAAGAAGTGTTTTTCGACATATTTTTGACCAATAAAAACAACTTTAATTGAATGAATACAAGATGGATTCGTTTAATGGTGTACTGTGACATTTTCCAGACAAAGCAATAACGTCATCGCAGAGATCCTCCCCCGGAAAGTTACACAATGCACCTTTATGTCATTGGCAGAAAGGTGAATTCGTGTGACTGATAAAAAAAAAGAAAAAATTAAGATATTACATTAAAAAACATATATGTAAGGTTTAAAGTGCACTATTTAACTTTTCTAACGGAGAATACACCACATGCATGTCTCAAAAATGTCATTGCTTTGCCTGGAACGTTTTCTACATTGCTTTTATTCAATTACAAATGTTTTTATTACACACAATTACCTTGAAAACATGTATAACTTGGCCTGCTTGCTTGCTTGTCTCCATGGAGATAGATAAATGGAGCATGTTTACTGTGGCACATTCCAGACAAAGCAATAACATCTCCATGAAGACAAGACTCAAGTGACAGACCATCACTCACAAAAGTTACACAGTGCACTTTTAAATGACACTACACCAATACAATACCTACTTTTTATTATGTAAACATGGTTGCTCTGTATTACTAACGTCCTTGGTTACAGATCACTGGCAAACAACAACATTAAAGCTTTGCCCAGGGACCTTTTCAGTGACCTGGACTCTCTCATTGAATTGTAAGCGTTTGTTTTTTTTGTATAAGCCAATGTCCTTCACTGGCTGTTTTTGCCTGGCTGTAGTTACGTAACATTGGCTCTCCTCTTTCAGGGATCTGCGAGGTAATGCTTTTGAGTGTGACTGTCGCGCAAAGTGGCTCATGACGTGGCTCAAAAACACCAACGCCACAGTGTCAGATGTCATATGCGCTGCTCCCGAAGAAATGAAGGGCAAGAGGCTCAATGATATGACCAGTCTGCAGAATGAGTGCATTTCAACCGGTATGGGCAATATTGTAATCTAGACTTCATATACTCATCTATAATGCATTTAGATCTCACCCTGTTTATTTATCAAAATTTAACTAACTTTATAATAAAAAATAACTTAATTTAAAGGTGTGTTATGTAACTTTTTGTTTGGGGGTCTGTCACCTGCCTGCTTGTTTCTATGGATATGTCATTGCTCTGCCAGGAATATTCGACATTATGACATTAAACAGTTATACCTTACATTTATGAAAATTCAGGTGGTTTTATAGCTCAAAAATACCTAGGAAAACGGGCATTCTGACTATGAGCAACTATGAAACATTTGAGACGAAGCAATAACATCTCCATGGAGAAAAGCATTTAACGGACCCTCCAACAGAAACGTTACATATTCTATCATTTAGATTTAAACTTTATCGATTCACATATCACAGTATAATAAAATAACAAAGAGCAAACATAAATAGCAGTAATACATTCAAAATAATTACCAATAATAGCAAGTGTTTGGTGTCACATAAGACATGATTATATAAATGTATATGTTCAAGTAAAAATAAAATATAGAAATATCGTAATACAAAATATGTCTCAGCTATATACAAGAGGTCGTAACGAGAAACAGTGCAAAGATTAGTGATTGACATGATGGAAGGTTATCAATTACATAATGGTGAGTTGTTGTATAGTTATATGGAGTATGGTTTGAATGTTGACCTGTATCTCTCACTGTTTGAGCAGAGCTGTAGGAGCCTGTTGGAGAATGAGCTCCTCTGTTCCTCTATAGCAGGGGTCTCCAACATGTAGGTCAGGAACTACATTATACATATTGTGCTGAATGGCTCAAATTTGATGAACTACCATTGTAACTACTATTTACCCAGGATATTCTCTGCTGTGTCCCCTGTCCCATCAGATTTATCCAAAACCAGTGATTTGTCCCAGTTTTATACAAGAACTGTCCCAGGTGTCTCTATTTTTGACCAATTTGATCCCTGCTAACAGTAAAGAAAGACAAAGAACACAAAGAAATGTGACTATATTGACTTACATGTTAGTCATGAATGGTCTCTACATAACAATTTTCATTAATTACGCACTCGTTTCACAATTTTATTATTACCTATCAACAAAAAAAACCAAAACAAAAAAACAGTGATGTCCCAGTTTTGGAAATCTAGTCACCGTAAACTTTGTGCACTAATCAATGGATAAAGGTTTATGTTTTATTGGTACCTAACTAAGGTTTTCCTATGCTCAAATTTCTTGTGACTGCTAAAATAAGTAGCTTTTTGCCATTTCTTTTTGCAAAAGTAGCTCACCAGAAGAAGGTTGGAGACCCCCGCTCTATAGTCTAATTTAGCACAAAAATGTTTCTAGTACATGTATTGAATGTAACAGATGACTACTATTCTAATGCAAGATTGCGTTCCAATTTAAAGTAACTGCATAAACTGAATTATCCTTTTGTGTTGGCCTGAAAATGAAATGTAGCTGTCTCAATAATTTTGTGATATGTACTGTATTTATACTTAAGGTTGTTTTTTGTGAAACACTGCATATGGGCCTTTATTTTAAGATTTTTTTGATGTTATGTTCACAGATTTCATCCTCCATCAGACGATAGCCTCAGAATCCTTGTCTGTGGACACGTTCAGCTTTAAGAATGACGTGTACGTGGCCATAGCGGCCCCCAGTATGGAGAGCTGCATGGTTTTCCAATGGGACCACATAGAGATGAACTACAGGACCTATGACAATATCACAGGTTTGTAAATGACATAAACATATCAAAATGAATGCTTTTGTGTAATGTTGATTCCTTGTGTTACTGTGGGTTCTGTGTAGTTATTAAAGAAAGGATATTTCCAAATGCCACATAGTCCAGTAAGTAGTTATTGTTGGTGCTTGCTCTGCTCCTCAAAACCTGGGGCAAAGTGACTGTTGAATGTACAGGTCTATAGCTACAGTTTATAATTAATTTGAAAAACCATGATTTTATTTGGCAAAAATAACTGAGTGCTTTTTATATAACTGATTTTTTCTACCTCTTTTTTCAGAGCATATGCCTTATATTCAAAATAATAATTGATGCAAAACATGAATTTCTTCTTCTTCTCTTCTTTTCAGGTCAGTCTATAGTGGCGTGCAAGTCCGTCCTTATCCAGAACGAAGTCTTTGTGATCGTGGCTCAACTCTTTGGAGGCTCCCACATCTACAAGTTTGATGAAGACCAAAGCAGATTCACCAAATTCCAGGACATTGAGGTATCCAAAATCTCCAAACCCAATGACATCGAAGCTTTTCAGATCGGCACAGACTGGTTTTTCGTGGTCGCAGATAGCTCAAAAGCGGGCCTGTCCACTCTTTACAAATGGAACGACAAAGGGTTTTATTCGTATCAGTCGCTTCACGAGTGGTACCGCGACACAGATGCTGAAGTTTTAGATTTGGATGGAAAAGCGCATATTATTTTAGCAAGCCGCTCGCAAGTGCCTGTGATTTACCAGTGGAGCAGGAGCAACCAAAAGTTCATCCTACAAGGTGAGATTCCCAATATGGAAGACGTAGTGGCAGTAAAGCATTTCCGTATCAAAGAGGAGCTTTACCTGACCATGACGAGGTATATTGGAGACTCCAAAGTTCTGCGCTGGGGAACCAAACAGTTTGCAGAGGTCCAAGCTTTGCCTTCAAGGGGGTCCATGATCCTCCAGCCGTTTTCCTTCAAAGAGCGGCATTACCTGGCATTGGGCAGTGATTACACCTTCTCTCAGATCTACATTTGGGATGAAGAAGGCAAGATTTTTGAGAATTTTAAAGAGGTGTACATCCAGGCCCCACGTTCCTTCACCGTAGTGTCCACCGACCGTAGGGACTTCCTCTTCGCATCCAGCTTCAAAGGGAACACGCAGATTTTTGAGCACATCATCATTGACTTGAGCTTGTGAGCGGCTGTGCCTCTTAGTAACTATTAACAGCATCTTAAACAAACAAAAGGTGCGACTGTAAAATTAAAGACTTGACTATAATAGTAAAACTTACATTTCTGGACCATGTCATGTTTCAAGGCCTGCTTTTTTTTTTTTTCCGATTTTTGCTTCTGGGGCCACCACAGCCAACCATCTGCCTATGCATGCAGTGGTTTGGATATGATATGACATTATGTTTTATGCCAGTGACACCACCTCTGCTTGAGACTGACACAGTTTGAAAGAAAATTTGTTTACCTTTAGGGAGGAAAAACATTTTAGGTCTTACTTACTAATAGTTTGTCTTGCCTATCAGAAAATAACTCCTGTCACTGTTCTTTGGTGACAAACAGCAGGTTGCCTTATTTTCACTGGGGTTGAGATCCTGCTGGCCTACAGTGCCACCTACTGGTATAATGATGAACACCTTTTAGCTTTATTCTATCAAGTGAATGTCTTTGAAAGCACAAATCTTTAAACAGTTAGAAATTTAGGTGAGATATAGGATAGTACAAAGACAAGATTCATCATTATTTTACAGAGAAAACAGACAGGGAAGTATGAATAAATACAAAAATACAGATAGTTAAAAGAACTGTATGTGACATTTTGATCCAAATGTCAAACATGACATATCACTCTCCCCAGATATGATTTATTCTTAATTATAAAAGCATTGGACATGATGGCCAAGTTGTTTATGTTATAATTTAAATGTTTTGGTTCTCAAGACAATTATCCAATCAGAAAGCAGACTGAGCCTCACGTGAGTCTTTCATTAGGTATTGATAGTGTCAATGCTGTAACCGTACAGTCTGTAATCCAGTTGATTTAAACCTAAAGAAATGAATCTGTTCTGAATCCACTAAGCAGAACCTGCAGTCAGTCAAATACTCTTCTGTTGCAGTATATGCTGTTCATAAACTTGTGTCCGCTATTACAAATAGGTTCATTTATGACTGTAGTACCTTTAAGAGCAAATGTAAGAGTGCAGGTTACATACAGTTCTTTTAACTAAACAAAGCAAATGATATAATGAATTGTAAATTGTAAATAGAACTTTTCTAATATTGTTTGTTGATATAGAAGAATATAAAAATAACAGACCCTGCATTGTACGAATTGCACTTGCAAAAGCATGATAACTGAACTTTTGGACACATTTTCTGAAAACTAAATCAGTTTAGACTGACTAAGAAAAAAATACAGAATATGCAAGTTTCAAGTAAACATTTTGTAAAACAGGTTTGAGCATTTTGAATGTTAATTACTGTGCATTTGATCTGTTCAAAATAAATATGTGGAATTATTGAGACTGTCTTTTATGTGAGAGCTTGATACTTTCAGGTATTAAGTATAAATACAGAAGATTTAACCTACTACACTTTATCTTAATAAAAGCTCTATGACACATTTTATTACTATTTCCTGTTTTATGGGTTTGGCGGGAGGAGGAGAAACGAAACTGACGTTTGATAAGTCAGACACAAAGTCTAAACGCAACTTCAGCTATAGCCTCCTTCAGATGCATCTTAACAACAAATGCGCCACAAAAAGGTAAGTTTAGTTCGTCACATAGTGAGCTCTGTGGATCGACCTCACTGTGCACTAGATTTACTTCTGTTTATTTCTCATGTGGGTCGGTCTTGTTTACTTTTATCATCGCACCATTCGCTTAAAACACGCACCACTTTGAGCCAGGTAAGATACTAAGGTGAGACATTCAGGTGAGAGGCCATCTGCTGATCGACGAACTTATTTCCTTGATAACGCGCTGAACCGTGAGGGCCGCGCTGATGACAGACGGACAGAAGAAACTTTTTGAGCGAGACGCAGACAGAACCAGGTTAACCTGCGCAGGCAAAGACAGGAAGAGACATGTTGCGTTTGTTAGATTATTTTGCTCTTCGGACATGCTTGAATCAGGCAAAGATATGTTTTATCTTCTTTGTGTCTTTTATTTTAACATATGCGACATAAAAATAACAGCAGCAAGATCCCGCGGAAGTGAAAAAATAAAAGCATTCACAGTACAAAATAAAGTGCATAATAAAGTTACAATAAAATAACATGAGAACACAAATCTAACAAGACATGTCTCTATGAAACTGATCTAAATTGCCAGACGAACGTGTCAAACACTCTGTAGCGCCAATTCATATAGGCCCAAAATAAGTTGCACTGTTGTACCTCGGACTGAATGTATCGATCTGAGGTCGACCGCTTTCACTCCCTGCTCCTCAGTATCAGAAGAGCGCTCGAAACTTGTTCTCGGAGCGGGTTTTTACTGAGACTGTCGGAGCGAATGCACCTTTACGTTGAACTAACTTGTGGCAGTGTTAAAACAACTTTGAAGACATTTATAGTTTGCCTTTACTATTAAAACAAACTTTCTTCTTATGTACGAAATGCGTGTCATTTGTAGAAAGAGATGCTTTGTGTGAACCCAATTTATAGTGATACATTTAAAAATGCCTTTCAAAAACATACAATCAGTATGCACAACATTGTGACTTCTTTACCATGTATGAAAGTGATGTATGTGTGCGCGCGCGTGTGCGTGAGTGGTGGTAGGCAGCTTCACTTCTGTCAATTTGCCGCTGTCGGAAGTAGAAGCTTAAACTACCTCACTGAAAATGAATAATGACTGCAGTGTAGCACTTTGAGAGGCTATGACAAGCCTGTAAAGCACATTGCAAGTCTAAGGCATTATTAATATTATCATTATTTGAATGCCATTTGTTGCTTTGACCTTGTGTAAATTTGAGTTTGTGTAATACAGTTTGCTCATTTGTGTGTTACAGCTTTTGTGAAGAGACAAAATGAATTTTGCACCCATGGCAGTGAATGAAACACATCCTTTAATAGAGTGTATTCGAAGTGACAACCAAAAGAAGTTAAGGAAACTATTACAGTTAATAACATCAACATCAATGATTTTTACCTCATTCAAAGAAAAGAACCAACTTATGACTCCACTAATGGCTGCTGTGGCCTGTTACAATGAGCACATTACTGTTTTTCTTTTAAAAGGGTCAGATCCAAACAAACTGTATCACAATGGATTCACTGCTTTGCATTTTGTCGTACTATTCAAGGCCCGACCTGTTTTTGTGAGTCGTCTTCTTGAAGCCAAGGCCAACCCAAATATATATTCACCTCTAGGTTTAACTGTTTTGCAATATGCTGCCTTTCATGACAGGAAAGATGTTATAACACTGCTTCTTTCAGCTGGAGCACTAGTAACACGTGTACCAGCAGACCAACCAAACAGTCTTAATAAGAAACTCTTGGAGATGATTGGGATACTCGCATCAGAGGGAGATGAGCTCTGCTCTAAAGTCAGGTGCTTTTTAGAGCTGGAAATTTTTAGCCTGTGAGAAAACTCCTGAAGATGTTTTTCAAAACTTTTGACAGTGACATGTTGAATGAACATCCTCAGAACCACTTAATCATGATTGAACTTCTCCTGACACTGTCAGCACCATCTCGAGAAAAATACAGTCCACTATGTATCAAATGGCTCAAACAAAATGACTATCTTGCATTCCTACATTGAGAACATTGTCTAGAACGCTTCCCAAACATGAATCCTTGATGTAATATACCTGTGGCAATCAATAGTTTACATGCAGTTTCCTGCACTACGGAGGAAATACCTCTTGAGCAGACGATGGCTATAACGCCACATTTACTCCTTCGATTAAAAGAGAAGAATGTAGGTATGGCAGTGCTTCAAACCCTGTATGTGATAACACAGAAAACAAGTAAGACCCAGGAATGGGACGCCACATTCCTAGAAACAATATGCAAAAGTATAGCTCCTTTTGTAAAGGAGCAGCAGCCCTCTGACATTAGAGAGTTCACATATGGAGTCTTTGCAAACTTACTCCCTCTAAAACATTCAGTTAAAATCTTCAGGTCAGTGGGGATCTGCACTGTGCCTGAAGATGTTCTGACATCTGCTGAGATGAAAATTTACGACAAGCTCAAAGAGGGGCTGAGGAAACTCAAAGATCACTTTAACAGAACAAACTCTGAATGTGAAGACACTTCAGAGGCTCCAGGGTCTGGGAAAAAGAAGAAAAAGAAGAAGAAGAAAAAGAAGGAAAAGTCTGAGATAAACAGTCAGAAAGATACAGTTCCTGTTGAGGAATCCACTTCTAATGTCCAGCCATTTTTATCCAACACTGAATCTTTGCCAACACGTAAGTGGCTCTCGATCAGCAGAAGATGGAAGGAAAAGCTGGAGAAACTCCAGAGCTCTGAACAAATCTCTCGAATAGGAAGTATAGTGTATGTGAATGATGCAGAGTTCCTCATCGCTAAAGGCAGTGATGGGACTGAGGTCTTTCTGGGGCTGAGGGATGATGGCACTGAAGTGGCCATTAAGAGGATGACAATAACTAACTATCAAGTGTTGAAGAACGAGGAGGGGTTCCTCCGACTCCCAGAGCTGGACCACCCCTCTATAGTACGATACATTGATTTTGCAGAGGACCTGAACTTTGGGTATTTGGCTCTTCAGCTTTGTGAATACACTCTGGAAGAATACATTGAAGATATTGACAAGAATAAAAGGAAAAAACTGGCCCAGCAGTTTCTTGAAGGCTTGTGGGTTCTGCATAGCTACAAGACTCCAATTCTACACCGAGATCTCAAACCTCAAAATGTGTTGATTGGTAAGTCAAAATAGGGATGATTTTATAGGATATGTTAGTGATTCTTGAGAGATGGGCAAAACAGGTATTAGAAGAAGATACCTCCACACTGTCTAAACATGCAAGTAACATTTTGCCAAAAAAAACAAAACAAAAAAAAACCTCCAAAAAACAACCTTAATCAGGCAAAATTATATATTCATAATTTAAAGTCATTATATGTTTTTTCATTATAGGTCTTTATTGTACTAAAACATGGAAAAGCATGCATCCTTTCTCTGAGCAGGCTTGCCTCTCCACTAACCTGACTCTTCTGGACTGTAGGAAGATTTCCATGGAGAATGTTTGGAAATATGACTTTGTTTTTCCATGGAATCTTGCTGATTTTCCACCTCCAGAAAATCACACTGTCACTTTAAGAAGGTGTGGCCCAATATAACAGTTTTGTTTAAGTTTAGATATTTTTGAAAGAAATATCTTAATTTATGATCCACACCTAAACCTTTGTGTTATATTTTGTCCCAACTCACAAGGATCACTAATGTTAAAATCATTTAAAACTATAGTCCTCATCTAAACAAAGCTAACTCATCACTGTCATATATTGTTGTCACATAATCTTTTCCATGCAGATGTTCAGGGAAAGTCTAGACTGGCTGATTTTGGGATAAGTCGACAGTTACCGAAAGGCCAAACCTCTTGCCGTACACAAGGTGCTGGGACTAAATTCTGGATGGCCAGAGAGACTTTAGGCAAAATAAGGATCCTGTGCCATACAAGTCCAGCACAGATATGCAGGTCAGCTCTCACTGTTGTGTAGTTATTTGATTAGTTAAAAAGATTATTTGAATTGTTCCTCTTTTTTTCAGGTGGCAGGAATGTTGGTTTACTACATTCTTTCTGGAGGGAAACACCCATTTGCTCCTGAGTTTGATTTTGAATGTGAGGTAAACATTTATAATGGGAAATACAACATAAATCATATTCAGGATGAAGTGGCGAAAGACCTCATTGAAATGATGATTGACAAAGAACCAAAGAAGAGACCCAAAGTGGAGGAATGTTTGAGTCATCCCTTTTTCTGGGATAATCCAAAGTAAGAAAGAGAATTGTTATTTTTGTCTCCTTCATATTGACAAAAATTATCATCTTTTTAGGCGACTTGAGTACCTGAAAGAAATTGGAAACCGTCCTGAGGTTTCCAACTGTCGGGATGTTGAAAATGAATGTATTTCTGCAGTGGAAGAATTTGTTGGCGACGGATCTTTGAAGGACTGGAAAACAAAAGTGTGAAATCAAAATAACTGACAATAGATATTGATATAACTATAACAATTTCTAACGTCTGACTTTGTCTATATTTTTTAAGTTCCCAGAAGATTTGGTTCTGAAAATGGACAAAAGAGGTTAAACTTATCCCGAAAATACATTGGGACTATTGCGCTTCATACGCAATCTTTATGTGCATCAGTAAGTTGGTCTGCAGAACTTTAAACATTAAAAAATATATTTGTTATTTTGTTTGCTTTTGCGACATGAAAACTCCCCTGTCAATAATGTATATTTCTTGTTTTCTTTCCAGTTCCAAGGATGCAGCCGAAGTTGATGTGTTCACGTTGTTTCCAGATCTTTTTGGTTCCATTTTTAAATTTGCCAAAAAACAGGGATGGAATTTGGAGACACCCCTGAGAGAGATGTTTCAAAGTAAGGAGTCCTGATGTAGAGGAGAATCCTGCAGCCCCAGTCCAGGAGTCCCAAAGCAGTTATGTGACTAAAAGTGTTAACATATGATAGTATGTAATCTTGCTGAATTTCAGGTGACAGCATAATATTCTGTAGGGCATTAATATTTATTAGAGATGAAGGCAGGTAAAATTAATATTGCTGAAATGCAGATTTTTGTTGTAATACATTGAGTTCTTGGGTCTGGTTACAAATAGAAATGATCTTTGTTAATTTACCATTTGTTTACACCAAAAGCTATAGATACAATTGATCAGAACAGAGATTCAGTCATTTCTAATCATCAGAGTTATGTTTTTTTTTTAATGGAGGTCTACAGCCAATCCTCTGTCTGTAGTAGTACTGAGTGATAGTGACAGCTGAATTTGAAAGAAGAAATTTGATTAGTTTCAATGTATGTCAGTGTCATTGATCAAAATCTATCTCATTGATGTTCAGGAAATTAATATAGTATTTTTTAATAACTAATTAATCAATAAAATATATGAATCACTGCATGGCATGTTCTTGTAACTGAGGGTCTTGAGTGCATTGAAGATGGAGGCCAATATGAAGGAGATTACTTTATTTTTCTCCACAGCTCTGTCTCATCAATACACGGTACATTAGAACTTTTCAGAACTGCCCGAGCCCACTTCTGTTTTCACAATAAAAGTCAGGGAGTGAGACGGGAAATAGAAATGTCACTTACATTATTTCAATGGATGTTAGAGTGCGATGATTGCCACTTCATGTGTTGGGCACTATATTGTTGTGCGCAAGGTTACGCGGTTATAAAATAAAGGCGGAGCCTCCTGTGTTGCGATTCTGCATGTCAGAGCGGCCAGGCATTGTGGCTACCTGTCAAAAGTTTAGCATGTCTCCTGTCTTTGTCTGTGCTACCTTGGTGGGCTACCGGTGGTAAATCTGTAAAGATGTCCACGCAGGCTGAGAGCACGGGCGAGGGTCCCCGTGCACCTAGAGAGCGACCCGCAGCAGAGGAGTCAACAATGGAGGTCAACAGTCCCGCCCAGTTGGGAGTCCACTCCGGTTCCACAAGTACATTTTCCATTCATTTTTTCCATGAACTTCAAATAAGAAGTTCAAAAGCATTTCGGAGGCTAACCAGCTATGTATATTAACTAATATTAATAACTAGTTGTTTTAAGTCCAAAAATCACTTTTAAAACACAAGATTCCGCAAAATGTTTTAATACCTTATAGTTTTAAAAAACAAATAAAATGACAGTAGTCTTGTTTTGGGTGCACTTGTAAAGGTGGCCTGTCTTATTTCTTTGTAGTTGTCACTGCCCTCCAAAATACTGATGCTCATTGATGAGAGAAACTTTATTGCAACCTGACGAACCTGTTTGTAGTGGTTGAATCTACCCGACTGCAGTGAGTCTATGGTTTGGGTTATTTGTAGTGGCTGTCTCTACCCGACTGCATAATTTTGGTTTTGCAGGTCTGCCCAAAGTACACGATATTTGATATGACATTATGTTTTATGCCAGTGACACAGTTTGAAAGAAAATTAGTTTACCTTTAGGGAGGAAAAACATACAGCAGAATAGATTTTTAGGTCTTACTTACTAATTGTTTGTCTTGCCTATCGGAAAATAACTCCAGTCACTGTTCTTTGGTGACAAACAGCAGGTTGCCTTATCTTCACTGGGGTTATGAGATCCTGCTGGCCTCCAGTGCCACCTACTGGTATAATGATGAACACCTTTTAGATTTATTCTATCAAGTGAATGTCTTTGAAAGTAATCCAGTTGATTTAAACCTAAAGAAATGAATCTGTTCTGAATCCACTAAGCAGAACCTGCAGTCAGTCAAATACTCTTCTGTTGCAGTATATGCTGTTCATAAACTTGTGTCCGCTATTACAAATAGGTTCATTTATGACTGTAATACCTTTAAGAGCAAATGTAAAAGTGCAGGCTACATACAGTTCCTTTAACTAAACAAAGCAAATGATATAATGAACTGTAAATTGTAAATAGAACTTTTCTAATATTGTTTGTTTATATAGGAGAATATAAAAATAAAAGACCCTGCATTTAACGAATTGCACTTGCAAAAGCATGAAAGCTGAACTTTTGGACACATTTTATGAAAACTAAATCACCTGAGACTGGCTAAGAAAAAAACTCCAAAGGAAAAATACAGAATGCAAGTAAATACATGCAAGTAAACATTTTGTAAAACATGTTTTGAGCATTTTGAATGTTAATTACTGTGCATTTGATCTGTTCAGAAATAAATATGTGGAATTATTGAGACTGTCTTTTATGTGAGAGCTTGATACTTTCAGGTATTAAGTATAAATACAGGAGATTTAACCAAATACACGTTATTTTAATAAAAGATCTATGACGTGTTACATTTTATTACTATTTCCTGTTTTATGGGTTTGGCGGGAGGAGGAGAAACGAAACTGACGTTTGATAAGTCAGACACAAAGGTGGACAAAGTCTAAACGCAACTTCAGCTATAGCCTCCTTCAGATGCATCTTAACAACAAATGCGCCACAAAAAGGTAAGTTTAGTTCGTCACATAGTGAGCTCTGTGGATCGACCTCACTGTGCACTAGATTTACTTCTGTTTATTTCTCATGTGGGTCGGTCTTGTTTACTTTTATCATCGCACCATTCGCTTAAAACACGCACCACTTTGAGCCAGGTAAGATACTAAGGTGAGACATTCAGGTGAGAGGCCATCTGCTGATCGACGAACTTATTTCCTTGATAACGCGCTGAACCGTGAGGGCCGCGCTGATGACAGACGGACAGAAGAAACTTTTTGAGCGAGACGCAGACAGAACCAGGTTAACCTGCGCAGGCAAAGACAGGAAGAGACATGTCTTTATGAAACTGATCTAAATGGCGAGACGAACGTGTCAAACAGCAGCTCTGTAGCGTCCAATTTATGTCGGCCTAATTAAGTTGCACTGTTGTACCTCGACCGACTCCCCGCTCCCTCAGAAGAGCGCTCGAAACATGTGCTCTCGGAGCGGACTTTTAATGCAAATACGACTGTCGGAGCGAAAGCTCTTTTACGTCGAACCTAACTTGTGGCAGTGTGAAAACAAAAAACAAACTTTGAAACACTTTTATAGTTTCCCTTTACAATTCAAACAAACTTTCTTCTTATGTACGAAATGTGTGTCATTTGTAGAAAGAGATGTTATGTGTGAACCCAATTTAAAGTGATACATTTTTAAAATGCCTTTCAAAAAACATACGATCAGTATGCACAACATTGTGACTTCTTTGCCTTGTATGAAAGTGGTGGTGTGTGTTAATGGTGGTAGGCAGCTTCGCTTCTGTCAATTTGCCCCTGACAAATTATGAATTAATAATGAATAATGACTACAGTGTAGCACTTTGAGAGGCTATGACAAGCCTGTAAAGCGCGTTGCAAGTCTAAGGCATTATTAATATTATTATTATTTGAATGCCATTTGTTGCTTTGACCTTGTGTAAATTAATTTGGTAATACAATTTGCTCATTTGTGTGTTACAGCTTTTGTGAAGTGACAAAATGAATTTTGCAACCGTTCAAGTAGAATGGACTGCAGTGAATGAAACACATCCTTTAATAGAGTGTATTCGAAGTAACAACCAAATGAAGTTAAGGAAACTATTACAGTTTAATAACATCAATGATTTTTACCCATTCAAAGAAAAGAACCAACTTATGACTCCACTAATGGCTGCTGTGGCCTGTTACAATGAGCACATTACTGTTTTTCTTTTAAAAGGGTCAGATCCAAACATACTGAATCACAGTGGATTCACTGCTTTGCATTTTGTCTTAAAACTTCAAAGCTCCAACTGTTTTTGTGAGTCTTCTTCTTGAAGCAAAGGCCGATCCAAATGTACATCCACCTCTAGGTTTTACTGCTCTGCATTTTGCTGCCTTTCATGACAGGAAAGATGTTGTGAAAATGCTTCTTTCAGCTGGAGCACTAATAACAAGTATACCAGCAGACAATAAGAACAATAAGAAACTCTTGGAGATGATTGGGATACTCGCATCAGAGGGGAATGAGCTCTGCTCTAAAGTCAGGTGCTTTTTAGAGCTGGAAATTTTTGCCTGTGAGAAAACTCCTGAAGATGTTTTCAAAACTTTTGACAGTGACATGCTGAATGAACATCCTCAGAACCATTTAATCATGATTGAATTTCTCCTGACAATGAAATCACCATATAATGAAAAATTTATCAAATGGCTCAAACAAAATGACTATCTTTATTCCTACATTGAGAACATTGTAGAACGCTTCCCAAACATTCCTGATGTGAATATACCTGTGGCAATCAGTAGTTTGCATACTGTGTCTTGCACCTTGGATGAAATACCTCTTGAACAGACAGTGTCAATAATTCCACATTTACTCCATCAATTAAAAAAGATGAATCTGTGTCATGTGGTACTTCAAATCCTGTATATGATAACACAGAAAACAAGTACGGATCAGCAATGGGACACCACATTCCTAGAAACAATATGCAAAAGTATAACTCCTTTTGTAAAGGAGCAGCAGCCCTCTGACATTAGAGTGTTCACATATGGAGTCTTTGCAAACCTACTTCCTCTAAAACATGCAGCTAAAATCTTCAGGTCAGTGGGGATCTGCACTGTGCCTGAAGATGTTCTGACATCTGCTGACATGAAAATGAATGACAAGCTCAAAGAGGGACTGAGGAAACTCAAAGATCACTTTAACAGAACAAACTCTGAATGTGAAGACACTTCAGAGGCTCCTAGGTCTAGGAAAAAGAAGAAAAAGAAGAAGAAGAAAAAGAAGGAAAAGTCTGAGATAAACAGTCAGATAGATACAGTTCCTGTTGAGGAATCCACTTCTAATGTCCAGCCATTTTTATCCAACTCTGAATCTTTGCCAACACGTAAGTGGCTCTCGATCAGCAGAAGATGGAAGGAAAAGCTGGAGAAACTCCAGAGCTCTGAACAAATCTCTCGAATAGGAAGTATAGTGTATGTGAATGATGCAGAGTTCCTCATCGCTAAAGGCAGTGATGGGACTGAGGTCTTCCTGGGGCTGAGGGATGATGGCACTGAAGTGGCCATTAAGAGGATGACAAAGTCCAACTATCGAGTGTTGAAGAACGAGGAGGGGTTCCTGCGTCTCCCAGAGTTGGACCACCCCTCTATAGTACGATACATCGATAATGCTGAGGACCTGAACTTTGGGTATTTGGCTCTTCAGCTTTGTGAATACACTCTGGAAGAATATCTCAAAGACAATGACAGTCCTTCACTGAAAGAGAGTCTGGTACGACAGTTCCTTAACAGTTTGAAGGTTCTTCATAGTCAAAAGCCTCCAATTCTTCATCGAGATCTAAAGCCACAAAATGTTTTAATTGGTAAGACATGTCTTTCCGCTATACAATAAATAATGTATATGTACTATTATTTTTATATGCACAATCATCTAACTTAATTTCACCTCCAACGTTGTCTGAAGATGTAAATGGAAGAGCCAGACTGGCAGACTTTGGCATCAGTAGACGGCTGCTCAAAGGACAGACCACTCTGCGAACAGCCAGTGCTGGGACCAAGTGCTGGATGGCCAAAGAGACCCTGACAGAAGAGGACAGTGGGACACCTTATAAATCAAACACTGACATACAGGTTTGTGGTTTCTCAAAAAAAAAAAAAAAAAGAAATACTATGTAAATGAAACCTTGTGTCTTGTTTCAGGTTGCTGGAATGTTGATTTATTACATCCTGTCTGGTGGCCATCATCCCTTTGGGAACAGGTTCCTGTGTGAAGCAAACATTTTATTTGGGAAATACAGCCTGGAGCATGTAGACGACTTGGTGGCCAAGGACCTCATTGAGTGGATGATCAATGAAGAACCCAGGAACAGGCCCAACGTGGAGAAGTGTCTCAGCCATCCCTTTTTCTGGAACAATCACAAGTAAGAAAGAAGCAGTGATAATGTTGTTTGATTATTGACATAAACTTCATTCTTATTAGGCGAGTTGAGTACTTGAAGAAAGTTGGGAACCGTGCCGAGATTGCCAACTGTCGGAATGCTGAAAATGAGTTTATTTCTTCTGTGGAAGAATTTGTGTTTGATGGATCCTTGGATGAATGGAAAACAAAAGTGAGAAATCAACATATATTGATAAAATTTAACAGATTTTTACAGTTTATGAGTTTCAACAGCCAAAACTCTTTTTTTTAAAATCTGATTTTATGTATACTATATATTTTGTTTAGTTCTCTGAGGAGCTGGTCAAGACAATGGACAAAAGGGGCAAAATTTATCCTGAAAATGCATTGGGACTATTGCGCTTCATCAGAAACCTTTATGAGCATTAGTAAGTTGGCTCTTATTAATATTTTATTTGCTTCTGAACAAAGTTCACCCACCCTCTTTGTTTTTCTTTCCAGTCCCAAGGATGCAGCCCAAGTTGATGTGTTAATGTTGTTTCCAGATCTTTTTGGGTCCATTTATAAATTTGCCAAAAAACAGGGATGGAATTTGGAGACACCCTTGAGAGAGATGTTTCAAAGTGAGGAGATGGCCACAGGCTTTGTCACATCCAGTCCTGATGTAGAGGAGAAACTTGCAGCCCCAGTCCAGGAGTCCCAAAGCAGTTATGTGACTAAAAGCGCTGACATAGGGCAGTAATATTTATTACAGATATGGGACATTTCTATACTTTCAAAATAATGAATGAAATGAATAAAATAAACCTATTTCAATAACTGCATGGCACTTTATGTTAAGTTAATAAATCCATGATGGCACTATATAAAGCTCCTTGATACCTATGGGTAATAAAAACGCCAAATGGGAGTTTTTATTTTTAATTTGTTACCGGAAACGTAGTGTTGTATTCCCTACAGCTTGACTAGATCAAAACGTCCAGGCTGCTGCTGGTGTCTGTATTTATGCAGTCTTCCAAACACAGTGAGAGTGACTGGCAGGGGCTGGTCAGTGAGGTAAGTCAGTCAGACATGAGACGCTGCTTTTCCCGAACATCGATGCTCCATATGGAAGTAGAAAAAAAAGACAAATGAGCTGGACACATGCAGATGGACAGCAAATTTGGAGGCTGCGTTTCATGTGCTGTTGGTTTATGTGAAGTCCCCTTCGGAGGGTCACTGTTCCCGCGTTCAGCCCTCAGCTTTAACTTCTCATACTCTGATTGTCTTAACGTCGCATTATACCGCCACCTTCTGGGTTGTTGGATTGTAATATAAAGTCCCCTGAATATCCCAATATTCTGTTTTACACGCATGTTATCCCAACTCGTCACCAGTGAGGCTTGCTCGAACAAATAAAACCAATATGAATAGTTTCAGATTTATTATTCATATCATATCTTAAGGACATGTTTCCCATTTTACCAGTGCCTAAACAGAATTAGACATCTTGCTTCAACTATGTTATCAGACCAAAATAAATACACATTTTATCTCAGTAGCATTTTCTCTTTTATTTATAAATGCTTAACCTAATTGAAACTACAAAAAAACATTAGGTAATAAAAGTTGTGCAGAACCTGAGTACAGCTTCGTGTGAGTTTAAATAATGTGATAAAGGTTATGGAGGCATGGATCTGTAATAAGATCTTACACTTGCATAGATGAGGACGGTGCTCCGGTCAAGTTTGACCCTGTGTATTTGCACCTGTGTCTTTCCGCTTTTGGCTTGACTGTGGACGAGCCCGGGCTCACAGACATCACTACTAACTAATAACTGAACTCTTATGAGACAAAAGTACAAACCTCTGCTAAAAAAAAAAAAAAGATTAACTGAATATCACAATACGTTTAACAAATGACATGACAGAAAAACCTGAAAACAAGACAAGGCTACCAGTTACTATAGCAACGGGGTCTGGATCAGCTCACCAGGGTGGGACAGGTTTATGACTTCTCAGAGAAAAAACAAAACAAAAAAACTATTAGACTATTAAATAGCCTATCCCATAAAACAATCAAATGGTACTTAAGTTTAAAAAAAAAAAAAGTTTTCAATTTATTTAAAAATAAAGGACACACTCAAAAGTGAAATCAAAGGCAATTTTAATGTGTCTGAAATGCCAATAAATCAAAAATCTGGTAATCTGTTTTACGAATGCATTTTGCAACCGGGGATTTCTGTTTGTTCTGTGTGAATATTGTGAATCCGGAGGTCTAGTTCTTGTATTCCTTTTCCAGCAGATGGCGCCACTGCTCTGGGCGGCACGAGGGGTACTTGGTTCTAGGTTTTCCTCTGTAAAATTCAATCAAAAGTCAAACATTCTAAAGTACAATACAGCTGTAACATTTCAGCACATTTCATAATTTTGTTTGAGAAACATTTTTTTTCTTTCTAAATTCTACACACATTACACATTTTATTCAGCATTACAATATTTACAGATTTACAGAATAGTTTACAGATGTACTTTTTATTCTAGCAGCAGGAGCCATTTTGGTATTGACTGACTAAATCAAACCTATAAATATAACTTTAAAGCTACAAGATAAAAGACAGATTTAAGTTGGTACAGTCAGTATATTAATGTGCATATGGCATGTTAGCAATTATATTTATGAAGATTTCTAATTTAATAAACACAAAACTAATGTATAACTGATACAGATTCACCACAAGTAAATGTCACCAAACCAAGTAAAAATAATTAGAAAAACCTGCTATACACACTTTAAGATCGGGCTAAAAGAAGCGGGTTTTACGCCAAAGCAACCCTCTCCATTTTTCCAGGCTGGGGACTGGCACAGAGGGACACACACAGCGCCCTCTGTGGCTGGATTAGACCCACCGCCCGTGCTTGTAGAGTTAGTGTGTTAGTTAAGTGCGTGCAGACATACTCACAGTAAACAGCAGCCTCTGGACCTGTGAAGACTAGTTTAAAAGTTAAGTTAAACAGTTTAGATCTGCAATGACAAGAGCCAGAAGAGTTAGGGTTAGAACTGTCATTTCACAAGACAAGCCCGAAACAATTTTACAACATCACAACGGCAAAATTAGTATGAGATTTAACCTTTAACCCTGTAAAGTTAATACAATGTTTAAACAGAAATGTCAGCGTATTTAAAACAGGTTAAAACGAACAGATCCTGTGCAAACCTGTGGAAGAGTTGGATTAGAATTCTACTACTATTTCATTTCAGTTTAAGAGTTAGCACCAGAGCCATCAGACTCTATACCCAGTTCAAATCTGGCCCACGTTTAGACCAGTTTAGACCAAACCACATACAAAACACATCTCCTTTAAACAACCCAAGACTTAAATCAGTTTTCAGACCTTTTTAACTCCAAATGAAACTGTTGAAGGGTTAGTTTACAATAAGTAGTACCAGTTTCCCCCAACCATAACATGTTTTACCAGCCTGTTTAAATCTGACCCATATTTAGACCAGTCGAGGCACACACCAAAAACATACAAGGGCCCGAGCCTAACCTGTGGAAATTATGGTGTAAACATTTAATCTGGCCCACATTTAGACCAGATCAGACCAAAAGAGACCAGCAGTCTCCATAAAAGTGAGCCAACATTTAAATAAGGCCCACTTTTGGACCAGTTTAGGCCCACAACTAAAGCCTGTAACATAAAATCCTCAGCATATTCAGGCCTTGTTTTGAGATGATGATTCACACAGAAACGTCACCTACCTGAGTTGTCACCTACCTGAGTTAAAGTCTGCATGGACAGACCAATAAAACCAGTGAAACCTGCAGTAGGAAAAGATCCCTGTAAGATTATGTCGTCATAAATCCAACGTCAAAGGGTCAGAACATTCAGACCACAAAAAGTGACAGAACACAAGGGCCTCAACCCTTGGACCAAAACTCAAGTCAAGATGAGTGGCTGAGCACTCACTCACAGCAAGAAAGTTCCTTTGTGTGCATAATCTGCACAGGTGTATGGCAGCAGCTCACTGCTCCTGACAGGCTGCCCCAGCAGCACTTTGTTGATGACGAATGGGCCAAATTTAGAGGGTGAATTTCCCTCAAAAGGGATTACTAAAATATACTGTACCTCAAGATTGTTCCAAATGATCAGGTTTTAAAAAGATGTGGGTTTCTCCAACCTGAAAACTGAAGAGTTAGTAACATGACAGTCATCACATTTTAGCTTTAGCTGTTTTCAACTAAAATAAACTAACATCTGCTACAGTTGTTGCAGATGATTTTCATGTCTCACAGTTGCAAGACATGAAGTAGATTTATTTTAGATTAACTATGAACTAATTAACAATGATAATAATAAAACTGATACCTGTAGAAGAGTTGGAGTACACCACCCAAACCTGCAAACACAAAGGAAACAGTCAGTAACAAATTACAATACGTGTTCTATCTTGGGAGTACACAACTAAAATGATCTCAGCAGTATTCAACAAAGCATGGTTTCACTTAGCTGTTTCTTAAAGACTAATGTATTTCAGCAAAACAGTTTTAAATTCACCTTTGGGTCTTTGGGAGGAAAGCTGGCTACAGCCCAACCCAACCCAACCCAAAACACAGAGTTTAGGTAAACTCTTCCAGCAAGGTGGTCTGGGCGATTTCTTTCAGTCATTTCATATTTTGGAGCATAGACTCTGATATAAGAGTTTCCATTCTTCTTCTTAGTTCTTGAGTCCTTTTTGATTTCAGATGGAGGCAAAGGTTCATTTTCACTGGTCAGCAGCACTCTTAGCCTCTACAGCAGTAATAAATATCACAGAGCTGCTGTTAAAGGGTTAGACACCAACCTAAAACCTGAAAACTCCACGGTTAGTCAGTAACATAAGACACACGTGTTTTTGCTTTAGTAGTTTTAAAATAAAATAAACTAACATCTGCTACAGTTGTTGCAGATGACTTTTATGTCTCACAGTTGCAAGACACAAGGTAGATTTATCTTAGATTAACTATGAACTAAATAACAATGATAATAATAAACTGACACCTGTGGAAGAGTTAGAGGACACCACCCAAACCTGCAAACACAAAGGAAAAGTTAGAAACAAAATGACAAAATACTAGTGTATTTCAGCAAAACTGTTTTATATTCACCTTTGGGTCCTGGAGGGAAAGCTGACGGACGTTCAACCCAAAACACACAGTTCAGGTTAAACTCTTCCAGCAAGGTGGTCTGAGTCCATAACAGTTTTCCTTAATTATGCACTTGTTTCAGTTTTATTATTACCAACCACCCCAAACCGGGGGTGTCTCAGTTTTTGAATTAGAAAACCTGGTCCCACTGTTATTCAGTTTGTCCAAATTTGGACCAGCCGACACCAAATGCAATACAAGGACCCAAAACCAAGTGCCACCTGTGGAAATTAAACATTAAAATCTGACCCACATTTAGACTAGCTCAACCCACAAGAGACCACACAGTCTCCATAAAAGTTTCAAATCTGAGCCATTACAATCCTCAGCATTCAGGTCTTGTTTTGAGAGGATACAAGGTAAAGAATAAAAAGAAAGAATAGAGGTTTTAGGATTTGAGAGTTACGTCATGACCATTGTACAACTGGATGATTTTAAATTTCCAGGATAGATGAGAGACTTTTATTTTCCAAGTAGGTTTTCATCCCATTTGAAACCTTTGATGACACCTTTCCACTTTTTGTATTGCACTTGTTTGAGTATTTTATGGCAGGTCATTTAATTCCCACAAATGTATCATCCATTTCATAGAATTCTGAGTCATTGTGTTCCAGTTCATTGACCCAAGTTTGGTGTACATTTTAAAACCTTTTCGTTTTAAGTTGTTACGTTTGAAAAACACATTTTTCCCCATGGTTTCACCCTTTGTGATAAATTACATTTTCACACATCAAAACACCAAGAGTTTTCATTTGAGACACATTTTGCTTTTGTTTCATGAGTTTCGTTTGTAGCATAATTTCCTTCATTTTATTGACCAAACCTTTTGCATTTGTTTTCAGAAAAGGCCTTTCTGTAAGTTTCCTTCACCGGACAATTTCAGGACACAAGGCCGCACCTTCATGTTTCCTTTTATAATCCACCTTTTTCAGTGAACCATCATTTAAAACACATCCACAGAGTGAAATTTATTTATTTTTTTCAACAAAAGCAACATTATCATTTGAAACTCATCACGTCATCACTTTATTTATTTCAATCCACTTTGCACATTGCGTAAACGTGAATCAGAGCGCGGAGTAACCAGCACCACCAGCAGCTTCATTCAAACGAACAGCAATTTATTATTGCAATAATGTTTCCGTATCCACAAACAAGACTCACCTGGACTCGTAAGACTTACCTGGACTCCTACGTGCTGTTTGTCGTGCTGATGATGATTTGGGCCCCGTTGCAGTTTTGGCGCGTTTTCCTGAATCCCGCGCAGATGGCTCCACACCGCCTTTTCTTTTTTTGTTGGCTAAAAAACGGCGCGCTGCTGTGAGAGGTGCTTCCTCTGACGTAAAGCAGCGTTTGAAGTGAGATCAAGAGTGACTTTAGTGAAGCTGTTGAAAAGAAAACGAGTTGGCTCGGCTCCCCGGTGCGACGTCATCTGGTTACAGGTACCTTACCTGTGCAGGTGAGCGCCATTTAAAAAAAAAACAGCATACATCTGTGCCCACGTGACCACGCCCACCTGGCGGGAATCCACCCTACCTTTCCGTGCTCCTCCCCAGGAAACTTTTGAAGAGACTATGCAGTTTGTCACATGCCAGTGCATTTTAGAGGTTTATTTATTATTTATTTATTATTAAGACTCAGCTCAATAAATACCAGTAAAATTTTTTTAAGAATTTGAAAACCACCCATGAAAATGAAGTTTACTTTTTTTACACCAAAGGCAGTGCAATAAATCAATTTTTAACCAACAGAGCCAATCCTCTGTGAGTGACGCTGACAGATCAGAACGTTCCCTGTTACTTCTGTTTTTAAGGTTAAAGAGGGAAACGCTTATACACGTTCTAACTTCCAGGAAATCTTTCCCTAAATGTTTCCTTTTTGCTGGGAAGGGACTGAATATAACAAATTTGAGTTTCCGGACTGAATATCTCCACATTGTATATGACATGGTGGACATTGTTTGTGTGTTGTATAAAAGCGCCAAATAGGAGTTTTTATTTTAATTTTCTACCGGAAACGTAGTGTTGTGTTCCCTGCTACAGCTTGACTACTAGACACCTCCAGTGACAGCCCACAGCGTGAGCCAAAAAGGTGACGTTGCAAGATAAACAAAAGGGGAAAAAAAAGAAAAACTCTGGGAAACGTCGGGGCTGCTGCAAGAGTCGTCTGTATTCCGACTTTGTGCAACACCGTGAGTCCAAAATGCAGTCTTCCAAACGCAGTGAGAGTGACTGGCAGGGGCTGGTCAGTGAGGTAAGTCAGTCAGACATGAGACGGCTGCTTATCCCGAACATCGATGCTCCATATGGAAGTAGAAAAAAAGACAAACGAGCTGGACACATGCAGATGGACAGCAAATTTGGACGCTGCGCTTCATGTGCTGCTGGTTTATGTATGCTATTAAATGCGAGCATGCTATTTAACGCTAATGTTAGCTCGCACCCGGCTGCCAGGCTTTTTCACACCTGCTCGTGTCTTGTGGGTGAAAAACGTCTAAACACGCCCACCTGTAGGTTCACACATGACCATCAAATGTTTAAAATGATGTCTAATTTCGATATTATGTAAAGGAAATGGTTGAAATTGTTCATCCGTGTTTCAAAAGTGCAGATGTTACTGATAGGGATGAGAGACATGGTTGCTATGGGAACAAGACATGGACATGCTTGTATTTTTAGATAGTGTTTACCTGAAAGATTCAATATTATCTTTTTGTACAGTGCATTTTTGTTTTACCAAATCTTGCATAGAAAGTACATCCTAATAATCACTGGGACCACCTACTTAACTTAATTTTATGTAGGACTGGGTGGTGGTTTCAAGTTTTTTTCATTAGGCCTACTTAACAAAATTATAGGCTACCTGTTTTTCTGCAACTATCCCCATTATTATCCCTTAAGTATGATTTCTTTAGCAATCATTTGCGGTGATAATGCCTAGTAGCCTAACTTAATCTATTGCTCTCACGGGACGCACCAAGCATTAAAACAAAGTGTTATGTTGCCAAAATCTTTTCAGCACCTTTTACCAGTAACAGCCCTATTATACAGAATTAAATACTACTAACATTTGCTGGTGTTATTGGTGTGTGTTTTCTCCACTAAACAGGGATGGATGTGTTTTTTAATTGGTTATTTTTGTTGAATTGCAGGATGCAGAGGATTAAACTACCTCAATAGTTGGCTTAGTGTAATGTTTTTTTTCTGGCCAATGTTCGACTTCCTTCTAGTTCCTGGTGTGTAAGCGCAAACTGGAGAGCAAGAAAGAGGCCCTGCTTATTTTATCCAAAGAGCTGGACACCTGCCAACAAGAGAGAGACCAGTACAAGCTGATGGCCAACCAGCTGAGAGAACGCCACCAAGGGCTCAAAAAGAAGTACAGAGAACTTATTGTATGTATTTTAATGGCAACAATAAAATAACATGACACAGATATAAACTCTAAAAACTTCATATTGTGGGGTTTTTGGTATTAAATATTGAAACTACGTAAATTATTTATTTTTAGGATGGTGATCCGTCTCTGCCACCTGAAAAACGAAATCAAGTAAGGTGCATGCTTGTAAAATGTAGACTGTGTAGGAATACTGTTTTTAATGCATGTGCCGAGGCAATGCCAGTCAAGTTTAGGAAAGACTTATCCAAAAGATTTGCAAGACATGCTTATTACATTGTCTGTATGAGGCAGGTAAATGGGCTGTAGAAATTGGGGTTCAAGTATTCTGACACTAGTGTTATGAATGTATTTATCAGTAGTTACCTAGTACTTTTTGTTTACTATGGAGAATTCATCTCTACGGCCATTTTACACAAGCTCAAAAATTAATTTACCAATACATTTTTGAGTTTTGATCCCATACTTTTTTGTGGGCATTAATATTACACAGGAATATTACTGCATGTTGTAATATTAGCCTAGTTTGCCAGTGGAAGTATCCCTTCTCTACTGAATTTTACTGTACTTCCTACACTCAAACACATATTTAGATATTTAATAAAATAGTCATCTTTTAGTTGGGCCATTAATATTTAGTTGTTTTTCCTGAGGTGAACTTGGCACAGCTTTTGAGAGACTCGAGGGAAAAAGTAAAGCAGCTCGGAGAGGAGGTTAAGGAGCTGACGCAGAGGCTTTCAGAGGCCCAGGGGGACAACAAGGTGAGGTTACCTGTACTAGCACACAAACACAAACAAGCCTAATGCACTCTACTAGGCGAGTGTACACACATTCATAAAGTTTTTTTTTTAATTTTTTGCCTGCAGCTTCTCAGGATGACTATAACTCGTCAAAGACTTGGTGATGAGGACGTGGGAACGCGCCACTTCCCTGCACATGAGCGTGAAGATCTGGTTCAGCGGCTTGAGAGAGCAGGACTGCAGGTTTTTATTTACTTTATAATCTGAAAGCAACAGTTCAGTATGTTTTTTTTTTTTCATTTATTGCTCAGGAACAATTTTACCTATATTCTTTTGGAATACTTCTTAGCCTCTTAAAATATGTCAAAGTAAATGAAACTGTATTATCAACCATATTATATCAACGTTTACCACTCATTATCAAAAACAACCCTGTTTTTGTTGTAAAAATAAGAACAGGAAATGTACATGAGTAATAAATAATTAATAAAAAGTTTTTGAAAAGGTCTACAAAGGTAGTTTAAAGCCAAACTAAGAAACTTTCTGTGAAAGAGTTCCCCCTGCAGCTCGCTTATGAGAATACAGTGTCAAAGAACAAACTCCAAAGTGCTGCTTTTTTTTCTTTTCTCCTCTGTTCTTTTTTTTCCCTTTGTAAGGCAGTGTAATCACATACACAAACATATAACACTGCCAAATATATATATATATATAGGTAATGCATGATGTTAGACCTTTAAGCTAATATTTTTTTTACTGTGGGGTGCTTGTAAGCTGATGATAGTTGTAGAAGTACTGTGCACACATAGCTTCAGAGTGAGGTTGGGTAAACATTGTTGTCAACTTCACTTCAGTTGTATCTTTGTCCCAGATGGAGGAGATGGAAAACAATGTAAAAGCACTGACAGATGAGCTGCAGGATGTAAAGGCAGAACGCAATGTGTACCGGGACAAGGCCAAGAGACTTAACACAGAACTCAATCACATTTTAGGCAACAATGAAGCGCGCCTTATTGACGTGGATGCCCTCTGTATGGAGAACAGGTAATGAAATAGGTCACAAGATAATAGATAATGTCCTTTTATTTTTTTACTCAACCATTGACCTATTATTTTAATGTATAAGACAGATATTGAGAAAAGCAGAGATAGACTTTTAATGTGATGACTTTCTTACCAGATATTTGCAAGACCGTTTTAACCAAGTCCAGGAGGAAGTAAGTTTGCTGAAATCAAACATCATGAAGTACAAGGTATGTTTCAATTATGATCAAGTAAAATAATAAGTTCTAGCCAAATGTCTATATATGCATAAATGTATAATGTATAAAAACTGCTACTTCAATATTTTATATTATAAGATTTATTATCTAATTGTATAACTTGGATAATAATGCATGAAAGTGAATAAAGGAAGAGGCTTTTAAAGCTTTAATCCATGCTTTTTGCGTTATCATTTTCATAGATTTTTTTTATAACTTTTACAGACTGCTCTTGAGAGAAGAAAAAACAACTCATATGGGAAAGGCAATAACGCTCCTCTCACTGGTGTCCTCTCTGCTAAACAAGGTAGACCCAAAAACTGTCATTTGAAATCAAAGCTATACCTTATCAAAATTCCCCATCTACACCTCAAGTGTGTTCCTAATCACTATTAAGTTTTTTCTCCCTGTATCGGACACCAGCTGAGTTACTAATTGTATTCTGAGGTGGAAGCACCACTGGAAGGGAAATGAGGCTGCCATCATGACTGACAGTTACAGGCAGCCGCTGCACAGTAGGCTGTAGAGTTAAAGTTATAGGAGTCTGGGCTAGTAGACAGCTGTTTTTAACTCTCCATCTCCGTCTTGCTCTTGTCATGCTGTTATGTTGTCTCTTGTTATATCACCTTTTTAAATCTATCAAATATTATTAAACTTTTCCTCAACTTTACTCTGCAGGCTCTGTATTGAGAACTGAGGCTGCTAGATTTGACAATTGGTGTATTCACTCTTGAACACAAATTAGATCAAAGTGGGGTTAACCTGGGACTAAAACTGACTAGACCAGGACTAAATAAGACAGAACTAAATTGGGCTCAAAACTGGACCAAACCATTGTGAATGCAATGTTTGACACAATGCCAATATATTGTATATATTTTTTCTCTCTGCTTTAGTACAGGAGATGCTTCTGGAGGAACAGGGCTGCAGTCTACCAGCCACACCGCAGTCCATCTCTGACCTGAAGTCCCTGGCCACGGCTCTGCTGGAGACCATTCACGAGAAGAACCTGGTCATCCAACACCAAAGACACACCAATAGGTACTGAGGACAGCTGCAAGTCAGCTAGTTTTAACCTTACACTGTATGTACCAAGTAGAGCTCCACCTCCTTAGCAAACAATGTTCTGCCCTTATCTCTGTCTGCAGGATACTGGGGAACCGTGTGGCCGATTTAGAAAAGAAGTTAAAAACACTGGAAGTATCAGGTCTTTGGAGTCTTCCAGGTATGTTTTATGTTCAACAAAATGTAAAATGTTTGAATGTTATTCTGTAAAAATGCCATAACCTTATTTAATTGTATTTCTTACTAATAACACTTATTATCTTGATGATGTTTCTGCTCTCCTTCCTGGCTGGATCTCAGGCTTGACCTACCACATATCTGTGGGAATTGGGAGTATGTATTCCTTCTGCCCCACTTAGCCCAACCATGCCCTCCACCAAGTCATGCCAGGACAAATCTGGGCAGATGCCCAGAAACTGTGTCATCTCATACCCACCGTTTACAATGTGTCATATTCACTGACCACCCTCTCAGTGATGCTCCATGATAGCACTGACAAAACCAGCTACCTGCGTCTCACACTAAACCTTTTGATTCAGTAGGGTAAATTTTAGCAAAAAGGTCATTAAATTAAAGCACAATTTACAAAGGGAAATCTTTAACCAAGTTGAATAATTAAATGGTTGCACACAAAAGAGAACAAAATTATACTAATGGTTTTATATTTTCACCTTTTATCCTTATCGTCAAAAGATCCTATGTGTTAAAAAAAAAAACTACAATAATTATCACGCTTATGGAAAACTGGGTTATCCTAATAAGTCTTTTACCTGAGACAGATGCATAAAACAGTTCCCCCACTAGAGGGAGATGTTGTGCTGTGTAGAAGTTAGGCTGAGGTGGAGGGGCTGTGGCTGGATGGAGGTGCCCTGTCATGAGACCGTCATTCTCACCGCCATAAAACTGACAAGCATCCATTACTGAAAATGATTGCCCACATTACAAACACATTTAGGGGAATGTGCCGTTATTAGGGAATTTGTAGGCAAGGGCCCAGAGTGGCTGACGACCACGCTGTCCAGCACAGTTAGGGAGACACCCATATAGAGAGAGATGAGACTGTCTGTATCCTTGATGTGATATGAAATTGGGCTGATGGATATTAAAGGCAAACAGGATAGGACACGGGGCCTTGGCTGCCAATACCTGCAGTCTGGAAAAGTCTCGAGGTGACCATGTTGTCTGTGACTGAGAGACAGCTCAAAACAATATCACTGACATCAATGCAGTCAAGTACACAGCCCAACCAGCCTAGACCCATAACACTCCTCTCTGCTCCAATTGAACACAAACTTTAGTATAATGTAAAGGTGTACTTTGCAACTTTTCTGAATTCTCTGCCACCTGCATGACATGGCAAGGAGATCTGATTGCTTTCTTCCACTCTGTGGCATTATAGTTATTTGTCTTAACAAACAGGTGACGCTGCCAGGCCAATTTTCAGGTCCAGTCAGAGGTGAACCAGCTCACATTAACCAGTCATACTTTTCAAAGTATTTTTGAGCAATAAATGGATAGATAGGTAAAGTATAGATAGCCCTACTACGAAACATTCTAGGCAACATGAAAACATATCCATGGACACAAGCAGGCCCCCAGCAGTAAATGTTAAAGCAGCCATCTGTTGTTTATTTTATTTTTATTTTGACTAGTTCACCTGTGGTCACCTATGGTTTCAGGTCTTCTTCTGTCAGGGCAGTAGACAGACATAAATAGCAATAGATAACTAGATATCACCTAGTGGTGTTTTGTGAGAATACAGCAGGACCGGTATAGACAGTCTAATTACAAATACTCTCTTAAGTGAAAGAAGTGCCTAGTATGGGCCTTGCACAATGTCAGATTAGCATACATTTTATGATTTAACTTTCAGAAGCCAGCCTCAGTCAAAACAGTGATTGAAGGTTGTAACGACATACATTTATATTGTACATACAGTAATATGATCATGTTTAGTGTTTTTATGTACATTTTCTTTGTATTTTGAAGTTGGAAAGGATCACTAAAAATGGTGTTGAAAATCCTATAATAAATATCCCATAATAATTAAATTTTTGTAAATACAACTTTCTATATGAACCCTTTTACTCTTGTGTTTTTCCTAAACATTCATTACGATATGGTATATGTTGTGTTGCCATAACAATCTGGTCTCAACAATCACCATTTTCATGCTTCATGTGTAGCCATGCGTTTTCTCATTCATTTGTTTGTTTTTCCCCTCACACTCGACTGCCCATTCAAACAGGCTGTCTTTGACTGTTCACACACTCTCTATGGAAACTGAGAGTGATATGTGCGCATGTTTGAGCACGTGTGTTTTTGTATGACTAGTTTTGTGTGTATTTGTGAAGTCTGGTTTATAGCGTATAGACTCCTATGACTAGCATATGGTGTCAGCCTGAGAGGCGTGCAGCCATCACTAATGAAGACAGATGACAGAGACGCAAAGCCACTTCCTGTGAACGCTGCGGTGCATACGTGTGTGTCTATTTGTATTCTGTATGTGAGCTCTCTAAACATCATATCTGATGTGTCCTTGGATCAGCTCCACTCAATATGAACATGTGTGCACCCTTCAAAAGTTTTCTATCTTGTGATTAAAGTTACTTCTTCACTTTCAGGAGCACAAGACAATATGGCAGTGAAGGAGCGTCTGCAACCAGAGCTCCGTCCTACACGTGTCACATCACAGCCAAACATGATGTCACCCAAAGGTGAGTGTGTAATTGTGTGTAAGTACGAGCTTCTCGCTGCCATTGATAAGAGCACAAACAGCTAAAGGCATAAACAACTGTAATTAGCTTCTGTGTGTGCTAAAAGTCCTCCCAACTATCTGGAGCATTTAGCCCAGGTCTCATTCCTTCCCGCCTGCACTGCTCTCTCCCTCTCATTGGCGCGAGCTGCCCAAATGCCATGGCATTTTGGAAATGTGAAGCAAATTCTCGCCCGCTGACATTCACAAACTTCTGCCTTGTTCTCTTTGAAGGAGGGAGGAGGAGAGGGATGAATGCCCATAAATATGGATACCACTTTCAGTAATGTGCTCCCTCCCTGTAGTCCTGTGTGGGAGATGGTGGCTGGGACTCTCAGTGCAGTTTTTAACCTTTTCACCTGCACATGCACAAATATGGGTCACTAATCCACAAAGTTACAGCAGATTTGGGTGAAGAGGCAGAACTAAAATGTTGCCAACATGATGGGTGTCTTCCCGTGTCTGGGCAATGATGCTAAATTTAGACTGTTGCCATGGAAGCACTTCAGTCACATAAGTAATTGAAATAACTTTCTGCACTGTCACAATTGCTTAGGTCTTAAAGTGAAAGGGTTATAACTTTTTTTTTTTTTTTTTTTAATGGCCCTCAGGCTTAATTAAATTTAGCAAGAGTGTTGTTTTATGTATTACTATTATTGCCTGCTAGGTCATTGCACTCTCAATTTGGAGTAATATTGTGACATATTTTCTGTATTTCTTGATTGTAGTTGTAGGCTTTAGGTGAAGCAGGTAATTAAAATGACCAGTGGTGTCTTCTTCCTCCTAGCGGTGCCAGACAGCAGAAGCATACATGAATCATCATGGGAGTGCCACACCGCTGGCAGCGACCTTGGCACAGATGGCGTCAGCAGAGAAGACACACCTGCACTGCTCAGCAGCCTGGGTCCTCTCGTGGGGCTGGAGATGAATGGGATTGACAGGACAGAGGGAGACATGACCCTGACTGAAGAGGGAGCCCTGGTGGATCTGGCTGAGGGGCGGAGTCCTGTGGAGGAGGCGGGGCATGAGGAAGAAGCAGATGATGAAGAACTGTGCTCCACTGTCGAGGAGGGGGAGGAGGCGGCTTTGGCTCTGGATGCCCCACCCTCTGAACCAGACCTTTCATGGCTCTCAATTAGGCCGTCGTCAGGTGATCACTGTACGGTACATCATGTGAACGGCTCTAACCAGGATCATGAATCTGATCATGGATCTTACCAGGACCCTGAGTCTAACCATGAGCCCCAGTCTCCCCCTGAGCCTGTAACTTGTGTGCAGAGCTCAGAATCAGCCCCAGAGAGGCAGAGTGCAGATGTGTCAAATGCTGCCAACTGGGACATTCAGACTGGATCAGCACAGACTGACACCTGTCACGCTGAAAACCTGGCCTAATCTGACATCGATCAAAGACTTTGGAAGGTTATTTAAATCCTTGTGGGTGACATCCTTATTGATGACTGCATTCATCACTTGTAGTCACATTCCTAAAACGTAGCAGAACTCGCTCACTTCCAGCCAGCAGCTCTCTCTAGTCAATAAAACAGAGAAAACACTTTTACAGCCACCACTGACAGAGCCTGAGGTGCACTTTATCCACACAGGCTTGTTGCTCTGTGAGAACAGGCAATCTAGAAATCAATGGAGTTGCAAACTTGATGCCCTACAGAAAGAATTTAGCTACAAAAATAACAAATACTGAAACCTGAACTCTTGCGCCCCAAACTCCCTGCTCTCCCTCCTGCTCTCCCTCCCCTGTGAACAGAAAGTCCCTGTTGTTTGCTTTGCTCTTCCAAAGGGGCTTATGTGCAATGAGGACCTTGTTCTTTCAATAGTAATAATTGCAGTGCATATTATGTATGTTCTGAAAGCGGCATGTACAAACATGTAAATGAGTCATTTAAAATATGTATTTGACTGAAAAAGATTTACCCAGAAGAAAGATAATGCCAAGAGACTGACAACATGTGCCTTATCAAGAAAGCATCTTGTACTAATTTATAAACTCTAACTTAAACTAATGGTTTTGTTTTGCTGATATTTTTGACAACTGATGGTCTTAAAGTAAAACACACCATTTTTGTGGTCATGAATGAGATCATAAAAGCATTAACTATAAATGGTCAATACCTTAAAATTAATCTATTAAAGTACATTTATGACAGAGCTAAAGTACACAGCAAGGTTGAGTTGAACTTTTGTTTTTACCTTCACTAACTCACACAATATTCAATTAAAGGCATGCGGTACACCCATTTGCTCCTATAGTCGCCTCTCAGGGTGCTGAAAATCTGAGGTCTGGTCTTGGTGCAGGTGACAGCTGGCCTCTCCAAGCAAACACAGCGTCAAAGCCAGAATCCATAAAGTGCTGATTCTGCAGAAAGCTACTTGCTATTTTTAATCTCCGTCACAAAATGGAGCCATATTGGAGTGAAGGCCGAGCTGTGTGGCCAGTGTCAGTCGTGGCCAAGGCAGCTGGGTGGGCACAATGCGCTTTGATGCGAGTATTACAATTTTATAATCTTCTAACTTCTAATTACTTTTCTTAGAGTTATTTCAAACAATGTCCTTCTCATGGTTTTATTTATTATAGTGATTTGATACTGCGAAACATTACATCAGATTTTTAGTTAAAGTATTTTTTTATTAAATATATTCATATTTTAGTTACAGCATCTCAACGCTTAACTGCTTCCTGTGGCTCAACATAAAATTATTGCATGTAAAAATGCGTGTATTCTTTGAGAGCAAATAGAAGAGGGCAGCTTTTTTTTTTCTTTTTTCCTTTTTTCTCTTGCACCAGGTTACCCTTTTTATAAATTCACAACAATTTGTTTTTAGGCTTTTGCCGGGAGTTTGGAGTATTGATCACGGGAGGTAGACAAGCCAAGCGAAATTCTTCAAAGCGTCTCATCAAACATCCAGGTAGGATCTTAAAAACGGAGCGGAGCCTATCCCAGACTTCTAAAGATCCATCAGACTGGCCCTCAGACTCGGAGCAGTGTTGCCTGTCTGGTTTTTATTGGCCAATATTTTGTCTTGTCACACAGCTAAAAGATTCAGGCTGCCTCTCCCGATGCCCTCCCAGAGCTAAAGAGGATTGCTGAGAGCTGATATAACCAATCATCACGGCCACAGATAAAGTGCTACAGTACCAGCCATCTCCAGCTCTTATCTGTGACAGCAACAACAGCCCACTCATAATTTCATTTGTGCGGCGAACTGATGGATCTACAAACACTCAGGTGAGCTGGGGAAAGTGATTTGTACTTGGGCCAAAATCAGGCGGCCTTATAACTTTGTACTTACATAGATTTCTTTTCAATCAATCAAACAAACTTCAGGTTATTTCAAATTCCAGGGAGTCTGTGTTATTTGAATTTTAAATGCTTATACAGTAGCGTTCTTGGAGATATGTCCTATATTACTTGTATAAAATTGCAGTACAGAAATTAATCATCATTTCATCAAAAAATACACTAGTAGCCCCTGTATATTTTGTCTTCATAGTCTAAAATAAGACAGACAAACATGATATAACATCTTATATTTTTTGCATGTTGCATTATTGTAAACTTTAGTAGTATTTTATAATTGATTAGTCCTATAATTAAGCAGTTCTTTTGATCAGTAGAGGCAGTAAGTGACTTTTTAACACTAGAATTATAATAAAATGATGAATTAATTTAATAGTTCACTTGTTTTGAGCTATTCATACATGTTTGTGCTCAAGGGATGATTTGACATTACCAGGTGTACATTATGGAGCAATGCCTTGTAGGCTTGAAAAGGAGAATTAAAGACATGAATGTTTACGCTTTCTACCCCTTTTTACTATTTTGCTTTGTACATTCCAGCATTGTAGATTGTAGCATCAAAAATATGTATGGACACATGGAATGTAGCAAACTCAAAATGACTTGTTTTAGATTTTTATCTTTATTTTTTAAATTACCACTTTTTATGCTTTGATCACTGCTTTGCGCTGTTGACATTTCTTGAGCCTGACAAGACACACTAGTGAAGTGAAAACCATTTCAGGAGACTTCATCAAGCCCTTCTCTCAAGCTCATTGAGAGAAGGCCAAGAGTTTACAGTGCTGTCAACAAAGCAAAAAGTGGATATTTTGAGAAATCTAAATCTAAAACCTAAAACATATTTACTTAAGATGTTTCACTTTTTTACTTTTTTGGTAATTAATTGCTAATATCTAGTATCATATGCTTGCTGTCTTCTGTATGTATCTAAAATGTAGAAAGTAGTAAAGATAAAGAAAAATAAATAAATTACAAGGTTCAAAACTGTTGGCTGCTAGTGTATCTTTAAACCCAATCTATAAGTTTTATTTTTAGTCACTGCAAGATTTGAACAGTAATTTAGTAGAGGCTTATGCTCTCTTTACAGTTTCTTTATTTGATTTGTTTACATTGATTGATGTCTTTTTTAAAAATAGGACTTACCAAGACTTTTGCAGAGTAGTTCACCTGCTTTGTTCTGCTTCTTAGCCCCCACCCATTTTTTCCATTGGCAGTGTGCGAGAGAGCGGGAGGGGGTCACAGCAATGGTCTGCAGTTCTAATAAGTGTGACCGTATGAACAGAAGGCGACTGGACCTAGGTATCTAAACACACATACACCCGTTCACATACACACACATTTGTAGCTCCTTTAAAGCCTCCAGGAGCAGAGGTTTGACCAGGGCACGTGGAGACAGCAGTTTCCAGGCTAACCACTCAGCAGGGTTAATTACTTTACCAACTGGACACCTCTGCCCTACTACCACGTCTGTCACAATAACTACTGCTTCGACTGTATTACTATTTTTTGCTATATGCTACTAATCATATGCATCTTTATCTCTGAACTGTTGTAAAATTGTGAATAATTAAAATAATAATAGATTGTACTAATATGCTTGTATAGAATGTACAGATATTAACACTGTCACATGATATTTTACTTTAAATTGTGTTATTGGGTTTCAAGATGGCGCCTAATCCTTAATCATTTGGTTATGTACTTATAGGATAGATTTTACTTCAAATATTTTGTGTTTACAGTATTAGTGTCTTAAAATGGTACTTTTGTCATTGTAATATTTTCTCCAGTAATTTTTCTCACTTAGAAATGTATTGTTGCTTCTAATATTTGATACAGCCTTTTCAGTTCAGGTTTGCTCATGCCTGAACGATGTGTGCCAGTCCCTACAGGCTTTCTCCCCAGGCACTCTGATTTGGGGAGTGTGGCTTTCTGCTCTGTTGATGAAGACAAAAAAATAAAATAAGTCAAAATATGTCAGTCATTTGCATCCACTGTGCCTCATGTGGAGTTAATAATTCAGATGTATAAAGTTCTGCCATGCTTAAGTGCTCCTCTTGTTTTATAAAACATATTCTCTAAATTTGCTGCAAAAATAATAATATCATGAGTTACTTAATGTCTAATATGACTCACTCAGGATCTCTATTGAACACTGATCTGGCATAATATTTTGACCACCACCAGAGCAAATTAGTAGCAAAATTTGGTGCAAAAAATGGTGTAGAGTTTTGAAAAAAATATTGGGAACTTGTCACTTAACATATATATAGCAGCAGCATGCATGTTTCACATCAGTTCTTTAAAGGGCCTGTAAACCCTTTTTCCATGTCAACAGTGTGCTGTCTGCATTTAACTATTAAGTGTTTTGTTGTCCGATAGTCAGAAAGTGCACCATTTGCATGATAGCTGCTGTTAGCTTTACCACCATGGCAAACACTGGTGTCCTGAGAGGTGCGAAAAACATTATTATTCTAACCAGGGATACTCATTGCACGGCTTGTGAGCCACATGCGGCTCACCAAGCTTTAACTGGTGGCTCACAAGCTTATACCAAAAATATTTTTTATGTCAAACGGGCTGATGTGGCTCTATAGTGGTTATGGTTTATATGTTGTAAAGTTTTGTTTATTTATGCAGATTAGTAATAGTAATAATAACGATAATTTTAATTAAAAAAATATGGTTTTATAAATAACTTTTTAATAACTTTATAATTATATTACATTTTATAATTACATTTATAATTTTTTAAATAACTTTTTTATTAATATAAAAATCTGACTTGATATGTTGGCGTATGTTGGCTATAAGTGGCTCTCCTCTTGATTTTGAGCTTCCAATGTGGCTCTTGTGAAAAAAATAGTGAGTATCATTGTTATAACAATTAATTTGGTGAATAATTAGGGTGCTCAGAATGCATGCAACATAAGTGAGGAAGAACTTTGGACCACTGCAAACCTTTTAAAATGAACTAGTTCTGTTTTCACGTTTTTAAGACGGTAAAAATCAGGTACAAGATATGCAACAGCTATCAGTATAAAAGACCAGGTGGTCAAAATGATTAAACGTTTGTCTGTTAATATCTTATTTCAGGGTCTATCAATAACAAGACAATTTTATTTATTACAAATTGAATACCACCATGTTATTTCTACAGATATTTTTTTCAAAGCACCATTGCCCTTATCACCATTGACCTGTCTCACTTGTGCCTGTAATTTGCACAACACAGACATGCCCCCTCTGTCCTGCTGTGAGGGGTGGTCAGTGAAGGCACCAGATGTCGGGGAGCAAGAGCTTGCGAGCGGCCGATAAGCAGAAAGGCCAAAGCAGGGGTCAGCGCGCAGCCACAGCACAGCGTAAGATCTCTATTAAGATACGAGATGGAGGGCCAGAGTGATAAGAGTGGACAGGACCTACAGTATATGGTGTAGACATCAGCAGTATTTGAGTGATTTAGTTCTCTGTATAACTGAACTTGAAATGTTGATGTTTAGCTTTGGCCTTTGCGATACCTGGGAAATAGATTATGTACAAAGGGAGGTTAAAGGTGCACTATGTAACTTTACTGGCACATGGTCACCTACTTGTCTCCATAGAGATGTTATTGCTTTGTCTTTAAAGGTTCTAAATTATGCTATTTTCTGATCTATGTTATAATGTTGCTTCTTCATAACAAACATACAGTACCTGGAGTTGTG